TTTCAGCTCATCGTGATCTCAGGGTTGTGAGATCGAGCCCTGAGTCAAGTTCCACACTCAGCTTAGAGTCTGCTTGAGATTCTCTCTCCCTCTCCCTCTGCCCTTACTGCTTGTGCTCTCTCTCTCTCTCTAAAGTAAATAAATAAGTTTAAAAAAATCACACAAGTAGAATGAGTAGAGACACCCCAAAATGGAAGGATTGCCTAGCTAAATAGAGAAGCCCTCTAAATGTATCATTTCAGATACAAGCCGGTTAGAAGTTTAAGTAATCTTAACAAAAATAAAAAAGGGTTTTATGTCAAAAGCAGGGAAGAAGCTACAAAATGTTTGATATTTAATCCCATTTGGTCCTTATTGGTACAATAAGTAAGTTAGAGGATCCAGTATATTCTTTACTCCAAACCCCCTCCTACCCCTTTTTTAAGCACAGCAGGTATTATAGACTTCATTGACCAGTTAGATGATGTTATAGAAGCTTAACGACATTCTCATAAGGTTTTTGAAAGTGCTCAGGTTAAATTTAAGATCACCTTTCTAGATTGGGTAATTGTTTCAAATTATTACTGTCAGAGAATCATTGGGTTGCCATTTTGAGCCACCGCATTTCAGAGAAGTGGATATACTTTTCATCTGTAGCAAAATAAACTGGTGACAATTAGCTTATTACTTATTAAAGTAGTAGGAATTTTGAACAGCTAAAAGGGAATAATTTGTGTAGGATAACTTTTCTTTCCAGAAAAATATAAATTTTTTTTTATTGATCATTCAGAGATCTTTGTTGGAAGGTGAGGGAGAGGATTAAGTGGTAGATACACTGAGTATGGGGATAAAGGAAGGTTAATAGATGAAATTTACTTCACCCTAAACCTTTAATTTCCATACTAAAAATGCATGAAAAGTACAACATAGGGTCATGGGGACTGGCCTTACTTATGAATCTGATTTAGAGAAGTGAAAATTAAGAGTGAAAATTAAACAGTAGATTTCTCTAAAAATCAGTGTTGACCATTTTCTTCTTTAACAGCATTATGAATTATCTTGGAAAAAATGCATCCTGAAGTATTCAAGTTTTTCCTAGTAACTCAAGTATTTGAAATAGAAGAAATAAAGTGCCAAGTCATCCAAGTCAAACAGCGAGGAGAGTTTGTGATTTTTTTCAGAAAAGGGAGTTCCTTGTTATTAGTTATAAAGGAATGTTAGTTTTTCTCAAGCCTTTTACTCACTGTGCTGTTTTAACCAAAATGAAATCAGCAACAGGGTTATTTATGAAATGTCAAAGTTACAAGATTTTTCTTGTTCTTCTAGTGATATTGAATGGATTACTTTTTATTGCTCTATAGCTAGAAAAGAGGATTATAAAAGTGGAGACGTTGCTCTATGAGGACAGTTTTTTTTTAAGTTAATATTATTTAGTTTGGAAAAATGAAGGTGATTTGTGGGGAAGATCTTAGGAGTAAAGGGGCCATTGACATTTCTTTAATTATTGAAGAGTAGATAGGATGACACACTTATTTAGTACATCTTGGTGAATGTATAGGTAGAGCCAGATATCTTTTTGAAGTTTGGAGAATTATTTATTTATGTTAATTTTAGAATATGTGAAAGATAAATTTATAGAACCCAAGTCAAGAAGCAGTAAAGGTGGGAAACATTACTAATGGTGTAGAAAACCTGATAGATGATGGGTATGATACATTATTAAAGGGGTTGGAGTTATATATAGAACATTAAAGTCATACTTGCCTTGGAAGTTGAATTCAATCATTTATTAGCCATGTAACCTAAGGCAAATTGCCTACATTTTCTTGTTTTCTGATTTGTAAATTGCAGATAATCTTAGGTGTTTTGCAGTATTATGAAGATGAAGTAAGAATTTATGTTGAGTCCAGTACACTGTGGGTACCCAGTGACTGTTAGGTATTATTTATCATCTCTTACCTTTTTAGGGTAACATTATGAAAAAGAACAACAATGAGTTCCCTCAGAGAGAGTTTTAGAACCTACTGGTCATTGATCTTTTGATCTACAATTTCTTTGTCCTTATGTTCCAAAAGGTGCATAGCCGTACATAAATTAGAGAAATCTTCTAGGGCCCATTTGAGTTATCTGTTATAAAAATTTTAAATCATTTATTGTATGACGTGTATTGTACTAAGGGCCCGACATACTTAAAATGCATTAACTTATTTTATACTCATGGCAATCCTCTGAGGTAGGAATTGTAATTATCCACATATTATGGATTCCTAAAGGTCACAGTGCAAGTAAAAGGGGAAGTGGAAGTTTGAGCCCAGTCTCATTCCAGATCCTGCACCTTTCACCTGATACTGCTACTGTTGAAGAGGTAGAAGCATTGTCACGTAAAATAAGTCTTAATTATGGTTTTCTTTCCCCACAGGTGTAGATTTGGAAAATGGTACTTGTGCTCATCCTTTAATTCCTGATAAAGCCTCTCCTCTTTTACCTGCAAATCATGTGACCATGACAAAAGGAACAGGGTTGGTTCACACAGCCCCAGCTCATGGTATGGAAGATTACAGTGTAGCTTCTCAGCACAACCTGCCGACGGTACTTTGCCTCTTTTTCCTTTTTTAATTATTGCTTTTGTAGAATTAAAGTGATAAGTCCTAACCAGCATCTTTATTTTTTGGTTATAAGCAGTCATTTTTGTTATAATTAAGTTGTGAAGTGCTTAGGTTTGTTCAGTCCCCTAATGCCTCATTAATTCATACTAATTGATAAAGATTTTCCTAACACAAAATCGGCACAATATTAGAATTGAAAAATACATATTAAGTGGGGACAATTTTTTTCTTTCAAGTCCTAATTCATATAGACATATTACTTTTAGTTTCTGAAAAATGGCAAATAGGTTTTACTAGTTGAAAAGAACAGTTTGGTTTTTGTTTTTTAAAGTAAATAGTCATTTCTAAATTTATGTTACACATGCCAATTAGGAAGTTTTTCCATTTAGTTAAAGATGCATTCCAAAGTCAGCACGATACATGTACATTGCCATAGATCTGGAAATTAATAGAGACCAAGTTAAAGGTGTTTTTGGTATATTTTACTTTTTCAAAAATTATTTTATTTTCCTTCATGATAAGTGTACTCAAAATGTTAAAAATAGATCCACCTTACAATTTGGTAATCACACTACTGGGTATTTACCTCCAAAAATACAAAAACACATATGAGTTGGATCATATGGTATTTGTCTTTCTCTGACTGATTTATTTTGTTTAGCATTGTACCCTTCAGCTCTATCCATGTTGTTGCAAATGACAAGATTTCATTCCTTTTTATGGCTGAATAATATCCCAGTGTGTGTGGTGTGTGTGTATACACTCTATCTTCTTTATCCGTTCATGTATCGATGGGCATTTGGGCTGCTTCCATAGTTTGGCTATGGTAAATAATGCTGCAATAAACAAGGGGTGCATTTATCCCTTTGAATTCGTATTTTGTTGAGTTTTATAAGTTCGTTATGTATTTTGGATACTAAGCCTTTATCATATATGTCCTTTGCAAATATCTTCACCCATTCAGTAGTTTGCCTTTTAGTCTTGTTGATTGTTTCCTTCGATGTGCAGAAACTTTTTTATTTTGATATAGTCCCCATAGTTTGTTTTTGCTTTTGTTTTGGGAGACATATCTAGAAAAAGGTTGCTACGGCCAATGTCAGAGACATTATTGCCTATGTTGTCTTCAAAGATTTTATGGTTTCAGGTCTTACATTTAGGTCTTGTTTTTCTTTTTCAGGATTGCTTTGACTATTCGAGGTCTTTTATGGTTCCATACAAATTTTAATATTGTTTGTTCTAGTTCTGTGAAAGATGCTGTTGGTATTTTGATAGAGATTGCATTAAATCTGTAGATTGCTTTGCGTAGTATAGACATTTTAACAGTATTTATTCTTCCAACCCATGAGCATAGAATGTCTTTCCATTTCTTTGTGTCATCTTGAATTTCTTTCATCAGTGTTTTATAGTTTTCAGAGTACATGTCTTTCACCTCTTCGGTTAAGTTTATTCCTAGATAGTTTATTGTTTTTGGTATAGTTTTAAATGGGATTGTTCTCTTAATTTCACTTTCTGCTGCTTCATTATTAGTGTATAGGAATGCAGCAGATTTTTGTACATTAACTTTGTATCCTGCTACTGTACTGAATTCATTTATCAGTTCTAGTAGTTTCTTGGTGGAGTCTTTAGGGTTTTTTTATATATAGTATCATGTCATCTGCAAGTAATGAGAGTTTTACTTCTTACCAATTTGGATGCCTTTTATTTCCTTATGTTGTCTAACTGCTGAGAATAGGACTTCCAGTACTCTGTTGAATAAAAGTGGTGAGAGTGGACATCCTTTTCTTGTCCTGACCTTAGGGGAAAAGTTCTCAGTTGTTCCCTGTTGAATATGATGTTGGCTATGGGTTTTCCATATAAGGATTTTATTATTTTATTATTCCCTCTAAACCTACTTTGCAGGGAGTTTTTTTTTTAAATCATGAATGGATGTTGTACTTTGTCAAATGCTTTTTCTTCATCTGCTGAAACGATCATATGTTTTTTATCCTTTCTCTTTTTGATGTGACATATCACGTTGATTGTTTTGCATATCACACTTGAATCTAGGACTAAATCTCAAATCATTATGGTTTATAATTTTTTAATTTTTATTTATTTTTTTTAAAGATTTTATTTATTTGAGAGAGAGAGAACGAGAGAGAGCACGAGAGGGAAGAGGGTCGGAGGGAGAAGCAGACTCCCTGCTGAGCAGGGAGCCCGATGCGGGACTTGATCCCGGGACTCCAGGATCATGACCTGAGCTGAAGGCAGTCGCTTAACCAACTGAGCCGCCCAGGCGCCCGGTTTATAATTTTTTTAATGTATTGTTGGATTTGGTTTGCTAATGTTTTGTTGAGGATTTTACTTTTTTAATTAAACTTGTGGTATGGGATGCCTGGGTGGCTCAGTCAGTTAAGTGTCTGCCTTTGGCTCACTCAGGTCAGGATCTCAGGGTCCTGGGATTGAGTCCCACATCAGGCTCCTTGCTCAGTGGGAGCCTGCTTTTTCCTCTGCCTGCCACTCCCCCTGCTTGTGTATTCTCTCCCTCTCTCTCTCGACAAATAAATAAATAAAATCTTAAAAAAATTAAAAAGTAAAAAAAAAACTTGTGGTATATGTTTTAATAAGACCTTTGCCTTTTGTGATTTAAATGTATAAATCCACAAATTTCTATTAATTGCATAAGAAGTACCCACATTTTCAATGTAGTGAAAGACTATACTGAGATGTTTTATATATGTTGTTTTACTGGGGATTGTTATAAGATAAAATGTTTTGGTACTTTAATTTTTGAAAATAACCCTTTGTAGGATTGTTTAGTGGATGAAGATGGAGTTTTCACAGATGTTGCAGGTCCTGAACTTCAAAACAAGGCTGTCCTTGAAGAGGGAACAGATGTGGGTGAGTGTTGTGTATGTTGTAATCATAAATACATATTTTCGGAAAAGCAGCCAGCAGCAACCTTTGCTGGCTGTTCTCCCATTGTACACTTTCATTAGAAACAAAAATCTGAAGTTGTATTTTATTTTGCCACGTGGTTTAAAATGGAGGTTGGGACTTCGTCATCTTTTGTTTTGAAGTTGCTCTATGTGGTTAGGCAAAGCAGGGCAGTCAACAGGGAGTGATATTATTTTAGGGCTACAGCAGTGTGAGTTTTGTGGAAGGATAAAATCAAGCTTAAGGGTAGATGTTGACTTCTTTTTATAACCCTTGTACTGAGCACATGTTAGCAATGTTTATGTGTTACAATCTTCAGGATCCTCCAGCCTGACTCGGCTTTCTGACTTTTTGTAATTATGGATCCAAGGACCAGGTACTGTGAAGACTTTCCTTTGCCCACACTAAGACTAAGGCTAATTAAACATGATATAATACTTGCCTATGACTACTGTAACAAATTACCGTAAATTTAGTAGCTTAAAACAACAGAAATTTACTCTCATGGTTCTGGAGGCTAGAAGTCTGAAATCAGTGTTTTGGCAAGGCCACGCTCCCTCTGAATGTTCAGTGGAAGAATACTTCCTTGCCTCTTCCTAGATTCTGGTGGCTTCTGGTAATCCTTAGCAGTCCTTGGTTTATAGCTGTATCACTCTAATCTTTGCCCCCATTGTTACATGTCCTTCGCTCTTGTGTGTCTCTGTGTGTCCTCCTCTCTTATTAGGTCACTAGTCATTGGATTTAGGGCCCACTCTAATCCAGTGTGACCTCATCTTAACTTGATTACATCTGCGAAGACCCTGTTTCCAAAAATGGTCACATTCACAGGTGCTAAGGGTTAGGACTTGAACATTATCTTTTGGGAGGATAAAATTCAATCCACTATAGCTGGTTTCTTCTGGATTCTTTGGAGACCACTTTAAGATTCATAGTATGAAAGACTACGAATTTCAAATGTAGAATTTTAGATATTATCCTATTTATCTTTCCTTTGCAGTGAAAAACCATGGGAATGACTTAATTTGGAATCTAATTAAGGTTTTATAGTTTCTTCTTTTTTTGCCAGGAGATTCCTAGATTATGCTTGACAGCTGGTAAGTGGCTACTCTTACCGACTGGCACTTACTAGTCCAGGTTTAGTACTCTGGGAATTAGAGAGTTAGTAGGATTTTCATTGTACTTTTTAATTATGTCTAATGTAAATTGTTACTGATTTTTTTCAAGTTATAAAGATGCTTCAGTCTTCAAAGCATTTGTTGAAAGAGGAGAAATTGGTACACAGCTATCCCTATGACTGGAGGACTAAGAAACCAGTGGTTATTCGTGCCAGCAAGCAGTGGTTTGTAAATATCACGGATATCAAGGCCACAGCCAAGGTATAAGAGACATCCTATTGTGAGTGTTGGGTTTTTATTCCCTCAGGTGAAAGGGTTGCATGCGAAGTTGAGGTAGGGTTTGGGGAAAGGAAGGAATTGCTGCTATTAACGATTTGGTGATTTGGTTTCATAAAATTGTAGTTTTAGAAGGATCTTGGATTTCTGTTCCTTCATTATACATGTGTGGCTTAAAGAGGCTAAGGGACTTGTCCAAATTTCTGGCCCAGTGTAATGAAAGTAATATAGCATTAGGACAGAACTGTGTTCAGGAGGTGAACCTTAGAACCTCAGTATCCTCATGTATATGGAGTTGATAATAATGCCTACCCCATGGGGTAAGTGAATAAAAGCTCCAGAACAGTATCTGGCATATAGTAAACATTTGGTAAAACTCTCTAAAAACCCTGTGCTTCCTTAAGATTGAAATTGCAATTAATTTGAAAAATTGTTGCTTTGAATTAACAAATACTTTACAAAAATGGGTATTATAAATATTAATATGTATTTGAGCTCTGTCATTCACTATAAATATCTATCTGTGTGTGTGTGTCGTAAACAATTTAATCTATTGAATGAAAGAGCTCAAGTATCTATTTGTTAATCAGGCTGATAATGAAGATAGCTTTACTGCTTTCATCTTAATGTGTAACTGCAATGAGTTGGTTTATTTGTTGGCCTGGCAATTTGAACCTATGCAAGCAATTTACATTTTCTGTATTTGTATAGAGTGGGCAACTGTGATATGGACTGATTTTTTTGTTTGTTTTTGCATTCCTGTGAAGCCTGTTTTCCTTTGTTGTAAATGTTAAGATTAGTAACTTTCAGCTCTGAACAGATTTTTTTATTGAAGAACATCTAAGTTTGATGCAATATGCTGGAGCCAAGTGTTTTTTGTTGTTGGTTTTTTTTTAATTGTCCTTTATAGACAGAACATCTAAGTGTGATGCAATATGCTGGAGCCAAGTGTTTTTTGTTGTTTTTTTTAAAATTGTCCTTTATAGCCAATTTTCAATTCCTCTTTGTGGAAATAAAATAATGTACTCCATGTTTCTTCCACCCAAATTCAACATTAATCAGCTTTTGGCCAATTTTATTTTTGTCTTCGCCCGTCCTGCCACCCCTGCCTTTTACTCCTTACCCATTAGATTGTTTTGAAGCAAATTTCAGGCCTTGTGTCTTCCATAAATATTTCAGCATGTGTATCTGAAATATAAAGACTACTTAAATGTAATTCTAATGCTATTGTTACTGTTTTATAAAAGTGTTATTGCTTAACAAAATCAAATATGCAATCTGTATTCATTTTCCTTGGATTTTTAAACCAAGTATTAATCAAATTGAATTGCAGATGTTGCAATTCTGCCAGTAGGTGGCGCTGGAAAGGGTTTCTGGGGAGAGGGTTTTTTTTGTTTTGTTTTTTAAGATTGATTTATTTATTTGAGGGGTGCCTGGGTGGCTCAGTCGTTAAGTGTCTGCCTTCAACTCAGGTCATGATCCTGGGATCGAGCCCCACATCGGGCTCCCTGCTCCACAGGAGGCCTGCTTCTCTCTCTCTCACTCCCCCTGCTTGTGTTCCTTCTCTTGCTGTGTCTCTCTCTGTCAAATAAATAAATAAAATCTTAAAAAAAAAAGATTTTATTTATTTATTTGAGAGAGGGTGGGGGGAGGGAGAGAGTGAGCAGCGGGGAGGGGCAGAGGGAGAGAAAGTTTTGAGCAGACTCCCCCCTCTGAGTGCACAGTCGGACTTGGGGCTTGATCTGAAGACTCTGAGATCATGACCTGAGCCAAAACCAGAAACCAAGAGTCCAGACTTTAACCGACTTTGCTGCCGAGGCACCCCCAGGGAGAGGATTTCTTGTAGTTCAGGTTAAGTGAGGAAAATGTTTAAATCACTCGAATTAAAAAAATGCTTTAAATAATGGATAGAGAGATTCTCAAAAATGAAGTTAACATATTTTGGCCTTTCTGGAGATTATTACCAGACATTTTCCTATACAATTCATCTTTTGGTAATTGACAAATGAATGAAATAAAAAACAACTTTTTGTGGGGCTGGAGGCAGGGGGGTTCTTGAAAGAGAGTAAGTACATAGGAAGTAACTGTGACTTTGAGAAAGTGTTTCTTATGTTGTAAACCATACTATGTGAAATTAGGTTCTATTGTAATCCTTGTTTATTAACCTCAGATGGTAGCTTTTTTTTTAAGTACTTAAAAATTATCATTGAAATCAAGTTTGAATAGATTTTAACAACAGTTTGATGAAACTTAATGCTTCTGCTAACCTTGTTATTGCCAGTTTTGATCTCGAGTGCTTGGAAGTTAGTATACAATCTCTTGTACATCCTCTAATGGTGAAATCTGCTCTTGATGTTATTTATTAGATCCATTGTGGCCCTGTTTTCACTTTGGTTCATTTGATCTGAAATCTGTAGTTTTTTAGTTTAGTTTTTGGACATGGGGAGGGAGACATGTGAATGACTATGAACATCCAAAATAAAGAACCACTGGGCTAAATCGTGGCATTTCTGGGAAATTTGTTCTGCTTACTCTCACTGGACTTGATTTGTGAATCAATTGCAGGAATTGTTAAAAAAGGTGAAATTTATTCCTGGATCTGCACTGAACGCCATGGTTGAAATGTTGGACAGACGGCCATATTGGTGCATATCAAGGCAGAGAGTGTGGGGTGTTCCAATCCCTGTGTTTCATCACAAGACAAAAGATGAATTCTTGATCAACAGGTAGAATTTTTTCCACATTTTTTCAGTATTTTAAAGTGAGCTGTGTTTTCTTCAAAAGTAGAAAAAGGGACTGTTGAGAATTGATGCATGTTAAATCACATATTCAGTCTTGTCAGGGGGAATAAAATATAATTTCAAAAAGATGCTTTCATATGGTTGAAGTTTTAAAACTATATTTTTTCAGTATGGATACTTACAAGCAGAGGCTTTGACCTATAGAATCAGGTGTCAGGAATCCAAAGATGAACAGCGTTCAGGAGAGGATCCCTGTATGTAATTTTTCTTTAGGAATTAGAGTCCCTCTCTTACCTTAGGCTACTGTGCCTGCCTTTCTTTCTTTCTTTCTTTCTTTCTTTCTTTCTTTCTTTCTTTCTTTCTTTCTTTCTTTCTTTCTTTCTTTCTTTCTCTTTCTAATTTTATTTATTTATTTGAGAGAGGGAGAGAGAGAGAGAGAGAGCACAAGCAGGGAGAGCAGCAGAGAGGGAGAAGCAGGTCCCCACTGAGCAGGGAGCCTGACATGGAGCTCGATCCCAGGACCTGGGATCATGACGTGAGCTAAAGGCAGATGTTTAACCTACTGAGCCACCCTGGTGTCCCTAGGCTACTGTCCGTTTCAACAGAAGTGACATTATGGGTGCTGACTGAGGAGTTCAAGACACTGTAGATGTAGAGTTGAATGTCCCTACTTTGGGGTTCATCAGAATTTTTGTGAAAATGTTCTACTTTTCGTTGTCAGCGTTATCCGTGTTTCTTTAGGTGGTCCTTTTATGAATGCATGTATTTTAGGGATTTTTTAAAATTTATTAAAGTGGGGTGGGTTTTTTTGTTTGTTTGTTTTAATCATCTATAGCCACGTATTAGGTAGTTCTTAGTGTTTTTTTGTGTGAAAGTTCCTTTTCAATTTACTGTTTATTTTTATTTTTATTTTTATTTTTTTTATTTTTTATTTTTTAAAGATTTTATTTATTTGAGAGAGAGAATGAGAGAGAGCACAAGAGGGAAGAGGGTCAGAGAAAGAAGCAGACTTCCTGCCGAGCAGGGAGCCCGATGCGGGACTCGATCCTGGGACTCCAGGATCATGACCTGAGCCGAAGGCAGTCGCTTAACCAACTGAGCCACCCAGGCGCCCTATTTTTATTTTTAAAGGTTATTTGGGGGGCACCTGGGTGGCTCAGTCATTAAGTGTCTGGCTTTGGCTCAGGTCATGATCCCAAGGTCCTGGGATCCAGCCCCACGTTGGGCTCCCTGCTCGGTGGGAAGCCTGCTTCTCCCTCCCCTGCTCCCCCTGCTTGTGTTTCCCTCTCTTGCTATATCTCTCTCTGTCAAATAAATAAACAAAACCTTAAAAAAATGAAAAAAAAATTAAAAAGATTATTTGAAAGAGAGAGTGTGGTGTGTGCGTGTATGAGTGGGGCAGTGGGAAGGGGCAGAGGGAGAGGGAGAGAGAATCTCAGGCAGACTCCCCACTGAGCACAGAGCCTGATATGGGGCTTAGTCCCCTGACCCTGAGATCACAACCTGAGCCGAAATCAAGAGTTGGACCCTTACCCAACTGAGCCATCCAGCCGCCCCAGTTTCTTTCAGTTTAAATACACATTTTATCATTCCGTCATGGGTGATCTGACACCTTATGGCAACATGGCTCAGGGAAGAACTAGAGCTCTGCCTTGGGCAAATATCAAACCATAAAACAGCTCATTTGCTTTATGCACAGAGGCTATGGCATTTGAGTAAGGGCTCGAAGAGTAGGTAGGAAACAGGGCAAAGTGTTTTGTAAGTAGAGCGTTCAGCAGGAGCGGAGGGCACGGAGAGGGGAAAGCGTAGCACTTTTACAGGAGCCGTAAGAGGACTGTGGGGTGCTGAGGAGGGTTTTAGAAAGATAAACACCACGAAAGACTGGTTGGGGCAAATTGTAGTGAGTCTTGAATACTAGGTCAAGTAGTTTAAACTTTTAAATAGGCATGAGGAGTAAGAGTATATTTTAGGAAAAGAAACTAGAGGTTAGAGGCCAGGAAGTCATTGTAAGGCAACCTCAGTGTTATTACTTCGGTTTGGAGAGCTAAGGCTCTTTGTCCTAAATATCATTGCTCACATTGTTCTTATAATTGAGAGCATGGTCAGATGATACCTTAATACCTTAAAGTTCAGATAAATTTACACAAGAATTGTTTAAAATTTCACACTGTAGAGTTTTCTTTTAAGGAATGTTTATAAGACATTGTCATTGTTTCTCTCTCTTTTTTTGTAGCATTTGAGGACAGGATTTTTAGGGAATTCCCTCAAAGTGATTCAGATGGACATATGTATATATTAGTAAGAAGAGCAAATTGGTTTATTTGACCATTATTTAATCATGACAATAAAATGGTACATTGATTGGTGAAATAAATGTGAGCTTTGTCAGAAAAACACAAGCAAATTTTCATCAGGTGCTATTTATATTTTATTTATAGTCGATATATTCATACAATTATGTTACAGATTGTTTTCCATGCATCTCCCATTGTGTTGCTTGTATGATGCTAGTTGAATTCTGATTTTGAAGTAGGAGAGATATACAGGATATTGGCCTACAAAAATGACAGACAAACTTAGCCAAATTATCTGTCAATTCATAGGTCATTTTCCTGTACACCATTTCTTAGTGATGACTCCAATCTTCTTCCATTGTCGGGTCCTTCATGTGACATGACACTTGACTTAAGAAGATAGGTATTAATTCTTAATTATTTGTGAGTTTTTAAAGATAGCATGAAAGGTTACCTTTTTTCCTCCGTAAGCAAGTCAGAATCAAGTGACTATGATTTTCTGTCTTCCTTGGATCGTATCTTTCTATTGTAGTGAGTTGGTAACCATCAAAAGTAACAGCATCTCCACTGGAAATTGGCACACAGTCCACATGGAGTTGCTGTTACACTTGATAACCCCATTAAGCATACCAGAGATTCCTTCTGCTTTTCTGGATGAAAGTCTGTAAGTTAAAGCCTTAATTATACTTGTTTCACAAAAAAAAAAAAATCTTGATTTATTCATGCTCTGAATAGGTTTAGAGACTGGTAGATTTGAAACTCTGATGTTTAATTTTGATTTGAATTAATGTTCTCATCTGCACTTTATATTCACATTTTTATTTGCTCAAGATATAATTCCATTTCTGACTTTAACATTATTGATTTTTCTGAATCTGCCATTATAATTTAGGTAGAAATCTATTCCTACTTAATAAAGACAAATACTTTTTAGCATTAAAAAAGGTAAAATTTAGGAACATTCGCCACCTAGAAAGGAAAAGAAGTTGTTTATTTTGGATGATTATATGAATTCAACAGTATTAATGCAGTAATCTATGCATTTGGGAAATGTAGCTCCTGATTTCTGGAAATTAGGAGAAGTTGACAAGAAGCAATCAAGGAATTTCCAGTTCATTTTGAGTGCTAGATTTTTGTGGGTTTTTTGTTTGTTTGTTTGTTTAAGATTTCTTTATTCATTTTGGAGAGAGAGAGAGAGTGTGCAGGAAGGAGAGGCAGAGGGAGAGGGAGAGAGAGAACCCCAAGCAAACTCCCCACTGAGTGTGGAGCCTGATGCGGGGCTTAATGCCAAGACCCTGGGATCATGACCCGAGCTGATATCAGGAGTCAGATGCTCAACCGACTGCCTCACTCAAGTGCCCCTGAGTGCTAGCTTTAACTACCTCTTGCTCATGTTAATAATAATGACCTTTTGGTGAAAAAATTTTATAATGTTCATTAAATAAAAATAATTTTCTCCAGAGTTGTTTCCTGTAGCCTTTAAAATCTAAGTATAGGATTAAATTAAAAATAGAATCTCCCCTTTAGATTTCATTGTGTTCTAGAATTAAATGTATACATTTAGTAAATAAATTGGAAACGTTTAGCCTCTTACCTCATTCTTACTCCAGTAACTTGCGGAAGAAAAGTTGTCTTATAATCCTTAATATTTTTCCTTTAATAAAGACAAAACACAGGAAACAGAATGACAGCAACAGTTTCTTCCTTGCTTAGTAGATCTTAATGCTGCTTAATTTCTGATAACATGCTAAATAAGCCTTTGGCTCAGTTGATATCAAAGTCTAGAATGATTGGATGGTGTTACAGTTGCTCATACTACCCAGTGGATTTTCACTGGTTGAAACCTAAGGAGGGACACATAATGCATGTGTTTAGATAAGGCCCTCGCATAAAGTACAAAGTTTTATGACGGATTTATTGCTTTATGAAATACAGCATTAAAATGGAAGTATATAGATTACTTAGTGATAAGTGGTTTCACCCACTTTTATCAACAGTAATTTAGACTGATCTTTAGGTTATAAGTTAACTGTAGGTTTGTGTTAAGTATAGGATACTATTAACATAAGGAAAGAATTCTTAAATTTCCAAAGACAAATTTTGACTTTTTCCTTATATTTTTTTTTATGAAAAATGTTCAGTATCACTAAGAAATACATACTGTTTTAAAACAAATATTGTTTAAAATTGTTTTAAAAACCTTATAAAGCATAAAATCTGTTTCATTATAAACAGTTACACTTGTAAAATATTTATCCATAAGGAAATAAGACTAATGTCTCTTGTATGAAGATAGATATGTTAAGGCTGTCTCATACAGTTGATTATAAAGGACCATGATGACAGAAATAATCTAAGTCAGTTTTGGAAGAATGAATGTGCAGCCATTAAAAATGCTAGCTTAGCCCCTAATAATTGCCTAGTTCCCTACATATGAAAATCAAATAAATGTAGCCCATCCTGACATTTGGCTGTTTCTGGGTTTTTGCTACAGCATTGTATAATGACTATCTTTTAAGCACTTGTGTAGCATTTACTTGTATTTCTTTTCCAGATTATCCTCTCAGATTTTGTTTGAACTAACATTAAATTTATCTTTATTTTTATTTGAACTAACGTTAAATTTATCTTTATTTTATAATCTAGGATAGTTACCTCAAGTTTGTAGGTCGCCAGTATATATTTATTTTTATTGAAAATTTTGTTTCTAAAATTCTCTGCCACAATTTTTTAGGGTCATTCAGATCATCAGAGTACAAGTCAAGAAAAAGTTCTCACTTTTTAGTACCAAATCTGTGCACTTACATTTTGATTTGTTTGGCTTGTGAGAGTGTTGTCTTTGAAGTCTGCATTCTTATGTATCATAAATTTTGTTCAGTTTTTATCCTCAAACTCCAGAATTGTCTTTAGCTTCTTTTCCTTTTTTCAAAAATACAAGTAATATAGTGTTCTAAGATCTCAAAACAGAACTGAGTTGCAGAACATAATGCTTATTAAGGTAAATTTAGTACATGATATTTTTACATTTCATAATACAAAGTAAGGAAGCAAGTCTTGCTGTAAATATTAGTGAGACTTGCCCTGTTAATGAGGCAGAGCTTCTTTCCTCCCCTCTTTAAAGTGTGTCATATTTCTTTTGGATACATTGAAAAAAGTATTCTTTCGTCCAGATTCACATGCATATGTTATTAGGGAAAATACTGGGTCATTTACATTACATAAAATATGTAGTTTTACTTATGACAGCTTTTTTGAAGTAAGATGAAAAAAATTAATCATTAGTGTAGATAACATTGTGTGGTTATGTCATTTTTAATAAATATTCTTAGGTAAACTAAAAGAAAAAATCTAACTTTCCTCCTCACTGAAACAAGAGACTTACCAGTTTTTTTAAAAAAGTATATTTGCAAATAAGATATATATAAAATGCTTCTTACACTAAAAAATTGTATATGTGAATGAATTACTGATATCTTTATAAGAAAATATAACAAAGCTTCAATTTTAGTTAGACCGGATATGGTTGGCTAAACTTGGTAGGATTTTACAGTTGCCTTAATAACTTGTCAGCTGCAAAATTGGGATCTTTCTTTATTGTTTGGTATTTTTAGTTATAGTTCTAAAACTTCATTGAATTATCTGATAGTTAGGGATATAAAAAAAGAACTTCATCTCATGAGAGGTGAATTTGGTCTTCTAAAATGGATGGGCATCATCTATAATTTTAAGATTACTGAGTATAATACTAGGACTTTTTCCTTTTTTAAGAATAAAATTTTTCACATAGCCTTCTTTCTGACAGCATTTCCCGGTGTTCACAGAAACTGAAGCTCAGAAAAATACTATCACGTATTCCTGTCAGTACTAATAATTCACAGGTAGAATCTGGTCTTTGGACTTGCTGCTTGTTCTGTCAACACTCTAATCTCCGGAGACTGACTGGTTCCCTCACTTCATCTCTGGGTCAGGGGTTCATTGGGCATGGGTAATAGAGTCTTTTTGCCTTTGCTTAGCAAACCCCGGAGAACAGGAGTGTGAATTTACAGTTACAGTGGTTGTCTTGATAGATGAGTTAGAGAAGTAAAAACAGAATTGAACCATGATTTAGGACACACAGTTTTAAGACCTGGCATTAACTATGTTACTTACATAGGCCTCATGACTGAAGGATCATCGAGGCACGGAACAGTGTTTCTGTCAATACACTGTTTCTGTGAATCTGATTAGATAGTGCTGGTAAAGTGTTTTGAAAAATACAATGTGTGGTATGCACCTAAATGCTTTTATTTTGATTAATAATATTAATCCTAATATCTCTTCCTTATTTCCTAAATTAATATGAAATTTGAACTATTTGCTTTTGGTTTTGTGTTATTTTTTAATCTACTTATTTCCAGCACATTTAAAACTGTTTTACTGTTTTATTTTACTGTTTACCTAAAGTTACAGCCTACTGATAACATTTGTAAAAATAAAACATCAAAATGACACTCATATTTAGAATCATTCCTTTCTATGAGTGTTTCAGAATTGGTATGAACATTTTATCTTCTGTAATTGTGTACGTGTAAATGTACTTTGCTACTATCTCTGTAGAGGGGGTTCTTTTAGAAAAATAGAGTTACGTTATTCATATTTTCTTTTCCGGTGTATTCCGATTTTCTTAACTGTCAAAATGTTCTGTGCAAACTGTATAAAATAGTAATATGTAACTAAATATTGTCATATAACTAGGTATTGCACAAAGTTTTTATGGTCTCCTATCACAAAAGTTTATCTTTACTGTTAAAGTCCATTGAAAATGTATGACTACAAGAAATAAGGACTTGTGCCCATTTTAATATTGTTGTTGTTTCTCTTTAAAATAGATGCTGATAACATTATGCTTTTTTAGTCTATCCTTCCTAGTATACAAACTTAGGTATTTGGAATTTCCATTTTGAGAGCTTGTCTCATTCGTAATACCCATTTGATTTTTGCTTCCTACAACAGTTTTTTCATAAACATTTTATCTACGAATTATCAGACCAAGAAAGGTTAAATGATTTGCCCTACATAGTCATCATTAGTGAGAAGCAGATCCAGATTAAGAATGTAAAGCTTTTCCTACACACTACTCTTTCCATGTACGTCGACTCTGACGGGCCTGCAGTTAATTCTTAGTTACTTGCATTAATGGAATGTGGTAGAAGGGAAGATAATTCAAAAGTTAGCTTTAGTATCTGTAAATATTAATATGGGCATGTGTTTTGGTAATTGGTTAACAAAATTAGTGTCTGAATTTACCTGACTTCACAGAATCAGTTTGAATATTAGCTAATGCTTACATAATGCTTATTAGTATGTGCCAGATACTGTTCTAGGCATTTTATATATAAGCTTAATTAATATCCATAATAGCTGTCTTGATGATGCTATTATTATTTGCATTTTACAAACAGACACAGAAATGTTAAGTGTTGTGCCTGGAGTCACATAACTAGTAAGTGGTGGAACCAGGAACCTCACCAAAGCTGTGTGGTTCCAGGGTCCACACTCTTGACTATTATGTGTCCCCTGACTCAAAGGAAAGCAACTAGAGGAAGTTGTAATGTCAATAAAGCTGTGATAATAAATTAAAAGTACATTATTCCTGGGCGCCTGGGTGGCTCAGATGGTTAAGCGTCTGCCTTCGGCTCAGGTCATGATCCCAGGGTCCTGGGATCGAGTCCCGCATCGGGCTCCCTGCTCAGCGGGGAGCCTGCTTCGAACCTCTGCCTCTGCCTCTCTCTCTGACTCTCATGAATAAATTAAAAAAAAAAAAAGTACATTATTCCTGTGAGAAAATTTAGTATAAACTTCCCCTGATTTTAATTTTCATTTATAATTGTGTGTCTTCCCAAAGATATGGTCAATTACAGTATTCATTCGATGTGTATTTATTGGCTTTTTACTGTATGTCGGGCACGTGCTAAGTTTTTCATAGATCATCTCATTTAGTTGACAGGCAATCTGAGGGAAGTGTTTAGACTCGCTACAATGTGAGCTCCATTAGTGCAGGAACCTTATCTGCCTTGTGAACTGCTGTACCTCCACTTCCAAGAACAATGTCTGAGATGCTGGAGGTTATCAGTAAACGTTTTTGAACAAATGAATTCTCCTTAACAGAGGGAACAACCAAGACATAGAGACATCTTAGTACTTGTGCATGATCATACAGGAAGTTTTAGTTCTTGTGCATGGTCGTACGGAAAGTTTTAGTTCTTGTGCATGGTCGTACGGGAAGTTTTAGTTCTTGTGCATGGTCGTACGGGAAGTTTTAGTTCTTGTGCATGGTCGTAGGGGAAGTTTTAGTTCTTGTGCATGGTTGTATGTGAAGTTTTAGTACTTGTGCATGGTCGTACACGTAAAAAGTGGCAGAGTCAGGATATAGGCCTGGATACCTGTTGTCAAAGTCATGCTCTAGTGTGGCCTTGCCTCTTATGCAGGTGAATTGGGACTTAGTCCCCAAAGTGCTGGAAGTTTTGGAAAGGGGATTGGTGTGATAAAAGCAGTTTTAGGAATACAGTGCTGTCAAAGACGTGTCATTTAAGTTAAAGAGATGAGGGGTGCCTGGGTGGTGCAATCAGTTAGGTGTCTGACTCTTGGTTTTGGCTCGGGTCATGATCTCAGGGTCCTGAGATTTAAGCCCTGCGTCCCGCTCCAAGTTCAGTGCGGATTCTGCTTGGGACTCTTTCTCCTTCTCCCTCTGCCCCTTTCCCCCATGAGTGTGTGCTCCCTCTCTTTTTCTCTCTCAAATCTTTTTTAAAAAAATAAAGAAATGAGAATAGAGGAAAAGTCAGACCACTGCATTAATCTAGTATTGAGACAATAAGGTTCGACTAATATTGTATCAGAACAGAACAAAGAACAAATTTTGAGTAATATTTCAAAGGTAGAATTGACAGATTGGTGGTGTCTTAATTTGAGTGGAGACTGGAGGGAAGGGGGAGATAATTAGGAGGTTTTGAATATATACCCCTCGTTAGAAAATAGATTGATAGAAACAGGGAAATCAGTAACTAAAACAGGGATATCAGAAGAAGTCTTTTTTTTTTTAAAGGGTACATGTGATCAATTTGATTTTATTTATATTGAGCTTAAGATGACAGCCGTAGCCAAGTAGACAAGTAATTGAAGATAATACTGCTAAGGTTTGGAGGAAAAGATAGGAAAAAATATTCTGCAGATAGGGGAAAATAATTATTCTCTTTCTTTCTTTTTTTATTTTAGCGGTTTCTTAATTTTAAAATGTTCGGTGTTAATCACTGTAGTTCATTGAGCAATTCTGCCTTTTCCCTCCTAAAACAGCCAAACCACTGAGCATATCATTAAACTAGTGGAACAACATGGCAGTGATGTTTGGTGGACTCTCCCCCCTGAGCAACTTCTTCCTGAAGAAGTCTTATCTCAGGTAAATTTCCATGTGTATTTAACAGCCTCTATGTGCCATACGTGACTTAATGACAACATGAAGGATTCCTGGGAGTTAAAAAATTGTTCTATCATCATGTAAAGTTAATGAGTTTATTCCCTATAAATTAGGAGCTGGTGCAGTTTGAGAGTAGACGTTTTTGTTTAACAATAGAAGCTTCGTATTTAATATAGCAGTAGAGTACAAGGGTTATTTGTTATCTTATTGAGGGCCAAGATTGATTTTTACTGATTTAGTTGACTAAGCAGATACAGTTGTATGAGAGTAGTTCCTAATGTTGGTGCGTCAGGATTTTGTAGGGTATGAATTCGAGTTAACCGATTGCATCAGACATGAAAAAATCCAAATTAGAAGATCATTTCAGGAAATGAAAACAGTTTATATCTATGTTAGTAAATGTGTAATGAAGTGGCCGCAGTCATCTTTACCTGCAAATGAGGTGGTTGTACTGAATTGCAAAATACTTAGAAGTGTTTTAAATTTCATTTTAAAATGTGAGTTTAATGCTTGTAAGCATTTGATTTTTTTTTTAAGACTTTTTTGGTCCTTATTGTATGTATTGTGATCTTTGCATAATTAAAATGTTCTCACGTTATCTTATTAGGTTGGTGGTCCTGATGCCTTGGAATATGTGCCTGGTCAGGATATTTTGGACATCTGGTTTGATAGTGGAACTTCATGGTCTTATGTTCTTCCAGGTAATTTTAAATAGTAGATTATAAACCAGCCGAGCAGTTTTGCAAATATATAAAGGTTACTCAGAGGAAATTTGTTAATCTAGGAATATTTTTTTTCTGTATTTGGAAGAAAACCTTTTTTGGTGGGGGCAGCCCAGAAGAAAATTGAAAATCTCCTGCTATGGTATAATTTTAGACCTAAATGGGCTCTTGGAGATCATTTAATCTAATGATTTCCAAACTTTTTTTTGTTTTTCCAAATGAAATTTCATATAGAACCACAATATGTAAGATAGATTAATCATGGGAATTTTCTTCCTCCACTCAACCAGCTCATTCTCCTTGAGTCACTTGGCAATCCCAAGGCACTAGTTCTGTAAAGTTTAGAAATCACTGAAACAGTCTGACTCCTGTCATTTTTCAGAACAGGAAATGAGATTAAATTAGAGCCAAATTAGGTGGTGGTCACATAGTTTGGTAGTATCAGACTAGAACTCACATATCCTGATTTTTGGTTCTCATTTTTCTTATACAGCCTTGCCTTTTCACAGCTCTTCCCTCCCTCTATGCAGACAGCTGACTGACTTTATATTTACTCACAGTTGGGGCACACTCTTGACTTCCGGAATAAAGAGAAGGGAGAGACCGGGCAGGAGTTAGAAGGGAGAAGTAGAAGGCACACATTCGAGGTTGTGTTTAGATGCTTAAGAAGATATGCTTAAGGATACCAAGTGAACAACAGAGGTAAATTGCAGAATAAAGCTCGAAGTCACTATGAGGTTAAAGACAGGAAAGAGGTAGGTGGCAGGAGAGGGGGGATGGAGCAGACACTTCTTCACACTGCTGCTAGGGGACAACTTCGGCCCAAGAGATCTTGCTTGCTTTCTGGAGCAAGAGAATGTGGCAAAGTAGCTTGTCTCTGCAGCTGGCCATTATTAAGGGATCGTGAGGGATTGTCCCCAAGTTTTACCTGTGGTGTACTTCTGCTACTGGGCCTCACTATTTTTTTTTTCTGCGATAAAGATATTTTATTTGGCTTGTTTGCAAAGTAAAAATTGGGGTGATCAGGAAATAACAGTATGATATGAAACAAGTTCCATAAATAAGCAAAATGAAGTCAGTCAGGAAAGGACAACATAAGCCCTCTTGCTCAAGCTCGGTGACCCAGCATTACATGCAGATGTTACACTTGATGCTAGCCATTCAGCTTCTGAAATGTCTCCAAGAACGAAAACCATCCAGGGATAAAGAAATAATAAAGGAAGTCTCAAGTATAGTTACAAATGTTGCATTTTCTGATTTAAAAAAAAATTTTTTTTATTAGTAAAAATATGACTCCTAGTAGATAAGTAAGTTCATTTGGGCCTTTCTAATAGCTTAGGAAATGTGAAAAGCAAAATCCATGTAAATTCACGTTTCCTCTATATTACAGCTAAAATATATGTGGTAATTCATGATGGCCACATATAAGTTACATATTGGTAAAATCTTTTACAATTTTTATTTAATAATTTTCAGAACTATTATTTCTTAAGTTTCTCCCACCCTAAGAGAAAAAACTGCAAGCTTAAGTACTTTGTTTTCCTAAATTATATTGAAAATATAGGCAGATATACTACATAAAGTAGGCAGGTGAAGCAGTGTTGTAAATTGGAAGAAGAGTTATTTATCTACTACCACATTGGAGCAGCATCCTGAATTTCAAGAAAAGTATGCCCTCTGCAAAGTAGTGTCTTTATATTCCAGAGCGCATTCATTTTTTTGGCCTTGGTGAGAGTTGCCGCTACAAGCGTTGTTGCGTTGTAACTTCTGGATGGTTTCACGTTACTCCATGCAGCAAGCACACTTCAGACTTAGAGCCGTTGGCGGGGGAGACTCCATGAAGACACATTCAGACCTGCCTGTGCTACCATCAGTGGCACCGATGGAGTTTAGTCCTACTCTTTATAGTTCGTGAGGTTCTTAGCCAAATACTTGACTGTGACAGAAATACTTCACTGGGGCGCCTGGGTGGCTCAGTCGTTAAGTGTCTGCCTTCGGCTCAGGTCGTGACTCCAGGGTCCTGGGATCGAGCCCCGCATCGGGCTCCCTGCTCGGCGGGAAGCCTGCTTCTCCCTCCCCCACTCCCCCTGCTTGGGTTCCCTCTCACTGTGTCTCTCTCTGTCAAATAAATAAAATCTTAAAAAAAAAAAAAGAAATACTTCATTGAATGAAATGAGTGGTAAAAGTGCACCTAAGCAGTAAATCATTTTTTTCTGTCATATTTAGATAATTAATTCAAAGCAAGAAACCTGATTTGTCATTTAAACATGGGTGTTGCCTGCATGGAAGGCCACCAGAACATAAATAAACTACCTTTATTTTTTTTTTTTTTAAGATTTTATTTATTTATTCATGAAAGACAGAGAGAGAGAGAGGCAGAGGGAGAAGCAGGCTCCCAAGGAGCAGGGAGCCCGATGCGGGACTCAATCCCAGGACCCCGGGATCATGACCCGAGCCGAAGGCAGACGCTTAACCATCTGAGCCACCCAGGCACCCAATAAACTACCTTTAAAGATAATACACAAGTCCAGTTTTGAATTGTAGTTTCTGCTTTTTCACTGCGATGCCCTTTTCCTCCTCCTCTTCCCCTAAATAAATCAGTCAGTAAAAAACCTTATGAGGTCAGTCAGTAAGAATTGGGTTAATTAGCTTATATTTTATCCCATTTTCCTGAGCTTTTTTTATTCTCTTGCAATAAAAAATTGCAAAATATAGGGAGAAAGAATGAAGTGGGAAAGAGCCCACATACTAATTAAGTTCATAGTTCGAAAAGCCGTAAAGCAAAGGTGATTTTCCTTAAAAGGAAAAGAGAGAGAGGAAGAGAGAGAAAGGCTTTCCTGAGAAAGGTTATTATACTTTTCATTCTCAAATGCTTGTATTGATTCTAATAAATGATTCAGTGTCTGCATATTTCCCTAAGAGTACATTGTTGCAAAATAAAGTCAACTTGACTTTGAGCTTAATTTAGCTACAGTCTTCATCAGTACAAGAGGAATTTGGTGAATATAGCATACATAACTGGTTTTACTTTTCGCTGACAGGTTTTATAGCAGTGAAAGAGATTTGACTTATGAATGTTAACACCAGGTCAAGCACCTGTTTCATTGTGAGTTCAAGTCAATAGTACTTAAACTGAAACTGGAACACTTTCTGAAAGGGAATAGCATTTTTAAATGAATCATTCCTAAAAAAATTCTTTAAATGTTTACCAAAGGCGTTAATGATTGCAGTGATTTAAAAATAATTGTTTTTCAAAAATTTTAAACAGATTTTATTTTTTAGAACAGTTTTAGAGGAAAGTACAGAAATCCCATACAGTCTGCCTCCCCTCCCCACCCCCCCCACTGTCAGCCAACACTACAGAGGTCCACTTGTTACTGTCAATGGACCTCCACTGACAAATCATTATCATCCAGAGTCCACAGTTTACATTAGCGTTCACCCCTGGTGTTGTATGTTCTGTGGGTTTTGACAAATGTTTAATGACATGTATCTACCATTATAGTATCACACAGTATAGTTTTTACTGCATGAAAAGTGTGTGCCGCCTCCATCCCTTCTTCCCTGCTAACCCCTGGCAACCGCTGATCTTTTCACTATCCGTAGTTGTGCCTCTTTCAGAATATTATATAGTTGAAGTCATAGAGTATGTAGCTTTTTGGGTTGGCTTCTTTTACTTAATAATAACATGCATCGATGGTTTCTTCATGTCTTTTCCTGGCTTGATAGTTCATTTCTTTGTAGTGCTGAGTAGTATTCTATTGTCTGGATGGGCCGTAACTTATTTATCCATTCACCTAGTGAAGTAATTAGTGTTTTAAAATACTTATTCTACTTCATTTCTGTTTTTTTCCCTAAGGTTTTATTTATGTCTTTGAGAGAGAGAGCATGCCAGAGAGCAGAAGGGGGTGGAGAGGAAGAGGGACGGATCCCAAGCAGACCCCCCACTGAGCACAGAGCCAGGCCTGGGGCTCCATCCCAGGACCACCCCCGCCCCCCCCCAGGGCAAGACTTGAGCCAAACCAAGAGTCCGATGCTCAGTTGACTGAACCACCCAGGGGCCCCCTTTTTTTTTTTTAACAAATTGAAATAACTTGAAGCAAATAGAAAAAAGATGATTTTTTGAAAGAGAAACTAAGATTTGCAACTTAGATTTACAAATGACTTTTTTTAAAAGGTCACCCTTTTAAGAACATATATAATACTTTTTAAAAGCCTAATTTTAAAAATTAATAATTATATTTTAACATTGGTTAAGCAGTAGTTTTGACAAATATGGTTTTGTGCTGGTTCTACAACTTGCCTTCTTAAATGCAATAATCTTAAAATTTATCAATTAAGGTAAGTTAAACAAATCTAGTAATGAAATTATAGATTAGTCAAGTTTTATGGCTGATTTGCTTTGATAGTTTTTTTTTTAAATAATTGGCTTATTCTTTATTTACTGCCATGCCTAAATCATAATCTTAGAGGTTTATTGTTCTGAACAGTGTATTATTCCCTCTAAATACTAATTTTTATAATTTTCCTAGGAGAGAAAGTTGCCATAATAAAAATACTTTTTGCCACATAGTTAACTGTTACTTTTCCTGGAATTTTACAACTCCCAAGTTTATTTCTACCTCCATAAGAAAGTTCCTATTTTTTCTTTTACTAAAAGGTCTGGGGTGTGTGGCTGGCTTAGCTGGAGGAGCATGCAACTCTTGATCTCGGGGTCGTGAGTTCAAGCGCCACGTTGGGGGTAGAGATAAATAAAACTTAAAAAAAAAGATCTATTCAGGGAAAAAAAGATAAAAGATTAAAAACTAGAGAAATAATTGGCACCATTCCTCCGCCTTGTACATTGCTATTTGAATGTAATTTGGTGCAAACTTACCGTAAAGAATTTTTGCATTACGCATCAAGAGCTTTGGAGTGGTTTTCAGTCCTTGGACCAAAAAAATTCTATTTGTAGGCATCTCTCCTGTTGAAGTAATCAGATCTGAATGGAGAATTATGTGTGAGGATATTCATTATGGTGTTATTTTTTTTTACAGTGTTATTTCTGACAGTACATGATTTGACACAGTAGCTCATTGTCCATGTGTAGATAAATGACTTTAGCAATATGATATAAGTTGATATGACAGAGTAATATGCAGCCATTCAGTCATGTTTTTGAAAAATCATTGTGGGTATGGTTTTATCTAAGGGCATGTTACATTTTATTTTTTTTATTTTTCTAAAGATTTTATTTATTTATTTGAGAGAGAGGAGAATGAGAGACAGAGAGCACAAGAGGGAAGAGGGTCAGAGGGAGAAGCAGACTCCCTGCTGAGCAAGGAGCCCGATGTGGGACTCGATCCTGGGACTCCAGGATCATGACCTGAGCCGAAGGCAGTCGCTTAACCAACTGAGCCACCCAGGCACCCCAGGGCATGTTACATTTTAAAAGTGCAGAATACAAAAAGCATGATGCAGGCAAATTATCTTGATATGCTAACAAACTCCTAGAAATGTTGATGAGCATAGACAGAATACTGGAAGGAAATACGGTGAAATAAAGTGATAATCTCTAGGTAGTGGGATATATGTGATTTTATTTTTTTGAACTTATCAGTGTTTTACCAATTTCTTGAAGTGAGAATGTCCATTTGTTAGAAAAAAATCATTTCTAAAAATAAACTGGCTAAAATAGGAAATAGTCCCAGTAATTCATTATATGAGGTTGTACAGTAGTTCCACAGTATTCCAGCCCTTGAGCTTGACTTTTCTTCCTATTTCTTACCATCCAAGACTAGACTTATCTTCATTTGGAAAGTTCACACAAGCTTTAATTTTTTCATTTGTTGTCCAGAACTTTGCTGTGCCCGATCTTCTCCCGGCCCCAACCCACTCCGTCTTTCTCCACTGTTTTCACACACCACCTTGAAAGGCTGTGCCTTGCAGAAATTTTCTGGGACTACACCCCCTTTTCTAGGATGATATTTGCTTCTTACCCAGTTCCAGCAATTCAACATGTATATGAGAACGAGAAGACATCGAGACTTTACCCTTGCTAAATATTAACTGTTTTGTTGTGCTCTTATTAATTGCCTGATATCCTCTTGTTTTATTAGAATGTTACAACATATATTTCCAGAACAGGATCAGAGACTATATATTTTTAAAATAGTTTAGGAGAACTAATCACATTTTCACGAGTATTGTTTCATATAAGAATGGCTTGAAAAAAATGTTCGGAATTTGCCATCAGGAAATACCAGTGCTCTTTGTGATCTATCTTTGTAACAATTAACATTTACTGGTTGTTCCCTGTGTCCAAGCATGTTCTCTCACTTCTTTAATCTCTGTAACAATCTTATGAGGTAAACAGATTTTGGTGTTGTCCTCATTTTAGTGAAGAAGTGGGAACGATGGAAGGTTAAGCTGAGCCCCCACAGCTGGTCCACAGCACAGCCGGGACTCAGACCCGGGAGTCTGAATACAGCACCTGTGCCATCTTCAGACGGCTTTTGTCCTGACTCCTGTAAAGCCTTGGGCAGCAGCCAGCTTTTTAGACACTTTAGGGCTGACAGAGATTTTAGAGATGATTGAAAGCCCTTGTGTTTCAGGTTTGTTAATCAAGGCTTGGGAGCAGCACCTGTGCTAAGAGGACAAAACTGTAGTCTGACGCCAGGCGAGGGATTGTGAGTGATCATTTCACGAGCCCACAAGCAGGCATCTGTCAGAGATGAAGAGGGTTTGCTGATACTTGCTGTTTCATTATCTACTTATTTCAGGAGAGGATTGCCACCAGCATTCTGTTATTGATCATCTCATTGAAGGTTGCCATATCCGAAATGTGGTCACCAGCAAGAAGTGAACATTCTGGGTGGGAGGGGATTTGAGCTCCAGCATCGTAAAAGTTGAGGGTCACAAATGGTTACAGATCAGGAGAGGAAGAAGAAGAGTAGGGAATAGACGTAGCGCTCTAGATGTTGAGGCTAAGACATTTTGTTCTTACTGCACATATGCATTTGTCTTGTTATAGCCTCTTAGACTTTCCTAGCTGCATGGACTGGCCAAGCTGTAGTTTTGCCTTGATGACACCCAACACAGTTATTTCTTATGTAACATAAAATCCATCTCATTAGTAATCAGCTCCAAGAAGGCAGCTACCAGATTTCTTTACATTCCCCCCTCCCAGTGTCTATTACCCGACAGTACCTGTCGGGTAAGAAGTGCTCAGAAATGTTGAATGAATTGAACTGGCTTGATTTAATTATTTTAATTTTGTCTCCCGCTCCAGCCAGATACTCATTGTCACATGAGAATTACAACACTGAATCCTCAGTATTAGGACGTAAGGACAAATCTTCATTTCACAACTAAAGGGGATTGCGGGAGCTTCTTAGAGTTGTGAGTTTAGATTTAAAATATGGAAGTAATCTTCCCCAAAGACCTCATGTTCTTTTAAAAAACAAAACCAAAAAAAAACTGGGGCACCTAGGTGGCTCAGTTGGTTAAGTGTCCGACTCTTGGTTTTAGCTCAGGTCAAGATCTCAGGGTCATGAGATTGAGCGTGTGTTGGGCTCTGCACTCAGCACAGAGTCTGCCTGAGATTCTCTCTCTCTCTCCCTCTCTGCCCCTCCCCCCCACTCACATGGGCTCTCTCTTTATTTTTTTTAATTAATTTTTAAAGATTTTATTTATTTATTTGACAGAGAGAGAGACAGAGAGGGAACACAAGCAGGGGGAGCGGGAGAGGGAGAAGCAGGCTTCCCGCTGAGCAGGGAGCCCGATGTGGGGCTCGATCCCAGGACCCCAGGATCATGACCTGAGCTGAAGGCAGATGCTCAATGACTGAGCCACCCAGGCGCCCCACAGGCTCTCTCTTTAAATAAATAAATAAAATCTTTTAAAAAAACCCAAACATTTTACTTTGAAAAGTCACAGAGTAAAGAAGTATCACATACCCTTCATCTAGATTTTCCAAAGTTAGCATTTTACTATGTTTGTTTTATATATTTTTTCTCTGTATATATAAACACTTTTCTGAACCATTTAAGGGTAAGTTGCAGACTTGATGCTCTTTTATCCCTAAATAATTTGGTGTATATTTCCTAAAACCACAACACTCTCTTGTATAACCAATACAAATATCAGAATCAGGAAATCAACACTGATTCCATCCTTTAACCTATAGATCTTACTCACCTTTCACCCAGTAATGTCCTTTATCGGAAAAGAAAAAAAATCTAAAGGGTCCTTGAGCCAGCCTAGGGTCATTTGCGGCATTTAGTTGTCCTATCACTTTAGTCTCATTTTGTTCTTGTCTTTCATGTCCTTGACATTCATGAATGTACAGGTTATTTTGTAGATGGTCCCTCATTTTATGTTTGTCCCTCATGATGAGATTTAGACTATGCATTTTGGGCAGGAATATCACAGAAGAGATACTGTGTCCCCTTCAATACATCCTAACAGAAGTCACACAGTGACTTACTGGTGATGTTGAACTTTGATCCCTTGGAGGTGGTGTCATCCTGTTTTCTCTCTTTCTCTCTTGTGGTTATTTCTCACCCCATCTCCCTATAGGAATTGTTGCATTAGTAAGTATCTTGCAGGAAGATACTTTAAGACTGGAAATACCCTGTTTTTTCACCAAATTTTCACCTAGTGGTTAAGCACCCTTGATGATTCTTGACTGAAATGATTGTTACTTACAATTACAATGTTTGCCAAATGGTCTTTTATCTCAGATTATTTTAACTCTTGAATTAACCGTGGTTTATTGTTGAATGCAGAAGTAGCTCTCAACCTTGCTTATACATATGTCCCAACAAATTTGGCCACATTTTTTTCTTTTGCTATCTTTTTTGAAAGACTTGATTTTTTTAGAGCAGTTTGAGATTTATAGCCACATCAGGAGGAAGGTATAGGGATTTTCCACATCCCTCTTGCCTCCACAGACACACAGCCTCTCTCATTGTCTGCTTCCCCCCGCAGAGTGGCACATTCGTTACAAGAGATGAACCTATAAAGTGACACATCATAACCACCCAAAGTCCACAGTTTGCATTACGGTTCACTGTTGGTGTTGTACATGTTACGGGTTTGGAGAAATGGATAATGGACATCTATCCATCATTATAATATCACATAGAGTATTTTCATTTATAAAGTTATTAGATGCTCATTTTCATAGAAGATGTAACTGGAAATATTGATATTGTTAATTATTAATTAGTCCCTAATTTAGGTGGTGTTTTAGTCGCCTGTGGTTAGGAGATCATACTCTAACATTTATTCTCTTTATCTTTTTTTTTTTCCATTGAGGCATTTTATTTGCAAGTATGTATTACATCCCTAGAAAAAGAATCCCAGGATTTTCCCTCCTGTGTGTTTTCGTCTTGCTTCTTCATTGTCCATGATGCCAGCTGAGGTTTTCAGGACAGTGAAACCAAACTGGTTGTTCTACCATTTTTCTAGATCTTTCGGTTGTACATCAAATCTGGGGCTGATCACTCCACACTTGTTTAACCTGCCCATGAGGTTCACAACAATTTTCCCTGCTCTGTGATCATCAGTGATTTTAAATTCGCCAATGTAACCATACTTCATTATCACAGTGAGAAACCGGATGATGACTTTGGAGCCTGGCCTAATAAGAACCTGGCATTTGCCTCTCTTCTCAGCATTGTTAATGCGCTTGAGAGCATCTGCCAGGACATTCATGTGCACCGTTAATGGCAGCATGGAAAGATGGCGGAAAGAGCTATTCTCATGGGCAGTGGGGGTAAGAGCTCAAGTGAATGCAATCTAAATCTCAGGTATAACATGACACAGGAAATAAATAACATGATTACTTTTATTAACACTTTGATACATATTTTCATTTTCCAGTTTTAATTAACTTTAACTTCTGTGTTTTTTAATGTTTGTTTTTGAGGTACTGACCAAAGAGCAGATTTGTACTTGGAAGGAAAAGACCAGCTTGGCGGGTGGTTTCAGTCTTCTTTATTAACAAGTGTGGCAACAAGGAAAAAAGCACCTTTTAAGTAAGTGTTAAACCTGAGCTAAACAAGTCTTCACACTTTAAGTACTTCTGCTGGGTACTCGCTTTATTGCGCTTCGCAGGTACTGCATTTTATTTTTACAAATTGAAGGCTCAAGACTTCCGTGGAGGAAGTAGCTGCAGATGTGGTAGAAACAGCAGGAGACCCAGAATCAGAAGTGGAGCCTGAAGATGGGACTGAATTGTGCGATCTCCTGATACAGCTTTCACAGATGAGGGGTAGCTTCTTGTGGATGAACAAAGAAAGTGGTGTCTTGAAATGGAATCTGCTCCTGGTGAAGAGGCTGTGAAGCTTGTTGGAGTGACAGCAGAGGCTGTGAAGCTTGTTGGAGCGACAGCAGAGGCTGTGAAGCTCGTTGGAGCGACAGCAGAGGCTGTGAGTGAAGCTTGTCAGAGCGACAGCAGAGGCTGTGGAGCTTGTTGGAGCGACAGCAGAGGATGTAGCATATTACGTCAGCTTAGCTGAGAGAGCAGGGGCAGGGTTCCAGAGCGTTGGCTCCAAGTTTGAAAGTACTATTCCGGGTAAAATGCTATCAGATACCACATGAAACAGAGAGACGGTTCATGAAAAGCCGTCAATCACTGTGGCAAACTCCGTTGTTGTCTTATTTTAAGAAATTGCCACAGGGGCGCCTGGGTGGCTCAGTCGGTAAAGTGTCTGCCTTCGGCTCAGGTCCTGATCCCGGGGTCCTGGGATCGAGCCCTGCGTTGGGCCCCCTGCTTAGCGGGGAGCCTGCTTCTCCCACTTCCTCAGCCCCTCCCCCTGCTTGTGCTCACTCTCTCGCTCACTCTCTCAAATAAATAAAATCTTAAAAAAAAAAAGAAATTGCCACAGCCACCCCCACTGGCAGCACCCTCCACCCTGATCAGTCAGCAGCCATCAACCTCCCATAGCAAAAGGATTACAATTTGCTGAAAGTTCAGGTGATAGTTACCATTTTGTAGCAATAAAATATTTCTAAATTAAGGAATGTACATTGTTTTTTTAGACATAAAGCTATTATACACTTAGTAGATTACAGTATAGTATAGACATAACTTTTATGTGCACTGGAAACAAAAAAATGCCTTTGACTCACTTTACTGCAGTAGTGTGGAGCCAAAGCTGCCATATCTCCGAGGTATGTCTGGATATAAAACATCTTTACTAGCTTAATCTTTTGTTTCATGAGAGAAATAAGAATTTGAAGTAAGAGAGAGACAAAGGAGACAGTAATACAGAGAAGTCTTGTCACTGGTACACCCTGTTATTCCCACAAGAGGTAATAGCATTGACTGGAACAGTGGGGACATCTGTGAAGAGCTAGATCTTGAAATACGGGAAGACTTGACATGGAGGAATATAGAGAAGGGCACTCTACGTTGATTGAAGGCAGCCTGAGGTCACATATCCTTATATTCGTAATATCCACAGGTGGCTAATGAACTGAAACATTCCTGTAGTGAATTTTATTAGATTGTTGCTGTCTCACAATGAAAATCCATCCCAGAATAATTTCCGTGTTTGTTTCTTGTATAACATGCTTTTAAACGCCCGTAGAACAACAGATCTATTTGTCTCAAATTGTCTTTTTGAAAATAATCTTGAGATGATAATCTGCTCTTTTTAAGACATACTTTTTCCTGGTTAATTTTAATGATCAAAATCAATACATAATAGATGCTCAGGAAATATTTGTGTATGAATGTAAACATCAAAAATTTTTCTACGTATAAGAGCTTACTGTCTAACAATCATGATAAATAAGCAGCTGAGAATTTGACTTTCAAGAAAAGCTTTCATACATAATCCGTTTAGAAAAATCCTGTTTTTTTTTTCAAGCTGAAGTACTCTTTAAGCCATAAATGATCTTCAAAGAGATCATTATAACTATGTTTATTATCATAACGGCTGATTTGTCTTCTTAGGACAGTGGTGGTTCATGGATTCACCCTTGGGGAAAAGGGAGAAAAGATGTCCAAGTCTCTTGGGAATGTCATTGATCCTGATGTGGTCATCAATGGAGGACAAGTAGGTGGTTCTCTAAAACCTTTTTTGTTTTGGGGCACCTGGGTGGCTCAGTCAGTTAAGCGTCTGCCTTCGGCTCGGGTCATGATCCCAGGGTCCTGGGATCGAGCCCCATATCGGGCTCCCTGCTCGGTGGGGAGTCTGCTTCTCCCTCTCCCGCTCTCGTGTTCTCCCCCACTCTCTTTCTCTCTCAAATAAATAAATAAAATCTTTTAAAAAAACAAAAACAACTTTTTTTGTTCTAACGCTTTTAAGTTGGCAGCCAAAACCTTAATGTAGTTATTTCAGTGTAAAACAACAAAAATATCAACAACAACCATCTTTTATGCTAATAGCAGATGCCTTACCATGTTTTAAATCTAGACTTTTTTTTTTCCTCCCAAATTTTTATTTAAATTGTGGTTAGTTAACATGTAGTGTAGTACCGGGTTCAGGAGTAGAACTTAGTGTAAATCTAGACTCTTAATGATTTTAATGAAAAAGAGAAGGGCTGGGATTGTGGCCCCATTGGCTTATTTCAGGTCTGAATCTCTAATTAGGTCCTGAACCATGCTATCCACCTCCTCCCTCCCCCTTTTTTAAGATTTATCTATTTTAGAGAGAGAGCATGTACGCAAGCAGGGGGAAAGGACAGAGGGAAGGAGAGAGAGAAAATCCCCACTGAGCATGGAGCCCAACGCGGGGCTCGATCTCATGACCCTGAGATCATGACCTGAGCTGAAATCAAGAGTCAGATGCTTAACTGACTGAGCCATCCGGGCGCCTGATCCCTTCTTTTAATTGGAACTTTAAAAATTGGGAAAATGTATTTAAAAAAACAAAAATTTACAGTTACATGGAAACAGTGTAAGAAAAAAATGAGATTGCAACTTCATGTTTCATTATATTCTTGGAAATTATACACTTTAAAGCAAATCATTGATGGACATCAGATCTGGGGTTGCTAATAATTTGCTTTCTTTTGGAGTTGCTTTCAGAAAAGAAATCACTTGTCTGTTATTTTACTCCTTTGGCTTTTTACTGCCCTCCTGTCCAGGAATCCTTGCTGTATGTGGAGTTGCTGGGGAGTGCCGGAAGGGAAAAGCAGCCCCTCTATTCCCCTTCCTCCATCAGAGAGGCGTCAGGGCTCCACTGAGGCCCCAGCTGTGCTAGAAGGACGTGTGCAGACACGCCCGCGTCTGCACAAGCAGCGGGACCGCAGAGCGCACGCTTTCGCAGTGTGGTTTACGTGCAGCTGATTCTGAGATTGTTAGCCCTGTTTCATTACAGTGCAGGGGGATTTGATGCCCAAGTTGTGCTCAGATATTTCTGAGGAGGAATACCTAAAACATTTGATCACCTAATTAGAATTGAAAGCCATTTATATGTTTACATGTCTTTTTTCTCCACTGAAAGGATCAAAAAAAGGAGCCTCCCTATGGTGCTGATGTCCTTCGCTGGTGGGTAGCGGAGTCCAACGTCTTCACTGAAGTGACCATTAGTCCATCTGTACTTAATGCTGCCAGAGATGATATTAGCAAGGTCAGAGTCATTATTCTTCCTGTTTCTGAATAAAAGGTCAGCTAAATAACTTTTTTTAAAAATGAGGAACATTTTGTTTGGTATTGCAAAACAGCAATGGAAAATGAGTTTCCACACGTTGTGAGCATTTAAAAATAATCCTGTTTGTTTAAAAATATTAATAGTGTAATCCTAAAAACTTTATATGTTGTCTTTTATACTTCATAAAATATAGCATAATACAAAATGATAATTTAATATACTTTTTAAAAAAAATATTTCATTTATTTGTTTGACAGAGACCTAGCGAGAGAAGGAACACAAGCAGGGGGAGTGGGAGAGGGAGAGGGAGAAGCAGGCTCCCCGCCAAGCAGGGACCCCGATGCGGGGCTCGATCCCAGGACCCTGGGATCATGACCTGAGCCAAAGGCAGACACTTAACAGTTGAGCCACCCAGGCGCCCCTAATTTCATATACTTCTCATGTGCTCAATGACCTTTCACATTTATTCCATTTATCTTTATTTTTGCCTGTGAAGCAGGTGAAAATAATATTTTTACCTATACAGATGAACAAACCGGGCCACCGAAAGGTGGTTTGGCTTTATAAGGTTATAAAGAAATATAATGAAAAATCAGTCTTCATGTGTAAAGTCCAGGGGTTCGTTCTGTAACTTGGCTATTGAAATGAGAGTCTCTTTTTTTGCATTTGTAGTCTCATTTAGGAATGATATTTTTTAAAACAGTATCCCATTAAGAAAGTAACATGAGTTGTATAAAAATTATAGAAAAATAAAATAACTTTTCAGCAAGAATTGAAGGCCTCATATATTTTTTGACTGCATGTTTTTTTCAACCTTAATAGCTCAGGAACACACTCCGCTTTCTTCTGGGAAATGTCGCTGGTTTCAACCCAGAAACAGACTCCGTCCCTGTTAACAGTATGTATGTTGTAGACCAGTACATGCTGCACTTACTGCAGGGCTTAGCAAACAAGGTCAGTATGAATTAGTAAGCTCTTGGGAAATAGAAATATCCGTACTGCCAAATGTTGAAATTGGAATTGCGTGCAGGCAGAATAGATGCTACTAGAAATAGTAATGACTGCAGTGAGAAGAATTATACTTGATAAATTCCACACATTCTGAGGTTGACTTTAGGTATGAAATCTTAGGATTTTTTTCCTGGTTTTTCAAAACACTATCAGTACCTGGTGGAAACATAGACCCAGGCCTCAGACCACATTTTTCTCTCAAGATCTGCTTTATGTATTTCTCCAACAAGAAGGAATAAAGTAGAGCCGTATTTTATCTGCAGATGAACCCATCAAACTATAGAAATAACTGAAATGACTATTCCTATGTGTTTTGTAAGATACTTCTCATTTATATATAAACAAAGATAATGTGTGTTTTCTCAAAAATTGGAAATGTGGTTGCTTCTATGTACCGTTAAGTCAGAGACATACCTGCAGATTTTTGCCCTCTTTTACTTTTCAGGCATAAATGAGGGAACATTGGTAACTTGCATTCTTTGCTATTTTAAAATGGTGTAGTTTATCAGTTTAAACCTGATCCCTTCCTTTGATGAGTGTTTTATCTAGTTCCAAGAGTAGAATATTCAGTATTTTCTGACAGTAGTTGAATTTGATATCCAGAAATGTTTGAAAGATCCTCAGTCACTCTTGCATATCTCCTTTTTTGTAGTTGTCTGCCTTTGAAACATATTTTGAAAAGGTACATATTTTGCTCATGATGACTTACATTTTCGTTGGCATACCCCAACTTCCAAATTTATTGGCTTTTGTTCCCTAGATTACTGATGCATATAAACAGTACGATTTTGGAAAAGTCGTTCGGCTGTTACGAGCATTTTATACCAGAGAGCTCTCTAACTTTTATTTCAGCATAATCAAAGACCGGTATGTATGACTGAATATTAAAATATTCAACTATTTCTTGAGTGTCTATAGTGGCGAGCAAGATGGGTGACATTGTGCAGTTATTAAGAAGTTGGGTTCTCAAGTTAAGTGATAATACAAACCTCATAATGTGATTATGAAGAGAGAGAACATAAGGAATGTGCTTTGTGCTGTGTTTGAGAAAGTAAGTGCTCAGGAAGGAATAGGTGCCAGTATGAGGTGAGGAGTATGGCACCTATCCTCGGGAGTTTGTAAATTTTGAGGAGGAGAGACAAATATACAGGCACCTGTTACCGTGGTGACACATCGTGTAGGTCAGTGATGTGCTTTTAGAGGAAGGCTTGGTGCTTGGTCTTCACCGATAGCAGCCAGGCCTGTGTGAGGGTCGGCCCCAGGCCATCAGCACCTCAAGGAGCTTACACGCAGGGACTGGGACTCCCTCCGAACACGCTGCCAAGATTGGAAGAGAAGGAGCATCAGCTAACGTCTCCGTTGTCCTCTAACACACAGTCAGCCGTCTCAGCCTCGCGGTGCCTGTGGCACAGCTGCTGCGAGAGGTTCCCCTCCGGGGAGGGAAGTGGGGTAGAGGACTCAGCTGGACAGTTAGGTGACGGAGTATCTGCTGCTTAAGTCCCACGGTGGTCCGAGCTGCAGGATTCGCCCCGCGGCAGGAAGAAGCCCGCCTGAGGCGCATCCTGCCTCTGCATCCTCTGCGTATAAAACGGCCCCTGCTGAGCACGTGCTTCTCGTTCAGGCTCTACTGTGAACGTGCAGGTGACCCCAAACGGCGCTCTTGCCAGACCGTGTTAGCTGAAATTTTGGACGTCGTGGTTCGTTCGTTTGCCCCCCTTCTTCCTCACTTGGCTGAAGAGGTGTTCCAGCACATGCCTTACACGGAAGGTAAGGAGTACTTGATGGATTCCTGAGAGGACAAAGGCCCTTGATGAGGGCCGCAACCTCAGATCTCATCTGTTTCGTGGAAGGGGTACTTCCGCGCCTACAGTGAGCGCCTTGTGGCAAGACGTGTCTTGGTCCTTCCGTCCTTTGCCCTCGTTTGTCACAGAGTAGGATGGATTTCAGACAGCCTTCAGGCCACCGTCGGAGTGCATTCTGCAGCGTGCCGGCAGCTTGACCGTACTGCAAGATCAGTTTCTTAAATACCTTTATCAGCGTCTGAAGTTATGATTTAGGTTTTATTGAAACCAAGTGTAGGGCCTTTTAGTGAATATTTTTATAATAGTCTTTCCCCTCTGATTGTATTAAGCTTATAGAAAATTAGGAACTATAGAAATTTAGAAAGAGGAGGAAAAGTCACTCATGATTTGTCTTACTATCCAAAGACAACTACTGTCAATATTGGGCTATTTTTTTCTATTTTATTTTCTTCTAGGCATCCTTTTTTCCTTTGGGATTTTACTATAATATTTTATCCTTTGTTTAAGTTTCAAAATGTGAATATAAATGGTAGGCATTTAGAATGGCTCCATAATACTTACCGTAAGTATCAATTCTTGTTTCCCATGAATAGTAAATATTTAATGGTTAGATCTTTCTATACAGTTTGGAATATATGTAAACGACTTTTATTTTTTATTTTTTTATTACTGTTTTCTTTTTTTCAAAGAACCCCAGAGTGTTTTTCGTACTGGGTGGATTAGAACAAGTTCTATCTGGAAGAAGCCTGGATTAGAGGAAGCCATAGAGAGCACATGCGCCATGAGAGATTCATTTCTTGGGAGCATCCCTGGTAAAAATGCAGCCGAGTACAAGGTTATCCTTGTGATCGAGCCTGGGCTGCTTTTTGAGATAATAGAGGTGAGTAGCAGTTTGTCTCTTTGGAAGGGATGTTCGTATCCTACCACTTTCACCTGAAATTTGGCTTTTAAAAATCTCTGTATAAGTAAGATTTTTTTACTTTAGATATCTTGTAATCCTGATATTATCACAGATTGTTTCCTCCTTCTCTATGCTTCCTTTCCCTTCTCCTACAAAACATGTACTCTGTTGCTACATCCTTTGTAAGTTGAGACAGGCAAGGTGCAACAAAGTCCTATTTGAAATGCAAATCCTCGGGGCTTTTTAGGTAAGTGACAGAAACTGATGACATTATTATTACAATACACAAAAATTGAGGGTTTTGTGTTAAGGATCTAGTTTTCTGACAATTTTGTCCATCTGGACCAGGTTCAAAACAAATCTAAAGAAGATTTCCATCTTTTTCTCAGGAGATTTGAAGAAAATTCATTTGCTCCAGCAAATTACCATGCCATCTCAAAGCATTCCTCCTATTTTTATTTCCAGAAGAACCATCAAGGTTTTCTTCTTGGCATTCTTAATTGTTCATTGGCCACATTGGCTTATAGCTTAACATATTGACTCAAGACTTTTTAATGCTTGAGAAGAGAATTGACAATATGTTTTTTAAAGTTTTACTGCTATCATAGTTTTCTAAAAATGACCATCTCACTTGGTTGGTATGGCAGTATCGTAGCCAATGAGGTTTATCCGAGGCGTGATTATTGCGAATTGGTTGGTAAGCTCAGGTTCAATTTTTAGTAATGTAGTTAAGATTTGAGACTTGCAGTCTGTAGGAGATTATTGATCAGACAGCAGATAATTTCAGTAAGATACTCACATTTTAAAATTTGTAAGTTGGAAGGCACCTGGGTGGCTCAGGTTAAGGATCCAACTTTTTTTTTAATTTTTTTTTTTTTTTTAAAAGATTTTATTTATTTATTTGACAGAGACAGAGACAGTGAGAGCAGGAACACAAGCAGGGGGAGTGGGAGAGGGAGAAGCAGGCTTCCCGCGGAGCAGGGTGCCCGATGTGGGACTCGATCCCAGGACGCTGGGATCATGACCTGAGCCAAAGGCAGCCACTTAACGACTGAGCCACCCAGGCGCCCTAAGCATCCAACTCTTGATTTCACCTCAGGTCATGCTCTTGGTCACCGGATCGAGCCCTGCGTGGGGCTCGTGCTCAGCAGAGTCAGAGTCTCTCTCTCCTTCTTCCTCTGCCCCCCCCCACTCTCTCTCTAAATAAATAATCTTTTTATAAGTTGAGAAGGGTTTGACTCTGACTCCTTTATTTTGTGAGCAAGGAAACTGAAGACCATTGAAACTGTGACCTAGCTAAGGCTACACAGCCTGGTATGGGGCTTTTCTCCTACATGTCTTGTGTCTTTTGACTTCATTAGTTCCGAGTAGTTAAGCTAAAAAAAAATACAGCTTATTTGGATCATTTATATTGGAAAAAATACTTTGGGATTTTTAAAAATAATGTATTTTTCCTAGGAATTACACTAAGTAGCTGTCAGATGGAGTTCTGAATCTATGAATTACTAATTGCATGAATTTGTTAAAACTAATCTCATTGAGTCTCCTGTTTTTTTCTTGAGTTTTTTAAAATTTGTATTTGAGAGAGTGTAGGAGAAGGAGAGGGGCAGAGGGAGAGGGGCAGAGGGAGGGAGAGAGAGAGACTCTCAAGCAGGCTTCACACTCAGCACGGAGCCCAACTCGGGGCTTGAGCCCATGACCCTGAGAGCACGACCTGAGCCAAAATCAAGAGTCAGCCACTTGACTAAGCCACTCAGGCAACTCTTGATTTTTTTTTTTAAAGGAATGTCTGTATTAGCTTATAAACTCATCTTGAAGATCAGAATTACAATGAAAAGATTAAAAATGTTTATCAAACATCCAACCTTATTGTACTTGAGAATAGCTCTGTGCTTTATTCATTTGGCACCTTTGGTCTGTGTTGCTAAAAGCAGGTCTATGTAGATAGTATCTTACCACCTCTCCTAATGTGGGAGGCCGGACACAGGGAAAAGCAGTCTGGGCTCTGAGGCTCACAGACCTGGGCTAGCAGTACAGCTCCACCACTTACTGCTTGAGAACCGTGAGTAGTTAACCCCTTGGAACAGGTTTCCTCGTTTGGAAAATGGGATAAGAAACACCATGATGATTAGAAGTAATGGACATTTAGCACCTGGCATAGTGAAGTGCCTGGCATAGAGCATATTATATAGAGAGCACATACTATTGCCTGGAAATTTTTAATTAAAACTTTTCATTCTAGGGGCGCCTGGGTGGCTCAGTCGTTTAAGCGGCTGACTCTTGACTTTGGCTCAGGTTGTGATCTCAGGGTCATGGGATTGAACCCCGTATCCGGCTCCCTGCTCATCAGGGAATCTGCATGAGTTTCTCTCCTCTTCTCTCCCTCTGCCCCTCCCCCCACTCAAAAATAAAATAAAAACTTTTTCTAATTGATTTAATAGATTAGCTTAGGAGATAAGGATACTAAAGGGTCACTTACTGAATACAAGAATTTGCATTGTTAATTCGTCTAACCTCAGTTTGCAGTAAACATTTAGACAGTAACCTTAACATGCTTATTCCCAGATGCTACAAGCTGAGGAGACTTCCAGCACCTCTCAGTTGAACGAGCTAATGATGGCTTCCCAGACGACTTTACTCTCTCAGGAACCACGATCGGTAACTACAGATGTAATAGAGCGCAAAGGGACATTCCTGATCAATTTAGAAGGTAAGGAGGAGGGGAAGGTAACAGGTGAGATCTGGAGAACAGAGTGATAATCGTAGGTCATCTTCAGCTTTGCAGGGGATCAGGTGTGTTCTAAAGGCAGGTATGTTCTTGGAATACATCTTTTTATGGAAGCTGGCCAGGTTTCTAAACCAGCTTTGAGAAGTGTCCTACGCGATGATCTTGGGAACACAGGACTGACGAGAGGAGAGCGCTTCTCCTCCCTGTCCTGTGGATGGTGGTCATCGTAGGTGACGCCAGCTGGCCTCACTCAGGGTCCTGGCCCTGCCTAGCCTGCCCTTCCCCACTGTGGACTCGGAAATTTATTTGCACACCCTATGTTAAAAGATTTCGCTAATCTTCATGAAGGGTTAAGGAAGAAGTTTTATGGAACTCATTCCCACAGTGGGATCTCACAAGCAGGCAGTTGGTAGGTGTTCGATAGGGGACTTTTGTCCGCCTACTTCATTCTCAGTGATGGTGTGGAGGCGTGTCACCTAACAGACAATGGCCGCAGATACTGTGGGGACAGTGGCGCTCCCTGTGTTCCTCATGGTTGTTAGGTGCCATCAGGAGGTGGGAGGCTCATTTATGGGCATCAGTTTAAGTCTGAGGCCTGGAAGCACTGACCCTGTAGTAAAGATTCTCACTTGCTTTTCAAAATGTTAATGTACATTCTCTGAAGAAAATAATTTTCTTCACTGTATATATTTAGGCTGAAGTCTTAGAGTATTAATAGTGGAGAAATTTGTTACTTTTTGTCTAAAACAAGTTTGTTTTTTTTTTAAGAGGGGTGTGAAAGAGAGAGGTGGAGGGAGGGGAGGGGGAGCGAGAGCTTGAGAATTGTAAGCAGGCGCCACATCCCACTTGGAGCCTGACGCTGAGATCATGACCTGAGCCGCAGTCAAGAGTTGGGATGCTTCACCGACTGAGCCACCCAGGCGCCCCTAAACCAAGAAGGTTTAAGTGGGGACACTGCAGCGGTCACTATAATTTGGCTTTTTAAAATAATTCTTGTGTAGCTGGAGAGGCAGTGTAACTTGCCAGCACTGAGCCCGGCTGAAGAGCGAGAAGGCCTGCTCTGCCTGAGGAGATCGAGAACTCCGTGACTTGGGGGACTTACCCTCTCACTCGGGGTCTCCGATTCCTCAGCGGTCCTCAGGGGTCAGGGTGTGAGTCCACTGTCATGGCTGTTTACATAATGTGGCAAATGAAGCAGTACTGACCAGCTCTCCCCAGGGGAGGGAGAAAGCTTTGAAAAAAGAAAACACTGGCAGAACCATTCAGCAAAGAGATACAAGTTGAACGGCCTGTCAGTCTTCCTGTATCTTTCTCTCACAGGTGGGGATATTCGTGAAGAGTCTTCCTATAAAGTAATTGTCGTGCCAACTACCAAAGAAAAATGCCCCCGTTGTTGGAAGTACACGGCTGAGGCTCCAGATGCACTCTGCCCCCGATGCATGGAAGTGGTGAGTGGAAAGTAAGAGCGACTCGGCCGTCGACAGCCCCCTGAGCAGGAGCACCCTGCCGGCAGCGAGCGTGAATTCAGAGGGACTGTTCCCAACACTGGAAAGAGGAAAGCCTAGATGTAGGGAATGAGGGAAAGAGTACATGGTGGAGGATAATGGTCAAATTTCAGAATTACAAGTTTTTCCTGTAGCAGATAAGAAATAATGTGTGTGTGTGTGTGTGTGTGTATATACACACACACACACACACACACACACACACACGCGCGCAGAAAAATACAAATATGCAGATGGGTCTCAATATATCCATAATGGATTTATTCAGAACAGAGACATTGGGTATGTTTGACTTTAAATGTGGCTGACCAGAAAATGTTTTCTATTTTATAAAGCTGCTTGACTCCATATTTAAGTTCTGTAACGTCTAAAAATAAAGGCATCTGGAAATTTACTGATACTGATGAAGTTGTAAAACTGAAGTAAAAAATAGAGTCTTGAAGGAGAATGGCAAGAGGTGTGTTTCCCGTAAGAGACAGAGGGATTTCATTCTGCCTTTCTAGTGAACATCATCCTTTTCACAACAGCTAGGTTTTTTTGTGTGCATTAGAAAGAAATCACCAAACTTGTTACTCCCATACAAGAGGGAAAAGAAAATCTTAATACTGATATTTATGAATGTTGAAACAACATGAAAGCTGAAAATTTATTTCACTAATATACATAAGTTCACAACAACGGACACAGAAAATAGAAGTATGTACAGAATGTCACTACTTACAGTACATTACAATAGATAACAGCATTTTATAAACAATTCAGTATTGGGTTAAAACCTTTCTAGGGACAGCTAATTCTATTCAGCAGAAATCTAACTTTTAGAAGCCCAACAAATTCATTTCTGTCAGGGTAAGGGAGGGCTTTCAGTGTTGCCATGGAGTACTTTAAAAAGATTTGTCTCATAAATGAAATGAACCGTAGCAACTCATAAGTGAACATTATATTCCATGTAAGCTTAATATTATTAAATCTATTCTCTTTGATTTTAAGTTGTAATTAACCACTTAAAAAAAAGCAATTTAAATGTAACAGTGCTTACTTTGACCTTAGATGAATTTTTATAACAAAGAGTGAAACTCTCTCCATTTCTTATTTTTCTTTTTGCAAAAGTATGAAGCATTTAGAAAGTTGTTGATATGTTCCTCTTCACCTACGTTTATCTGGCTCTTCTAGTTCTACATCTAAACATAACCTGTAATGTAGAAGTTACGATTATTTGAACACTTCTGTTTTCCTTCAGCATTATAAAGTGGAATTTAACAAGGTACAAATGCCTGTTTAATGTTAATGAAGAAAGGTGTTGGGGGGCGGGGCGGGCAGGAGTTCTCGCTAGGAAAACACTACTGTTACTGGCTTCCCATCAGAAAGTGCAACATACCTTTGTTTCAGAAGTCACCTATCCTACATACAATCTAATTCCTTTATTTCTGGCTCTTTCTTGGTACAGAATGTGTATACAGGTATTTATTTTCTTTTCTTCTCTCAGATTTACTTTAAAATCCCTTGATGAAACAGTAAAATATTTAACTGCTTTTCTTAACCATGTAACTCAGAATTCAATTTTAAAATTCTTTGCACGGTAAACTTTAGGATCACAAATGTAACTACAGATTTGTAATTCAATGATCTGTTATGGTCCTATGAACCGTATTTCAGCTTATTAATATTCTCAACAATCCCCAGATCGGTGTGTCCTACGAGAATAAGTTTAACCAGCTTTATTATCTAACATGTTTATCAGGTGCCCCCCTTCCCCCAAAAGTGATAATCGAATCCAAGTGAGGATGTAAAGTTTCTTTGACCAGCCTCCAAAACACATAACTACTTTCAGAATATTTAGAAAAATCACAGGAAGAACGAATCTCTTAGAATGCACATAACACGTGACTAGATAAAGCTAGATAGGTTTACAAGAACTCATAGGACTGTGTCTGGATGGGCCAGTGGAGATCCCAGCAGAGGCGGGAGGGTGGACCAGCAAAAGGTCCTTTTTGGTGCTGCTACTGTACACGATGTGTGCCTCGGTCAGATTTACAGGCCCTCACCCAAATACCCAAGACCTCTTAAAACTTTATCTTTCAAGATTTTTAAATTAAACGGTAATGATATATTTTTAGACAAGTCTTATTTGGGTGTGATCTTTTAGTTAAAAGTAAGTTAAATTGGGATATCCTCAAACATGAGAATTTTTTCTTTATATCCTTGAGGGGCCTACTCCTCAACTTTATACAGTTGATAACGCTGGCTTCTTACAAGTAAGTGAAGCAACAAACTTCCCTCTCACCGTGAGTTACTATGAATGACAACTGTGATCCATGACAGAGATCAGAAATTGCACTGTATGGCTACATTCCAAAGGTCTACCCTAATAAATATTTGGTATTTGTAGAGCTCAAAACACTTTTTACAGAGTTTTGGTTAATCTGGTTTTAATCAACAAATAATTATTCAGCACTTGGACTGCTCTAGGCACTCTAGGGTACAAAAGTAGTTGTATTTTATTCTCTCAACCCAGCTGTGAGGTAGGTTTGCAGAGCTATATTATCACTAGGCCTTTACTGTTCCTAAGAACAGATAACGTTACCATATCCCAGAAGCAGACATTTCTAAACACTTGTAGGAAAAATAAACTGGACTTAAATTTTTAACATCTTTGCCTTTTTTTAAAACATAAATTTTACAAGATAATACATTTTTACAATGACCTGATGTGGATACAACTTCAAATCTTGACAAAAAGTAAATCTTAACTTACGTCGTAATAAATTTTGCTGTGTTGCTTGCGTCTCAGAATCTCAATTTTGGCAAGGACAACAGGTTAAGGGTTCTAACGTTTAGTGTCCCTTCTGATGAATATGATGATCTTGAACCCATTCCTCCTCCAAAGCAAGGTCATCCTCCTCCGGTGGCGGCAGCATAAACCTCTGGGAAAAAACCTGTCTGCATCCAGAACTCCAGGCAGCAGCCCAGGATGTTGGATTTAAGCATGCCAACAAAAGCGAGTGGGATGTTTCTCTGATTTTACTGATGGGGACTATAATGAACACATTTGAAATTTACAATAACAATAACATTTTGAGTACGAAATATAGAATCTGATAATAAGAACATAATCTGTAAATTATAACCCATTTGAAATAGCAAAGTTTACCCATAAAGCTATTTAAGTGCTTAAATTAGAAATAAACAGTAAAACATCTGTGTTAGTAATTAATGGTATAATTGGTATTTGTTTATATTTTATCTTCAATATTAACCAAAGGAGTGGAATTTAGCCAGGACTACACTTTTAAAAAGTAGTATGTATTTTTATTCATTTTACAAAAGAAAAAAGACATACTCCCTCCATAAAATTCCAGATCTTATTACTATGTAAAATTACCATGCACTAATTCATGTTCTAGTCACACAATCTGAGACCGTTTTTGGTAGGTGTCATAAAGAAGGGATAGATACGGCTTCCACAGCTTCAATGAGGTGTAAGGCTAAACTATACTGCCCGTGGTTTTCTGGTAAAAGCTCGATGACTTTATTTACTAGTTTAGCTGTCGTTGCAATTGGCACTTCTGTGTTTTGAAGATCTTGGGGGTTCTGCAAATGGGACACGAGAATAACCAATCAGTTACACACAACAGTAATCGTTACTCACTTAAGAGTTGTCAGGATAGTTATTTCCCAGTAAGAATTCTTCAGAACGAACTTAAACTCAAAATTTAAATTTTCTCCTTAACTGTTATTAGGTACACATATAAGAAAGCATCCCCGTGACCCGACCGATCCCACGCGCTCGTACTTACCATGGCTTTCAGCCAAGTGCAGAGCGTGGGGGGAAGTCTGGCCAGCAGCTCCATTCCCCCTCGAGTCTGGGTGTGCAGGAGCGCGTGAGCCAGCCTCTGCCCTGTTAACACCAGCAGCTGCGAGGCGAGGACCTCCTTGTCGTGAACCTGGAGACTGGCCTGAGGAAAGGAGCACGGACAAGTGTGTATGTAGTAAGAGTCGGCAGAGGTACTTAGTCTAGGAAAGGCTTTGCCAGTGAAGAGTCTAGTTCATTTCTGAGCTGCGGCCATGTATATAACCAAAAGAAAAAAAAAAGTCCAAATCAAATTTAGCGTTCAAAATTCAAATTTCTGCCCACTACCCTAATACCTCGATTCAATATGACACTAAGAGTCATTTTTTAAGTTTCTGGCAAAGGGAATTAAATCACATCATGACTGCTTAAAACCTTCTAAGGACTTCTGAATACACTGACTAGCCGTGCGCTGTGAGACGCTGGGTGTAACCCCTGCCCACGTCCGCACCTCCTCTCCGACGTCTTCATCCTCGCTCACTACGTACGGGCCCCCACGCTGGCCCTCTAGCCTTGGCCCTCGGACTGCCCTCGTTTCCGCCTCAAGCGCTATTGGCCCAGTCTCCTGCATGACTGGCTGCATCCCGTCCTTGGGGGCTCAGTTCAGCTGTCCCCTCTGACCACCGTATTGTAGTAGCTTCTGCTGATTCCAACGCGATCCTGTTTCTATATTCACAGCGCTTACCACCCGGTACGAAATGTAGCGTGCTTGCGGCACCGCACTCCGCTGGGCGTCCGACTCTTCCGTCAGAGTCCTGAGCTCGAGCCCTGAGTCAGGCTTTGTGCTGGGCACGTAGCCTGCTTAAATTTCTCTCTCCCTCTCCCTCTGGTCCCGACCCGCCTCCCCCGGCTTGCGTGCTCTCAAAAAAAAAAAAAAGAAAAATTCAGCATACTTTTCTGCTCCTACCAGCTGACCATCCATTCCACGAGAAAGGAACCCTGTCTGTTTTGGGTACCGCTATGTCCCTTTGCATGGAACAGGCCTGGCACACCGTAGGAGTTTATTAAACACAGGCCAGAAACAGGAATTTGATTACAGTTTTATATTTAATATTCTGTTGTTTTTGTGCCTATAAGTCCTAACAAAAGGAAAAGCAAAAAGCTTTACTGGAGACTTTATGGATTCTTTACTCCAACCATAATTTCTGTGACTTGAGCCCCCACCTCGCACTCACAGGGTGACATTACCTCTTCTCCTAAATGGTCCGCACCGTAGTTGTAGAGCTCCCCCACATAATGCCTTCGAACCACATCTTCGCTAACTTGAAGGTGATGAGCCAAATCCACAGCTAGAACTGGCCAATCTTGGTCTTTCCCAAAAGGAGTGGTCGCTGCTTCTTCTGAGGACTCTCTGTCCTTCACGACGGAATGCTGAGCCTGGACGGCCGCACTAACGACTTTCAGCAAGAACTTGCCAACGGAGAAGGACACACAGCGCCGTCAGTACACATCATTAAACACAGTAATTGGCTTTCCTGTCAACGAGGGTGGCTTTTTTGTGGAAATTATCAAAAAGGAACGTATAATTGAAAGGAAAGGTCGCTTTCAAGAATACTTCGGAAGTGGTCATTCTTCGAGGCCAGCTCGAAGTAAATTTTTGGTTTACTACTTTCTTCTGAGAGACAAAAATCCGATTAACTGTAACTTACCTGTTGTCGTACAGAAATAAAATTTGGATCCATTTCCCCACTAGGTAATAACTGAATTGAAGTTAGGTCTTTAAAGAAAGCATTTTTCCCCTAAAGAGAAAGAAAAGACCAAGAAAATGGCTAAGTATGGATTATTAAGGGAAGGACAAAGATTTTAAAAAATTAAGTCATCTAATTAGTAACTCGTGGTTGATTCTCCTTGAACAGTAACATTTTAGAATTTTATTCATTTAATTTTTATAACAATCATCTAGCATGTGGTAGGCAGCCTTTGAGGTATGACCCCGCTTCCTCCTGGTACGCATGCCTTGTGTCGTCCGTCCCCTTTCCTTGAGAGGGGGCTGGACTCACTGCTGGCAAACAGAATTAGGCGGACGCTAGTGCCGCTTTCAAGATTAGATGACAGAAGGACTGTAGCTTCTGCCCTGGGTGCTCCTGTTCGCTCTCACTTGCCGTGAGGGAAGCCGGCTGCCACGGTGTGACCTGCCCTATTTTGGGAGTGGTGCCTGTGGCGAGAACAGTCTTGCCCGCAATCATGTAAGCTTGCAGGTGGATCCCCCTGCCTCCCCCAGTGGGGGCTTGAGATGGGACGGCAACCCTGGCTGAAACCCTAACTGCAGACTCATGAGAGACTCTGAGCCAGAGGCACCTAAATAAGGGGCGACACACATTCCCAACCCACAAAATGTTTTCAGCCACTAAATTTTGAGGTAATTTGTTATGCAATAACCGATAACTAAGACCTAGCGTGTACTCATCTGCATCCTTTTAAACACACTTATTCAACTGTTTGAAGACGCCCTGTTTAAGAGAACAGACGTGTATCTGAAGAGCCAAAGCAGAACATCAGAAAGTTGGATTTCAGAAGTTCCTTGGAAGGAAATGTAATACGGAGCAAAGAGCACTGGCCTTGGGAAGCTGGGAAGGCCCAGGCTCTCATCCCAGGCCTCCCACTTCTCGCTAGGCCATCTGGGTTAACAGACGACCCCATCTCCCGGGCTGCTGTGTTTTGCCCCACAGACAGTCACCCCAGGTACCTTCTAATGGACTTTCTAGACCCAACTATCTAGGATTGTAGGTCACCTAGTGTGACTGCCAGTTAGGATAAAGCTCCTCATCCTTTAGCGCACTGCAAATTGGACATCAGGGGCTGTATGTTTTTCCACAGGGGCGCCCCCCCCAGCCCCATGGGTGACTCAGTCGGTTGAGCGTCTGCCTTCGGCTCAGGTCATGATCCTGGGGTCCTGGGGTTGAGCCCTGTATCAGGCTCCCTGCTCAGCGGGGAGTCTGCTTCTCCCTCTGCCCCTCCCCCCCGGCTCTCTCCCCCATCTCAAATAAATAAAATCTTAAAAGTTTTTCCACACACTCACACATAGTCTGCTACCCTGTAGTTTCCGCCCAGCGATCTTAGTTATTATAAGGGTCTGCTCTACAGGGGGGCCTTTGGGGTGGGGGATGTGTCTGCACATCTGTAACACCATTTAGTATTTACTACGCCGCAGACGCTGCTAAGCCCTTCATGTGCAGTACGTCGCTTCACCCTCACAACAACCATGAAGTAGGCCCTGGAATCAGCACTTGCGACTGAGAAAGCGGAGGCTGGGGGGACGCAGGAAGACTCACCAGTGCAGTAAACGGCAGGGCAGGGTCCTGACTGACTAGCCACACCGCACCGCCTCTGTCTGCATGAGGCCCAGGCGGGCTCAGGCACCGCAGCAGATACGGGCTGAGACCGCTGTGCTTGTCCAGTTCTGGATGTGTTCGGTTTCACAAACTCCCTTTCTGGGGGGAGGACTGAGCTAGGAACTTCATTTTGGATTTAAAAAAAAAAAAAACAAAAAAACTCGAGGTCTAGTGACGGTGAGGAATGGACGGATGTGATTTAAGGAAGAATCGACAAGAATGACTTACAGTCCATGTGGGACTTGAAGGGAAGTTTCAAGAACTTCAAGGTTTCCCATCCGCACCAGCACACAAGTGAGCACCCACTCTACTGGGGGTTTAGGAAGAACAGCGGTCTAGGTCCAGGGCAGGGGGGCTGAGGGGTGGAGGTGTGTTAGATAGGAGGCGTCTCAAGTCGCACAGCCCATCCGAACAGAGACAGTCGACAGAAATATACGCTTCAGGGGCGAGCAGTTGGTTAAGGGTCTGACTCTTGATTTCGGCTCAGGTCATGATCTCAGGGTTGTGAGATCGAGCCCTGTGTTGGGCTCTGTGCTCAGAGCAGAGGCTGCTTGAGGACTCTCTCTCTCTCACCCCCCCTGCCCTTCCTGCTCGCGCTCATGCACTCTCTCTCTCAAGCAAATAAATCTTTAAAAAAAAAAAAGAAAAAAAGGAAATATACACTTCAAATTCAGGTGACAGGTCGGGCCTGGAGATACCCAGGAGGGAGAAAATGGGTCTATCTGAGAATATGCAGAACGAGAACGGCAGACAGCTGACAGGGCAAGACCCTGGAACCGGAAGAGTTAAGGGAAGCCAGGATTACAGGCAGCCTGGCAGAGAACAGCGAGCAGAGAGCCCCCAGCAAGTGACCCCCTACACGTCCCAGAAGCACTGAGCAACTTGGATTACAGAAGACAGTCCTGCCTATCGTCCTGCCCGCACCTGCTAAGCCCTTGGCTCCGAGACGGCTCTCAAGGCCTCCGAGGTCCTCACCTTACTATCGAAGAGTGACAGTGGCTTCACGGCCTTCAGAGAAAACCTCATAACGGCATAGAGGATGGAGCAGAGGACGGAATGGTGCTCCACCAGCGGGTAGTGGATGTGCTTCTGCTCCAGGGCCAGCTCCACTATGGAGGTCGGTCCTTCGACCGTGAGCCATGCGTCCTCCGTATCCAGGACAGGCGCTTGCATTTCATCCCGGCTAACGTCGGCCTACACGTTTGGAGAATTCAGAATTGGAGAAATACGAGCTTGCAAATAAATATCTTAATGTGCTTACAAGGAAGAAAGTGCAAACCCCTTTTCTCCCCAGGCCCCCAAGCGACAACAAAAAATCAAATCTAGTTCTTCATAAGAAACTGCTATTTGGGGGGCGAGGCTTAAGTCAAAACTTAGAAATGAATAAATGAAAAAAACCTCTTTCTAGAGTCCTTTCTTAAGTCCAATGATTTTAAAAACGTTTAATATCTTAGAGAAGGTTCAGAATGGAAATAGACCTCTTCTACCTCCATCAAAGTCTGAAGAAGATCCAAGCAGGAGCCAAGGAAAGAGGTCACTGCTGTGTCGCTCATCCCCACATCCTGTTTGTAAAAAGGAACACGATTAGCACCTGCAGCAAAACTGCTACAGTTACCACCAGAAAAATCAAAAACAGCAGCACACAGCATACCTATGCAATGGACACTCTACGCTGGACAGACAGGCAAGAATTTGAAAGTCAAGGCTTTGGCACATTTTAATTTCTTTCTTGAGATTCAATGGATTTTAAAATTAGGCTTTAAAAAAGATGGTACCGCCATGGGCTTCATAAAAGCTGGTGTTCATGTATCGTAAAGACATGGTGTCATCAGTTGCCACAGATCATGGCGCTGTTGGTCGCGGGCAAGCTCGCTAAGGTACGCTAATCATGGTATGCAGTCAGATGCCACATGGCAGCCCGACCTGAGAAGTCGTGAGGGGACAGCCTGGTCTGGCCGCAGAGCGCCTTTCAGGGACAGAACTGAACCTTCTAAACAAAACCAGAATCCCCAAGCCTGTGGGCTAAAGACCACGCTCGTGCTGTGGGCAACAGGTCATTCCTGTTGACTCCAAGGTGCCCCTGCATTCACCACCTTCTTTAAACCAACAACCAGGAAATCCCTCACATCCTAAGTACTTCATCCTTGCGTCATTCACAGTGTGTGTGTGTGTGTGTGTGTGTGTGTGTGTGTGTGTGTGTGTACAGAACCGCAGTCCCAGCCGCTCTCCAGAGCACAGTGGGGTTGTCAGGACTATGGGCCTAGCATGGCTGGATTCACATGTCCCAGAATTTCCTAAGGTGTCTGTAACAAGAGTATTTCCAAAGTTCTGGGCAAAAGTGCTAACTTTTGCTTAATCACCAGCCTCAAACAGAAGCCCAGTATCCGTGGGCTGGAATCTTATTGAAGACCATTTGTACAATGGATATTACATAAAGTAGATAAAATTCCCTCATGAATCTGCTTCCATGGGACATTGGGTGCTGCAGTTATAAATTTCTAGTTGGAAGGAACCTGACAATCTGGAAAGGTAAATTAAAACTGGCCATAGTTCATGACCAGTTTCCTTAACATCATATTGTCCTTCCATGTTTCTCATCTCCTGATAGGTCTTCAAAATGGTAAAAGGCAAAGTCCACCCCTGCAGTGAATGAGGTGCTACGTAAGGCGCAGGATGAACAGCTCCACATCCAGTTAAGGGAGATTCACTTACCCTTCGGCATAGCCTGTCCTTTGGTGATTTTCCAACCTAAGAACAGGACACAAAATACTATATTTATTTAACAATTTAAATAAAAACGCATTACTATGGTACTATAGGAAGTAAAAAAGTAAGCAAATTAAAAAAACTCAGCTATAAATAAATGTTGGTTCTACTCATTTATTACAAAATGCAATTAACTTTGTGGTAGAACTTAAAAATATATTATGAAAAATATATCACTGGGCTCACAAAATAATCCTTTTCAGAAATAATATTTTTGAATTAAAGAAAAAAACACTAAAAATCTGGTCCTCACTTTGTACAAATAACTGTTGCCTTAAAATCCAGAACCAAACTCAAGGCTGTGAATAAAGAGCACCTAAGAATTTTGCTTGTTGATAAAGATACACAATAATGTTAAATGGTCAGAAAAAAGGAAAAACAATCTGGTGTGGACAGAAGTCATATTCCTAGCTCAGAAAACAGGATGATTTTCTTGATTCGGTAAGTACTTGGTGAGTTCTACTGCATAGTTTATACAACAGGGTAATAAGTGGGAGATGAAGTTCTGTTCTTCGGGAACATGGCTTGGTAAGAATTCCTAGGAGGCAGGAGATCGATCAGGGAAGACGGGACTCCAGCACCGAGGACTCTGCCTCGCTGCCTCTCACTGAGATCACTGCAGCGGCCTTCAACCAACCGCACTCGGGCCATCCCAATCCCAACATGTTCCACTGTCGCCAGAATCATCTTTTTAAAATGCAAATGTGAATGTATCATTCCTTTGCTTACAACTGCCCCAGTGTCTTTAAGATAAAATCACAGCTACCACTTACTGAGCCCTCACACTAGCAGCCAGACCCTATGCTGGGCAGTTTACACAGTGTTAGAAAACCCCAAATCCACAGTCTGCACAGGAAATACTCCATGCCCCGCTTCCCGCTCCTTCCTCCGGCCTGTGCTTCCAGCACACGAAGCTCCTCGCAGCCCTGAGCCAAACATGGATTCTGCTGGAATACGTTTCCTTCTCACCTACAGCTTCCCATGGACTCACGCATCCTCCACAATTCAGCTCAGAAGCCTTCCCTTTATCGCGTTTTTTTTACTTCCTCTTCTCAGTCCCCAAAGCACCCTATCTACCTTTTAGGCTGTGAGTCCCTGGAGGGCAGCGGCTGGGACTTGCGACTCCGCAACCACAGCACTTAGCACAGTCCCTGGCATGTAAGAGATACTTATAATAAATATCGAATGAATCATCAAAACTCTCTGCGTCCTCGTTGAGGACTGTTTAAATTCGAAGCCACGTTGCGAGGCTCAAGCGTGGCTGTCGATGTGAGAGCGGTATAAAACCACAGTGACACCACCTAAAAGGCTTCGCACACACTACTCTTCTCCCGGAAGATGGCAGCTGGAGGGGAAGGCGAACGCAAGGGCAGCAGCAAGGCCGAAAGGAGCGAGTTGGGGACAAACAACATTGAAGCAGGCCGGGAAGGTGAGCACACGGGGAAAAACCAGGTTTAACTAGAAAAACGTGTTACCAGTGACAGCAAAGAAAGCATTTGCAGGGGAGCGGTGGCCCAAAGTGGGTCTGAATGTAGTGCTCATGGTTTAGGAATGTCCGTCCATGAACATTTGAAAGAACATGGTGTCATTATGGTACTAACTCTCCTGACACCCGCCTACCTGATGCCGCTTACATTCCTGCCGGGCCTGGGAACACTGACCAGGCCCCCGCCACGCCCCACCCCGGTGCCCAGCTGGGGGAGCAGCGGCGAGTCCTGCACCCGCGTGCGAGGTCTGTTCCTAACGCTACTTAGGCTGCTTGTCATATGTAATAATGGAATGATGTCACTTAATTAAGGAACTGATAAAATGTGAGTGAGGAAAAAAAAGGGAGTTGTTATACGAATACCAGGCTGAGTGCTTTAAAAAACTGTACGGGAGTAGCTGACTCCTAGCTCTACTGGAGGAGATGCAGAGGAAGCAACTACAAAGATGAGGGCATAAATTTTAAAATCTAAAGATTTTGTACTCAGACTGCATCACTACTTTATAAAGAAATAGGATCTAGAAATCACACGCAAGGCATCAGCAGTGAGTTTTCTGTAGGAAAACCAAAGAAGGATGGCAGCTGACCCCATTCAAAGAAAATACCTTGGGCCTACATCCCAAGATTGATGAGTTAACTGTACATTTGTACACTTTAATTAAAAATAAGGTGCAAATCCTTCCTTCAATCAAGCACAAGTCTCACTCTCTTTGCTTAAGAGGCTTTTAAAGGAAAGTACTCTCGAGGATCTGGGAGGTGGTTCTTCAGGTCATCAAAATGCCAGCCCTGGGCACTACACTTAACTGAGCAGTGGTAAAATGTAATATCAAATAAAAAACAGTCTAACAAGGCCCAATGTAAATAATCTAATATCAAAGAAAATAAACAAGTATATGAAATTTAAAGTTACCTTACCTTATCCATCAAGTATGTAGCAGCAGAAAACCTTTTCACCAAGAATGTATTCCACATCATCAGAGCAATGCCTAGACAGCAAGTATAAGTAGTAATTAGAAGGCTTAGACAGCAAGTATAAGTAGTAATTAGAAGGCTTATCTGTTTTTTCTTTTATCATACTTAACAAATTACTGTCTTTCCTAAGCTTATAGAGCTATATGGGCTATTTGATTTAGATATCATTTCTTACATCTTATGTAATATTTGTAAAATTGATAAAAACCTTTATCTTCAATGATAATCAGAACTGAGCTGTGTAAGAGGATATCCAAATGGCCAATAAGCCTAAGAAAAGATCCATATCATTAGTTATGAGAGAAATACAAATTAAAATCACAAAGAAATATCATTACACAACCAACACAAAGGCTAAATTTTTTTTTAATGACAGCACCAAGTGTCGGGGAAGATAAGGAAACAATTGGAAAGTTCACAGATTGCTGGGGGCATCAGAAAGTGATAAAACCACTTGGAAAACTGGCCATATCTACTAACGCTAACTATGTGTCTACCATATAACCCAGCAATTCTACCGCATAAAGGAACACAAAGATATGTATAAGAGTGTTGACAATAGCTTTCTTCAAAACAGCCAAACAAGAGAAACAGCCCAATGTCCAAAACTGATTTTTTTTCATAGGTAACCACCAAATAAAGTGACATATGAGGAAGTAATAAAAAACAAAATACAAAAACAACCACACAAAAAATCTGGGCTATATACTTCCATATTCAATAAACCATGGCATCAAAATTTCTAAAACTGTTGTCAATTAGCTTCAACATGACATTTCCCATGCGGTCCTTACTCCGCAGGGGGCTGCTTCTGCATCTAGGGGTGAGGGCCTCAGGGGCTGTGGAGCAGCCAGGAGGCTGACTCCCTGTACAAACAGGTAAGTTCTTAGATACCAGCCCAGTAGAATTCTCTAGAGACCCTATTTTCCAAATGAGTCACTTTCAGTCTTCTTTTTTCCTCCCAGGAAGAAGGTAAGAGTCTAAGAGATGAATAAAATTTTCAACTTTTCTTCACATAAAATGAGACATTTTAGAATTTCTCTAATTTGATGTCATACCACCTGCGAGAAGGTGGTACCAGTGAAGAGTAAGTAGCTTCCCTAAAATTCATCACACGGACAGCAAGTTGATACCTCCCTCCATGTGGCGCAACATCTAGTGTCACCACTTAGTAAAATAACTAAGTAGCCTCGTGCCGAGCCCCTCCATTACTTCTTCCGGGGAAACCCATCTATTTAATGGAAGCCGCAGCCTGTTTACAACTTTTCCACCACAATGTCAAGGACGCACCAGCAACCCATTACGGCAGCCAATGGAGAACATTCACATGAATTAAAAGCAGCCCAAGACTGTTTGTACTGTATGATATTCTTAGGCTCTTGGCTACCTAACTCTTTCATCAGCAACTTCAGTCCTGACAAGCCTAGCCCTCTTTCCTTATCTACCTGTGACCTAAAAAGAAAATCAGTGGTTTATATTGAATATTCTCCTTACTTCGCCCCTCACATCCCCTTCCAAATAGCATTTTTCCAAGCAGGTAAAAGACCAGTACTTTGCACGTCACGATACACATACACATACACAGTTATGTGTTAGGAGGTAGGACCATCAAATAAAAACTTAACAGAATATGAACTTAAAGATTCCTGCCTCTTTTGAATCCACCAGTTATATTTTTAACGCTTATTTACTTACCATTCTGAACATGTGCATTAAGAATGTGCTTCAAGTGTTCTATTGACCTAACGAAAAAACGTGCTTCCTTACGTACAGGGAGGAAAAGAGAGAGAGAGAGGGAAAAAAAGAGGTATCATTTAACAGACGTTTCAAACACAATGGTGACTTCTTACATAAATTTCAACATAAAGCTGCCCAAGAATGTGGTGATAAGAACATGGAAGGCAAAAGAAAATTTTTCATAGGACAGTGTCAACGGTCTCTCCTAAATTCACATTATCTATATGACAATTGATACCTAGAAAAACCCCAGGTCATATATGCTGACATCTGGAGTCAAAAGTCACTGTGGCTTGTGACAGGACAGCAGTGTTTTCTCTAATAAATACTTGAATTTCACACAGATGTGGGTTTACTTTGTCGCAAATATCATTCAGTCATTATTCTACAAATATTTATTGAGCAACTACTATGCACCAGGCTGTCTGAGGCGCCAGAGATACTGTAATGAACAGAGACCCAAATCCTTGCCCTCACTGAGGTTACATTCTAGCAAGGGAGTTGAATAAATATGGTAAGTAAATTATACAGTAGGTTAGTGAGGTGCCAAGGAGATAAACTAAAGCAGTGAAGGGAAACATGTCTGAAATTCAACTCCTTCTAATCGAGGTAGTTGCTTACATAACACTCATATATAGCATGTAAAACTGATGAAATCATCCAGATCTTTGCTAAATAATTTTATAGCTACAAACACTAAACATATCACCTTTGATAACACATAGTGTAGTTAGCAATTTCCCACAGATAATTTCAATTGTTTTGATCCTAAGGAAGCTGTGTGTAAAATGGTGGAACTGGGGCAGGGGTCAGATAGGGCAAAGAGAATTATTTAACAAGAAAAAAAAAACGAGATATGGCCACTTATTTGAAATATTAACAATTTAAATAGACAATGATAACGCCAGTCAAAATGTCAGGCACTATGCATGCATTTTCTCTAGAAACTGCTACAACCCTTCAAGACAGCTACAAGTCCTCACTTACTTTTAGCAGAAAAATCAAGAACAAAGGTTCAGAAGTGTTCCCAGAGGTCATACAGCTGGTGAGTAAGAGGCAATGGGGCTTGACCTCAGCTCTGTGTCTGCAAGCTGCCTTCAGTTTATAAATGAATGATGTAAAACAGAGTTTTCTTCTTACATATCACTGTTAGACCTGAATCTGGAATTAATCTATTCAGATTTTAGAAACTACTATGTCCTTATTATAGTCCTAACATTCTTTTTTCATGTAGGAAAAAATCTTCATTTAAGTAGAGAGCCCAAACACAATTATCATTCAGGCCAAGAGCAGGCCACTGAAGAGGGTGACTTGAGGGCCATCAGGAGGGTCCCCTGTGCTAAAATCACTTTTTGGTCAAGATTTAATTGATCAAAGCCCATTCCTTTGTTTAAAGCACTTTTTAAAAAAATCTTTTCCTTTAATATGTAAGTGATTATGTATTAAAGACAACATTTTTTGGGGGGAGGCAGAGTATCATTAATTAATGTATTAGTGTGAATTGGTTCATCAGTGAGATTTTTTCCTTCAAAAGTGCAACCTGACATAAGGTCAATAAAGCATTTTGCTTTGAGAGGGATAATTTACCAGAGCACTGACTAGGGAGACCTAAGTGAAGGACTTATTGGCAAAGAGGAATATCCATCCTATGTTTTTACATCTTACTTAATCCTGGCATCAATCCTGAAGGATTGGCACCTTCATTAAAAAAAAAAAAAAAAATGTAGAGGGAGGAACAGTTTCTGAGATTCAGTGACTGGCCCAAACCCAGACACTTGTCAGAAATTCAGCTAGGACCCAAATTCAGGTCTCCTGCTCCCCAGCTTGGGGCCTTCTTCCTATTCTGCTTCCAGACTATGATTGTCCTGGGAGAGAAAGTGGCAGAAAATGATGCCCCAGCAGAGAGCTGAAAAGGCATAGGCTAACCCTGGACTAGAGTCAGCCTTGTACACAGCATGGCTTTCTTGATTTTTCTGAGACAAACATAAGAGAAGTGATGAACAAACAGGGATATCTAAACAAGCAGACACTAGGTTAACATCAGGATCTTCACCCTGGCTTTTATCATGGTAACTACGATATTAAAAAGTTTCTATTAGAGGGGGGTGGGGGGATGGGTTAGCCTGGTGATGGTATTGAGGAGGGCATGTCCTGCGTGGAGTCCTGGGTGTTATGCACCAACAATGAATCATGGAACACTAACATCAAAAACTAATGATGTAATGTATGGTGATTAACATAACAATAAAACAATTTAAAGTAAAAAAAAAAAGTATTAAGCAGGTGCCGTCTCATGCAGGAATTCATAAGGAAATAAAAAATATACTTATCACAACCTAACTAGGATGGGACAAAACACACTGGCTTTAAAGACAAAGAAACCTAGGCTTAAATCCTGGCCCAGACCCTGGCAGCAGTGTGCCCTGGGGCATGGAACTGAACTTCTCTGAGCCTAGTTTTCTCTTTGCCAGAGTGGGGTAGCGACAATTTCCACACCTCACAGGTTCTCTGTGAGGACTGAGAGAGAATGCATGAAAAAGGCCTAGCACAGCTCCTGGTACGGAGGCAGCCCAAAGGGGAAAAGTCCAGTGTTTACAGTAAATTACTGAATTAAACAGTCCCACATATATACAACGTGAGCACAACAACAGAATTAACAGGAAGGAAGGGGCGAGAATCTTACCTCTGGATCTTTATTCCACTGCACAACATACTCCCAACAGCAATGTGCGTGCAGCACGTCTAGCTCAAGGCTACACGGAAACTGCTTATAGGCTAAATGCAGCAAGTCTGAAAGCCACAGGAGAGTGACAGATTTATTATTCTTTCCATAACAAAGACGCAGCCACATCCCCTCCACTCTGGACTGCATATTTCTCCATATTTATGGATTACCTGGTATAGCTCCTAGGTTCATGTCCATCTCTGACACTTCAAGTAAACCTCTGTTAATACCTTCTTTGGGTTCATCTGGGTTTTCTGCATCTCCTTCCTTATTAGCCAGTTTTAATAATTCAGGGCTGAAGTCCTGTTTAAATATCCACTTGGCTACGCTGTCTGCAATGCCACCTACAGTGTGGAGATAAGAAAATGAACATTTAGGGCGCCTGGGTGGCTCAGTTGGTTGGGCGACTGCCTTTGGCTCAGGTCATGATCCTGGAGTCCTGGGATCGAGTCCCACATCGGGCTCCCTGCTCAGCGGGGAGTCTGCTTCTCCCTCTGACCCTCCTCCCTCTCATGCTCTCTTTCTCTATCTCATTCTCTCTCTCAAATAAATAAATAAAATCTTTAAAAAGAAAAAAAAGAAAATGAATATTTACAGTGTTCACCAAAAACGGCAAGGGCAAGTGGGGTACTGGTATCTAAGGACAGCTCTATACTCCCATATGAGATAAATACAAATGCATATACCTATTTGTACACCACACAGCTTCTATGTCCACAAATTCAAAATATATTTTATCAGACACAGATGAAGGGGTGAATACATCTTTAAAACACTTTCTTTCTTTCATTCATTTAAGATTTTATTTATTTGTTTGACAGAGACAGACACAGCGAGAGAGGAAACACAAGCAGGGGGAGTGGGAGAGGGAGAAGCAGGCCTCCTGCCGAGCAGGGAGCCCGATGCGGGGCTCGATTCCAGGACCCCGGGATCATAACCTGAGCCGAAGGCAGACGCTTAACGACTGAGCCACCCAGGCGCCCCCATTTATTTTTTTAAAAAAGATTTTATTTATCTGAGAGAGAGACAGAGGGAGTGAAAGAGAGCACAAGCAGGGGAAGGGCAGAGGGAGAATCAGACTTCCCGTGGAGCAGGGAGCCCAACACAGGGCTCAATCCCAGGACTCCGGGATCATGACCTGAGCCGAAGGCAGACGCTTAATAGACTGAACCACCCAGGCGCCCCTAAAGCATTTTCATTTACATGTAAGTGAAACAGACTGATTAGTATGATACCTGTCTAGGCTTCTTAGGGCAACATATTACTTTTAATAGTCAACTAACTTGCCTACATGGAATATTTATGGGCAAAATTTAGCCACATCTAAGAAACATGATGCTATCCCATGTTTCAATCATTGACACAGGCCAAAAAATTCTAAATGCAAACTGAAAAACACTCAAGACAAAGAGTCCTCTGTTTATTACCTAAACCAAATTATACATTCTTCTGTAATTTATCAACACCTTTTCTTTCTTCCTATTTTGATTCAAATATAAACCTTTCCACAAAAAAGAACGCTTCACAGTAAAATCACCATTATCAGGGATGATAAATGGCAGCAGTGTGCTGGGTATTCCAATTTCTTATGTTTGACTTCCAAATCATTTGGTAATTTCCATTCCAGAATCAAGCCCTTGCTTATATTGCTTAGGTTAATATCACAATGATGGTCCTACCCTATCAGCAGGTGGCAGCAAGGAGTGTAGAGTTTATAATTTAAAATTTTTCACAAGTCTTTTTTTTTAACATAATTTATTTAAACTTTAAAAAAAAAAGTTTCCATTTGCATGGAGTATCTTTTCCCATCCCTTCACTTTCAGTCTCTGTGTGTCCATCCATCTAAAGTGAGTCTCTAGGCACCATATATATGGGTCTTGTTTTTTTTTTCACCCATTCAGCCACCTTCTGTCTTTTGATTGGAGAATTTAGCACATTTATAATTAAAGTAATTACTAGGAGGTGTTGCTCATTGCCATGTTATTCTCTGGCTGCTTTAATCATTCCTCTGTTCCTTTATTCTTCCCTTGCTCTCTTCCTCTGTGGTTTGATAACTTTCTTTGGTGGTATGCTTATAGTCCTTTATCTTTTGTGTATTTACTACAGGTTTTTGCTTTGTGGTTACCATGAGCTTAGAACTAACAACTTATATCTGCAGCCGTCTGGCTGGGTGAGTTCTACTGCCCTGTCTTTGGGTCCACTGGTCCTTCCTTCTGCCTCACCGAGTCTGCTGCTGAAACCCTCTAGCACATACTGAGTTCAGTTACTGTATTCTTCAGCTCTGCGATGTCTACTTATTTTCCATCTCCTTGAAGTTATCACTATGTTCATCCATTCTTCTCCCCAGTTTGGTGAGCATTTTCCTGACTATAATTTTGGACTTTTTATCAGGAAAATGACTTGTCTCCATTTGATTAAGGTTTTTTTTCCCCCCCCTGAAGTTTTATCTTGTTCTTGGACTTGGAACATATTTCTCTATTTCTACCTTTTGCTTGATTCTTCCAGTCTTCAAGGAGTGGCCTTGTGCAGGAGATGAAACTTGTCATTTATCCAAGCAGCCTAGTAGATTTTTAAAAGCTCCCAGTAGCTGAGGATGTGACAAGACCAGCCAGTGTCCTATAAGAGAGGATCTTCACCACCTACATTCAGGCTGACTGAAAGCCAGAACCTCAGGTATCAGCTTTTTTCTATTTTAAGATTTATTTATTTATATGAGAGAGAGAAGCACATACAACACAAGTGAGAAGGGCAGAGGGAGAGAGACTCTCAAGCAGACTCCACGCCGAGCACAGAGCCCGGGGTGGGGCTCAATCTCACGACCTGAGCCAAAACCAAGGGTCGGACGCTGAACCAAATGCACCACCAAGGCAACTTGTCAGACATCAGCTTTTAAAAGTATGCAAATATATACAGTCCTGTAGGACCACAAGCATAAGCTCCACTGGCCACCAGAGCCAGGGGATCTGGAGATGTCCCCTGGGTGGCAGTCACAAAAACCAGAGCTCCAAACAAATGTATAAGCTCTTTCTGGGTTATACCGGCAAACTGGGACAAGGCAGAAGGCAAGTACCAAGATGGCATCCGCAGCCTATGTTCCTTGAGAGCAGCTCCGGAGGCCACTACATGTGTGCCAAACCTAAAGCCTGCCTCTCAGGCTGAAGCTTACAGTCTTATAAAGAATAAGAAGACACGTTAACTAAATAAAAATCTATAAATACATGGGTATTTATAAATCCAGGAATACAGATAGTCCAGTATCAAATGCCTGACAGAGCTGCTGGTAAAAAGAAAGTACATCAAGACAACTAAAAATTTACGATGCTTATGGTCCTGCAGGATATAAGCACAAGAACCCAATGGTTCCAGGACAGCAGAAAGTGATAAATCACAGAAGAGGTATAAAGTTCTGCGGAAGTTAGGAGGAAGAAGAAAAAATTTGTAGCTAGTGGATCATGAGCAGTTTCTTAGAGGATGTAGTATTTGAGCCGGGCCTCGAAAGAGGAATAAGTACAATTTAGCATCCAGAATGGGACAGGTGGGGAAAGGGAAGGGGACAGGCTCAGACGTAGAGATGGGGAATCACACAGATGCTTCATCTGAACCACAATCAAGCAACAAGCAAGAAATGGAAAAATGGGTTAGATTCAAAGCCAAAAGTTCTTAGAGAACCAGTTTCTATTTGTTCCAGAAGTTCTCGAATTTCTTAAGTCTCAGAATCTCCTTAAACTCTTAAAAATTACTGACGATCTCAAAGAACTTTAGCTTATGGATTATATTTATCCATATTTATGCTCTTAGAAGTTAAAATTGAGAAAATTTTAAAATATTCTTATTAATTCATTTTTAAATACAAATAATAAACCTATTACATGTTAATAACATTTTATGGAAATATATTTCCCAAAGCAAGAAAAGACGTTTAGTGAGAGGAGTAACACTACAACCTTTGCAAATCTCTTCAACTGGCTAGCTTATATCTGGATTCTCCAATCAGCTTCTGCGTTCCGTCTACTGGGATCTGCTGTTCTGGTTGAAGTAAGGGAGGAAAAGCCAGCCTCCCACAGACATGAAGTCGGAAAAGGGAGGGCTCTTGAGGTCCTCTGAGCACTCTTTGAGAACCGCAGCTAATTCTCTAAGGCAGGGGGAAGTAGTGCGGATTCCTGAGCAGGGAACTGACAGAAGCAGACTTTGAGAAGATTAACTGAGAAGAAATAGGCATTAGGTTATTTTTAATTTTTAAAATCTAAATCTATTTCTCTTTCCCCATCCTTTCAATCATTTCTATAAAAACCACCAGAAATGCCCATACCATAAACATGTAGATCTATAGGTGCAATGCTCAAATAAACTCTGGCTTACCTTTTCCTCCTTCCAGTAATTTTTTGACAGAAAGCCTCGGGAGTGGCTCAGCCTGTAGCGACGACACTTTGGAGGTTGACGAGTTTGCTTTGCTGTGAAGTAAAGTCTGAAGTATGAGACAGTCCTCCAGTTGTTTCAGCAGAAGCTTCCAGTATTCAGTGTCCAGAGAAAGGGCCTCCCAGGAATCGGTGAGGGCCTCAGAATCAGCACCCAAAACTGTTTGGGAAAACTAACAGAAAATGCACTGGTGATACTCTGGCAAAGGTTCTGGATCAACAGTCACTTGAATGAGCTTTTTAACTTGAGAGCTGAAGGACCATCAGGTTATGTCACGAAGCAACACACAAGACTCTGCTTCACAAACATTACCACTTGGCTGGATGGAACATGAGTGACAGGAGGAAACTGGATTCAGGAGCAACAGTGACAGAGCATGGACATTTACAGAAAGACCTGTGGCAAGGCCCCCGATTCATGTGATGTGTACTAACAAGTCTGCAGGACCATCTTTGACAAGGGCCACGGTCTTTTCTGTCAGTACCAGGATAGTGCTCACTCTTCAGAAGGCACTCTCCAACATACAAAATGTGTCTCAAATTCCTTCTCTTTCCATTATCATAAACATCTTAAGCCAGGAATGTTAAGTTTAGCATATAAACTACTGAGACTGACAATGTTAAGTGAATCTCTACAGGCCTATTTAAGTGACTCATCCAATTAAATCCATGTCCCCCTAGAAAAAATTTGATCTACCATGAGATACAAGAGATGTTTGTTTTGCTTTTTTAAAAAAAATAAATTTGAGTCTTTGTAAGAGATGAGGAAAACTCACAAAGCAAAAAGTCAATAGGAAACTTTTATTCAAATCTTTCAACACTCTATGCCCAAAACAACTTTTGTTTATAAAGGGGGGAGGGTTATAAATACAATTGTAGAATTTAAGAGCTACAGCAAACCTCAGAAATAATGCAGTCTAACCCTGACCTCCTTTAGATGAAGAACCTGAAGTAGGAGACTCATGTTTAAGGGACTTACCACAAATCCCCAGCTGCTGGCAGAGAGCCAGGTCTCTGCCCTCCAACTGCAGTACTTTTCCCCTCGAAGTGGAAAGTATGAGGTGACGGCAAAGTTCAAGTATGCATGCCATCTAAATAAACAAGTTAAGGGCAGCACCCCTCACTCCCAAAAAGACAAATGAGAACCTGCTGGACACACATTTCAAACTCTACATGTTTCATAACACCAAAGACACTCTAGCCCCAGACAAGGACGAGCAGACTGGACAGGTAGAGATCCAGCCTATCCAAGGACAGGTGCACCCCCGCCCACTTACTTTTTTCTCAGTCATACTGTTCGAGATCTGTGCGGCAACGGAATGCCCAACGTGTGCAGACAACAGAGCAGCTCCGTTGTTCTCAGACTGAATACAAGCCGTGCGCATCTGCTGCCACCAAGGAGATACAGACTGGGAATCCCAGGTCTCATCAATGGCCACTACGGGCAAAAAGAGAAAGTTAAAAAAGAAACTCTGAGCTCGTTGATTCTGTCTGTTCAACCTTTAACATTAAACATAACATTGAAACTAAATTCCCCAGTGACATATCTGTAAATTTCTGAATTAGAAGATTAACCCACAGGGCGCCTGGGTGGCTCAGCCAGTTAAGTGCCTGTTTTCAGCTCAGGTCATTTTCAAGAGCAGTGGTCTACATCTCAAGGGCCATGGAACTGCAATAGCCACCAGCCTTTTACCTTTCATCTTGCTCAGAAGGGACAGCATCGTATGAAGACAGCACACAGACTGTGGTTTATCCAAAATATCTTTCTCCTTAGATAGCCAAACACTCAGGAGCAGAGACTGAAATCAAATTTAAATAATTTTCAGTAATAAAAAAACAAAATGCCGCAGTTTTCAAGGAAGCACATGTGTATATGAGGGATTCAGTCCTTCAGGGTGAGAAATAAGGGGCTGCTCATTACATCACGTAACATGAGAGGCAGAACAAGGTACCCTGTCTACTTAAGAAGATTCTTTACCATCTGTTAGATATGGAACTTCCACTGTTTCCATCTCTTCTTTGGGTTAAGCATTGCCTTCTAGGTTGAACCTTGATTAGGGAGCATATTAACAGAAAGGTTACTACCAAGTTAGCATAGACTGCTGAGTAGATTGGTGAGAAGCCACTCAGCTGATGGGAGGAAAGGGAGGGTCTGGAGCTGGGGACCTTCCCCCACATTGGCCACAAGGTACTGTGGACTTGGAAGTGGTGAACAGATAAGTAAAACTATCAGATTCTAGTTTTTAAATCACTAATAAGACATGAGAAAGACTTTATAAGCAAAAACACCTAAATCAATGTAAGTGACTTTTAAGATGCCCATGAACCAGCCTATCTACTTAAAACTGAAATATTTTAAGATGTACAAAATTTGCACATAGATAATTCTGGGATAATGAGAACTCCAACAGCATGGCACCGCACCTGTAACTACTAGTGGTTGTGAAAGGCCTGGCTGCTTTAATTCTGCAGGACCTTCATGTAAAAACAAAAACAAAAAAAAAGCTTGAGAATAAAAGGTTGATTACCAGTTTAAATATCTTAGTACAAATACTTTTCAAAAATGAAGAGTAGGAAGTTGAAGTCATGTGTGAAGAAAATGAACTTGGGAGGATGACCGAAGGACCAGGAGATGTTAGTACTCGCCAGGCATCGTCCCGTCCAATCCCAACCACCACGTGGCAGGAACAGTCTCCCAGGTTTTACAAATGATGAAAAGGAAAAGGAACTTACCCAGCACAAAACAGCTAATGAGTCAGGACTGAAGTGTGAACCAAGATCTGCCTGATTCTAACACATGTTTATTCTCTTTAAAAAACTGTACATGTGTATAGACGTGTACATGTACACATAATTTGAACAAATAAAAAATAAACACACGCTTTCAAAAGGAGTCTATTTCTCCCTTTTCTGTTCAACCCTCTTAGCTCTCTCTGTCAGCCTCCTTTCTACCTCATCTTATCCAGAAACCTATTTTTTTCTTTAAAGATTTTATTTATTTATTTGACAGAGAGAGACACAGCGAGAAAGGGAACACAAGCAGATGGAGGGAGAGGCAGATGGAAGGAGAGGCAGATGGAGGGAGAGGCAGAGGGAGATGAGAGGCAGAGGGAGAAGGAGGCTTCCCGCGGAGCAGGGAGCCCGATGCGGGACTCAATCCCAGGACCCTGGGATCATGACCTGAGCCGAAAGCAGACGCTTAACGACTGAGCCACCCAGGCGCCCCAAGAAACTTTTTTTTTTTTTTTACAACCAAATATGTGCCCTCATATTTGCCTGCATATTCGTAAGACAAAGACAATGCTAACAACAATAAAGGCTAATGGTTACACAAAGCTGACTATGCCCAAGCCACTGGGAGCTTTCTAAGTAATACAGAAAGCATTAGGGAGCAGGCATGGGGGAGAGGTGGTCACCGCTTTACAAAACTGGGGTCATTACACCATGTGCATTCCACTTGCCACACAACATCCTGTGTGGTCCACAAACTTTTGACTGACTTTATCCATTTATCAAGGTTATTCCCTCTCTTCTAGACCTTATTACCTCACACAACACAGCTACTTATAACCATCAGGCAGGCTAAAAAAAAAAAAAAAAAAAAAAAAAACAATGAGCTGCCTGTATAGGCAACAAAGATACTCCAAAATCAATTGGAAATGACCCTGTCTCAGTGTTCTGGGCACACAAAGCAAATCAAAAGGAAATGAGGGGGGATGGGAGAACTTATCTTCTGGGTTCACTCTGATTAATTTTAGGCCAAAATATATGAGCAGGGGTATTTTAAGAGCATATCAGGTTTCTAACACACCTATGGGTTTAGTGTCTTTCAAAGCTTGATTCATCTCTTCACCAGCAACAAAGTTTCAAAATGCTCAAAAAGATGGACCACCCAAAAGGCTAGACAAATTAAATGCCATGACCTGACTCCCTCTTCATACTAAAAACTCTTTCATTTTTCTCTCCAACTAACCACTCCCCCTATCTACCACCACCTTTATTTAGCAAATTCTAAAACAAAAAACCCTGTTCTATTTAACTCTCCTTCCATCTCTCTCTAGGTCAACCCTGTTTCTAACTCTCATGCAACAAGGTAATCTTTGCTTATAACTTAGTGGGTGCTCCTCTTGTTTATTAACTTTAAAAAAGTCAATCAGTCATGCTTTAGTTAGCATGTAAAAAGTTGGAATGAAACAGGGGCTGCTGTGGAAGCTATCAGAACACAATGACACAATTTTAGAACCACTTATAAGCAGCAGATTTTTTTAAGCTTCAGGAAAAATTAAGGTAAAAGGAGAAAAATAACCAAAGAGGAGAACACAGAGATAAGATACCACATAAAAAAACATACACAGACACACAAAACAGAAAAAGAGAGTATACAGAAGGTAACGATCTCTATAACTTGTAAATACAAAATATCCTTTCAATACATCACAGCAAAGAATGTCACATATTATTCATAATGTGGATATTCATATTATAAATGTACACTATGTTATTTCACATATAAATGTCACATATTGACATATTACCAGATGATATCTGAGTATTAGATTTTTATTAAGAGAAAACTTGAGAGGAAATTTAGTTAATTCCTCTTTTCTAAGTAAAGCAGTATCTAAGAGTTGGTAAACACCTGTACCTAAGAATGAAGTAGAAAATCCCACTGGTTCTTGGTAGATGCTTCTAATGCCTAATGAACATTACTTTTTGCTAAGTATCCTCCCCCTGTAATATTAACATCCCAGATGTTTTAATCCTTCCCTCAGCAGAAATGCTGGCAGATAGAACATGAAGAAGCCATCTGTTAGCCCTGTCTCTTCTTAAACTTTTGTCAGTTTTTTGAATGAGCCTTATTTTCTAGTCTTTCCTGAAAACTAGGTCTATTTTAGTATACAGAATTAAAACTTGATAAAATTCCAGTGAGGGTAATTATAGTTTTAAACATTAAATTAGTTTTAAACATTTAAACATTTAAAAAACTATCGGGCTGTTGTCTGTGAATTACGTTAATAGAATATATAATTCTGACTAAATCATATGTTAGGTTTTATAGAAAAATTGGTGGGCATAGTACATCCAGACGGATTTCCAAATTTAACAACATACACAACCTAAAAAAAAAAATACACACACACACCCTAATTTCTTCACGAACATAATTCCAATAATTCTTTTCCTGAACCAAGCTTTCTCCTGTGTTTTCTTCTGTAAGTTCTGTAGTTTCAGCTCTTATATTTATGTTGCATTTTGAGTTAATTTTTATGTATGGCTTGAGGAAAGATTTAAGGTTCATTTTTCCCAATGTTTCTTGAACCCTAGATTTACTGCAGACATTTTACTGATACTGATTAAACACAATGTAAAGATAAGAAGTACCTTGTACTCATTTAAGCATCTCAAATTTGAATAATAAATACCTTCTCTCTTTTTAACTTTTTATTTTATAATAGTTATAGATTTACTAGGGGCACAAAAAAAAAATGCACAACGAAGTCCCATGCACCCTTCCCACAGCCTCCCCTAATGTTGACATCTTATACAATATCAAAACCAAGAAATTAACATTGGTAAAATCCACAGAGCGAATTCAAATTTCACCAATAATGCACGCACCAATATGTGTGTGCACACAATTCTATCAAATGTGTAGCTTTTCAAAAACATCACCATGATCAAGCACTCAACTCTACATCAGCACGAGACTCCCTTGTGCCACACCCACCCCAACAGTCACTCACCCTCACTCACCCTTGACCACCACTAATCTCTTCTCTATAACAGTGCTATTTCATGACCACTACAAAAATGGAATCATGCAAGTACATGTCTTTTCAATCTGGGCATTTTTCCACCCAGCATATTTTCCCTGCAGTTCATTCAAATTATTGTGGGAATCAAAGGTTGAGTCTTACTGCTGAGGAGCAGTCCATGGTAAAGATGTACCAGTTTGTTTAACCACTCACCCACCGAAGGACATTTGCGTAGCTTGCAGTTTTGGGCTACTATGAATAAAGCCACTTATGAACATCCATGTAAAACCTATGCCTATCTTTAACTGCCTTACTTCCTGACATACATACTGCAAAGGACAAAGAATGGAATCTGTTTTTATAGGATGTAAATGTTCAATTAAAACAATACATGAACACAGTCAACAAGCTCATAGAGGAGCTTTCCCAGATCCTGGCCAAAATGCAGGGTGTTAGCGGGAATCGAAAGTGTGTGTATGTGTGCATGTGAGTGGTTAGGGTAAAGACAAGGGAGGACGGCAGGGTCACCTCCCTTGTCCTGTGCAGAAGGGCAAACATTTAGTGTTGTTATTGTTTTCTAGTGAATGATTCTTCTGTTTTACATTTGTTATAGCACAGAGACTAAACCCTAACATATATTCAAAGTTTGGGAATGTTTGATAACAATTCTGTATTGCTCTAAGGGAAGTTGATTTTGTTCTCTAAGATCTTTTTTACTTCTAATATGATCAATTTCCCTGTTGATCACAATCCACTATAAATGCATGCATACATGTCAGATTCTAAATTTATTTTAGGCTGACCATGGAATATGCCCGCTACAATTCACAGGGAATTAGAAAAATAAAATACCATTACTCAATTAAATATGGTGATTATAAATTTCTTTGATCACTTTTGGAAGGTTTTCATGTATGTTCTATGATACGCTTTGGACAATGGTTAAAAAAAAAGGACTGACACTTCTGGTTGACATGAGAAGGGAAGAAAAATGTGCAACAACAAGAAAGCTTACCAACAACAGCTGAGGGCTAAGTCCAGCTGACTCCAGAGTGTGACACATATCCTCGGTAGAGCTTTCTCCATGCAAACACTTCCAGAAAAAGAAACTACCTAGTAAAACAAAAGCAAAATGCATTAACCAATGGCTACTTACCATTTGGACTAACATTCTTCCTGAACTGCAATCTAGATCCCCAGAGAGGCAAACTAGCATGAGAAAAAAGAAATTAATGTCTCAGTTTGCTTGATTTTAAAGCAGAGGGCAAATCATCACCTAACACTGTCTCTTTAGTATACATATTAGCCAATAAAACCTGTACGACATAGTGCCTACATATCCACAGTATTTTCTGTTCACTGGAAAATATACATTAAATTCTTAGGTTAATTTTAAAACAAACTGAACCTTTGAGATGCTGTAAACTCCTGCCAGGCTTTCCTCCAGAAGAGGCAGGATTCAAAGAGCAGTTTTATCATTCCACCTACCTAAAGCCACATACTCCTCTTCACTTATCTTCTTTATGTTGATCACATCCTTCTCATATTCTAAATATTCCAGGAATGTTTTTACAGGTAACACACCATCCTTATCGTCAGAAAATCGGACTGTAGCAGTCCTGGTTTTTTCCTCTTTGTACTTCTCTAGTAATGCCTGGAGCTTAAGCAGTTCTTTGTCATCAAGCCTCAGTAACACAGCCAAGTCCTTAAAAAAAAATAGGAAAAAAAAAAAAAAGGTTGTGAATACACTGTATCTCTTCCTATGACTCCGCCATCAGGGTTGCCCCTGTTATCTGAAGTGAAATGCAAGACTATAAGCAAATGATGACTTATTAATGTGATGGCTACAATGTACTCTGCTTAAAACTTTACTCACAAACTCATGAACTGGATATTAAGTAACTTGAACTTATCTTGAAACACTACATATTACTAAAAGTATGATTTTTATACAATTTTTTGAGAATACTCTTTTAAAATGTTTGAATTTTACTAAAGTATTAATTTAGAATCAGAAAAAAATTGCAAGAGTATCAACTGCAACTCTTGTGGTTCTAAGTAAACTAAAGGCCTATCTGAATGTTTATTTATTAAGCAGCATAAACACAATAAAAAATACTGAAACCAAGCCTCACTGTATCTACACATACATCTTCTACGTGGCTCTCAGGGATACAGAGGTTGAAAAGTTACGTACTGCGTGGAGCGCTGGGTGTTATACAAAAGCAACGAATCATGGATCACTACACCAAAAACTAATGATGTAGGGGTGCCTGGGTGGCTCAGTTGTTAAGCGTCTGCCTTCGGCTCAGGTCATGATCCCAGGGTCCTGGGATCGGGCCCCACATCAGGCTCTCTGCTCTGCGGGAGCCTGCTTCTCCCTCTCCTACTCCCCCTGCTTGTGTTCCCTCTCTCGCTGTGTCTCTGTCAAGTAAGTAAATAAAATCTTTAAAAACAAAAAACTAATGATGTAATGTATGGTGATTAACATAACATAATAAAATTTAAAAAAAGTTAGAGATATATCCTGCCCACCTTTCAAACCATCTTTACAGACCATATGTGCAAAAACATCTCCTGATTTTACTATTATTTTTCTAAATTAGGGATAAACGTACACACACACACTAACATATGCTTAAAAGACCCTAAATTCACCATAGCAAGCAAAACTTTCTCCCCACCACATGCTGTTGTTTTTTAAAAACAAGTAGTACACTGCAAACGCTATGAACACACAACAGTAGTTCAAAGCTATACTGAATTTATTATACATGAGCTTATATGAACTACATTCCACAGCAACAAAAATGTCTCCAGACTCGAATTTTAGTTTTACAGGCACAAGATTAGCCATTCAGCCTAGAAGTGGACTGGACATTTTTTGAAGGATCTAAACAAGGTCACAGCAAAATACAATTTTAATCCTTAAAAAGTGCTTTAAAAAATAATAAAAATCAGCCAACTGGTAACTTTAAATTTTGTAATTTTTATCTTTACATACTGTATTGGGGCTATCAAGTGAAAATGAATTCTGTAGGGGATTACTAATGACATACACTTAACTTTCTTTGGTGAGTTGGAAAGTTGGGATCTTATGAAAAAATTAGGCATTGAAGAATCTATGAAATACCTAGGCAATCCTGCAGACATAATTTAGTCAACTTGACCTTACTGTTTGAAATGATTTTATACTATTGCTGAAGTAGAAAGAAAAATAAAAAGATCCTGAAAAATGGCTTTGTTGTTTATAATAGCAATCACAGAATATTACGAAGGCTGTTAAAATGCTTTATGAAATCCATCTATAATCCCAAGGATAAAAAGATGTTAGAATGTGTAAGTAGTTTCCAATACAGAGAGAAAATCTTTCATTTTTCTGTTCAAAAATTTTTATTCATGTATGTATATTTAAAATAAAAGGTTTCCACTTTAAACTTCAATTAAGTTTCAGATACACCAGATAATTTTTATAAGTATTATCAGTGACTTGACAAATCACTAAAATCACTTAAATAATAATTTTCCTTTAGATATGTGGACGACATGGACCCTAAAGGCAAGCAGGCTGTCCACAGTCACACGGTAATCTGAGAGAAAGAGAGGACAACCTTCCTCTCTACTCTCTATCAAGGAAACTATTTCTCCATATGAAAAGTAAGAATTTTGCTTACATGCTCCAGAATTGAGCAATACTGCACTATAATGAAGATTACAAGGTACTGCCATTTTTTAAATGTTTTACAGAATGAAAACATAGAACATTTACTATAAACACTTTGATGTAAGACAGAATTTCTATTTAAGTATTATGTAGTAGACAAGAGAACAAGCTGTATGAGTTTGTTCACAAGACCACCAAAAACCCAGTCTCTTCTGTTTAGCAAAATCTTTTTTTTTCTTTAAAAGAAATTAAAGTTTTGCTACTTCAGTAAACTGAATATATTTTAACTGGCAAACCTGGTCCAGTTATGTTGTCAGAAACAACCTTAAAAAATGAGTTGAGAGAAACCAAATGCTTCTAAGATAGTGAAAATGGATTAACAATAAACTGTAATATCTTGGCATAAATAATATAAAGTTAGCACTAAGGCACAGAGAGCCAGCAGGTCTTATAAAGAAAATACACCTTTACCCTTCATAAAAATTCTCAATTTTCTACTTCTTTACTATCAATTAAAAAATTAAAAATAATCAGAGATTATTTTGTATAATGAGGAATGGAATTACTCACATTATCCGAGAATGGTGCGTCTGAATGAAAATCAAGGGAATTTAACTGACAGACAGACTCATAAAGATGGAGTAATTTCAGTTTATTGGCACAGAACTGTAGCAATCCTTCGTCAACAGACTCAAGCTCTAAAAGGTGGAAGAAAAAATACATCAAAGAGATATATTTAACAAACTTATAAAAAGGTCTTTCTTTCATTAACACTCAGTATCTTATACTTCTCTGATGTTCTAGTCTATTAAATACTGAGATACTTAAGCTGTAACAGATTACTAAGACAAAGATGATTTTTCCATCATGGAAAAATATCCAAATATTTTAATGAAATAAGGCATAGTACTAGTGGGGGAGGGGTGGAGAAAAAGAGAAAAAGAAAAAAAGGCAGAGCTTTCTTAGTCTAATACTCAAATTTTTAAAAAATGATCTGAAAACAGCTTTGAAAATATTCTCCCTCACCCCATAATTCATATGCCACCAATTCTGTTCATAGAGGACAAACAGAAAGCTGCCTGGCTCTTGCTATCATGGTGGTCAAAGATACCAGAATTCAAGCACAAACTCCGGACTGCAACAGATTTATCTTCAAGGAAGGCTGGCAAAGAGACCAAAGTACAATTCTACTTAAGATTCTCCATCAGTCAGGCTTTTGAATTTTTTTTAAAAAAGAAATACTGGGCGCCTGGGTGGCTCAGTCGGTTAAGTGACTGCCTTTGGCTCAGGTCATGATCCTGGAGTCCCAGGATCGAGTCCCGCCTCGGGCTCCCTGCTCGGCGGGGAGTCTGCTTCTCCCTCTGACCCTCCCCCCTCTCATGTGCTCTCTCTCTCATTCTCTAATAAATAAAATCTTTAAAAAATAAAAAAAATAAAAATAAAAATAAAAAGAGAAATACTCTCTACATAATACATTCCCTCAAGGTAATTTAAATATTTATCATCTAATATGAAACAACTACTCTTTTAAAAGGCAGGGATTTTACCTCCAAGAGCTGGTAGAGCTACATCAAAACTTAGCATATTAAATAGGTGAAATTTTTAGGAATCTCAATTATGGGTAGAACTTGAAACTGGTGATGATTTTATAGAATTCCAACACTGGTATTTGGTTTACTTGTATTTTGTCCAGTGCAAGATAAATTCTGATTCAATAAATTTTGAGATTTCGGTAAAGCCTGGAGGGATGGGGGAGCTTTATAAACATACTATGTTTTTTAAAAGAAATATTTCTAACAAGTTGTATATACTAAAGAAATTCACTATTTTCCAAAAGTCAGCTTTAAATATGTGTTGAAAAAAAATCTCAACATTAGGATGCTTAAAGTCTTGAAGGGGGATACTATGATCTGTTTATTAAGCCACTTTAAGTTGGCTTAAATATAAATATAAAGCTGGCTTTATATAACTAACATGACAAGCAAAAAGTCCACAGCTAGATGAAGTCTACATATTTCACACTACAATTTAATATGTTAGGTATTGAGAACAAATTGAATTTTGCCGGGTCAGCTGGATAGAGTAGGGAGTTAAAATCCCACAGTTAGAGATGTAGTTCTTTTTCAGACAAATTTTGAACAGTAAAAAACAACCAGCAAACTCAGAGCTAATAATTTACTTAGAGTCCAATTTTGGAAGTCCTTACTGTTCATGAGGGAAGCAGAGGAGAAAATGTGGATTCCATACAGTAACAGAACGTTAATTCAAAGCGTACCTTTTTTTTTTTAAATCATTCTCTCAGTCAAAACAAATTTAGAGAATGCTTCATCTACAGAAATCACTCTCCTTCCCTAAAGCTAAGTAAAAGACAGTTTGAAAGCAATAAAGCCCCACTGTTTTTTGCAGACCACCAGCTAACTTTCTCCCCTCAGGCTGCTGCCTTTCACACATGAATGACTGTAACAAAATAACCACTTCTCACCATCCTATACTGGTGTCTTTCCTCAGGGTAGAAAGATTTAAAGAGAAATATTTACAGAAAGAAACTATATTCAGAGAAAGCTCAGATGAAGATCAGCTGCATACACCAAGTAGGGAATAAAAAAGTCTCCAAATACTAAAGGTATGAAGTAAGTTTCCTTATTTCTTGTAGCATTTCCACATTGAAGTAACATGATGATATCATAAACAGGAATAGCTTTTTATAATCAGAATTACAAAATCTGAAGACCAGAACCTCCAATCAGTACAAACCCTATTACCTTGATTTTTTAAAGTGTCCATTAAAGTCTGAGTGATGTTTCTAAGGCAGGAAAATGGTAATCGTTCACTTGCCAAAATGCTTTCCAAAGCCTAGAAGAAAGATATTGAGCAATTCTAACAATCAGACGGCAACGATTTTGTTTTTTAAATTTTATATTTATGCCAACACCTTCAGTACCCCAAATTTCGAAGGGAAGCTCCATAGTTAAGATGTTTCCATGTACATACCTGAGAAGGAGAGTTGCATCATATCTATTATGCAATCAATTTCATCTCATGCCCCTTATGGTGGAATGGCAAAAAATCCAGACTCAATGAAACAACTAGAAGGCAACTGGTATTTAACAGAATGGCCAAGATGAAACAAAGACCATGATAAAGCTATTCACCAATAAAAAGAGTGCAAGTCTATACTCCACAGGCATAAATGAAAAGCAGAGGCTGTTACTGTTGTGTCAATGATGAAAGGTGACAACAACTCAGTTACTGTTTAATGACCGCATTTGAGCATGGCTGGGTGAATATACAGGCCACGCAAGGTGTATATATAGATGCTCCCTGCCCCACCCCACCCTCCTCTTCCTGCCCCTCCCCAGGAGATAAAGAGCCTTCACCACCAGTTCCACAATCTCTCTTTATGCCGAAAGAAGCAACCATCAGAATCACCAATGGGTAGACACAGCAGTTAAAGTTCATACTTATCCTTTCATATTAGGCCATTAAACTGGCTTTTATTGGTAAGACTAAATAATTTCAAAAGTTGGCTGAGAATGTAGCATGAGACAAAGATTGGAACACAATCACCTGTGTGTGTGTGTGTGTGTGTGTGTGTGTGTGTGTGTTTAGGTAGGTAAGAAATGGGGCTCTGAGAGTGGCTCAAGAGGGTGGTCAAGCCCATGATGAGGCAACTACATAGTGGATATAAAGAAAGTGACTGAAAAAGGCAAATACCCAGCAAAACAGAATTGTCTCTGTTCTGTCTACCGCTTGCTTATTTATTCATTCTTCCAAAGCCTAAACTGTTTTTTTTCCTTTTAGTGTTAAAAATACACAACTTTAACTATTAGCTTTTCCAGCATTTTTTATAAAATTCATAGTTTCACACACAATTCAGTAGTATAATAATTTTTAAAAGGTCAAGAAGACAGTCTGTAGTACGATGACTTTTCCAATTTTGTTGTTCCATGATGTAAGACAAAAAAGACGGTACCTTGTTTGGGTTATAACCCTCCCTTTCTACCACAGGTCCTCTAAACTACCTCTCTTGGATGCCCACCTTGTCACAGGAATGTCGTCTTTCATAACTGAGACTTTGCCCTAAGAGGAGAACCAATTAGCCCTGTCAGCAGAATGGAAAACTTGATTAGAAGTCACAGGCACTTGGGTACCTGGGCGGCTCAGTCAGTTAAGCATCTGACTCTTTTTTTTTTTTTTTTAAGATTTTATTTATTTATTTGACAGAGAGAGACAGCAAGAGAGGGAACACAAGCAGGGGGAGTGGGAGAGGGAGAAGCAGGCTTCCCGCGGAGCAGGGAACCCGACGCAGGGCTCGATCCCAGGGCCCTGGGATCATGACCTGAGCTGAAGACAGACGCTTAACGACTGAGCCACCCAGGCGCCCCAAGCATCTGACTCTTGATTTCAGCTCAGTCAGGATCTCACAGTTGTGAAATCGAGCCCTGTGTCGGGCTGTGCACTGGGCATGGAGCCCTGCTTAAGATTCTTTCTCCCTCTCCCTCTGCCCCTCCCCACCCTCCTTTTCTTAAAAAAAAAAAAAGTCACAGGGACTTGCCAGTTCTACAATAAAACAATGAAAAGTATTTTTAAAAAATGACTGCCACAGTAAAATAAAAGGGAATAAAAAGAAATCAATATTCACTAAATTTTTACTCCCACATATCCAGCATTATTTTAGTTGTTGTGGATTATGAAATTGATGTATTTGGTGAGGTCCCTACTTGAAGGAGCTTAAAAGAGGTAAAAAGGAAAAAACTGGTGAGCTACAATTCATGTATAAGAAATAATTAGAGAACAAGCAGCCATTAGCTATCCAGTTCTGACTAAAAGCAGAGTAGGAGTTCAGAGGTGTCCATGGGGATTGAAGAGCTGTGGAAGAATTTATAGAGTTAGAACCTGGGGCGCCTGGGTGGCTCAGTCGGTTAAGCGGCTGCCTTCATCTCGGGTCATGAGCCCTGCATCGGGCTCCCTGCTCATCAGGGAGCCTGCTTCTCCCTCTGCCTGCCGCCTCTGCCCCCCACTTGAGCTCCCTGTCGAATAAATAAATAAAGTCTTAAAAAAAATTTTTTTATAGAGTTAGAACTTGAGCAGCATTATGAGGGGTTTGGAGAAGAGGGTGCAAGTAAAAGAAATCACAGTGCGTTGTCATATTAGAACCACAAACCTGGCAAAAGGCAACAAGTCTGCCAATACCATGGGAGGCTGAGGCTGTGGAGGAACAGGCCCTCTTACACGGTACGAGTGGGAACATACATTAGTGCAAGTATTTTGAGAAGCAATCTTTCATCAACTAGTACAGCTGGAGAAGCTCAGCACACTACTATTCCCCTCTTAGGTACAAACTCAAGAGAAGCTCTCGCATATGTGCACCTGGGAACATAAAGATATGTAGTATCCTAGGTTTAAGGATAATCACAGTATCACTGTAATAGCAAAAACTGGAAACAACTCTAAATGCCCCCTGACAGGAGGAGTGTGAATCAAGTATAGTGGTAGACACAGTATATGCCCACTGTAGCTGCGTGTATCAACAGGGACCTCTCAAAGAAACATACTGTTGAAGGAATGAAGTCACAGGAAGGAGACACAGAGCACGACTCCAGTGATACAAAGTTTTAAAAGGCAGAAAATGCATAGATGTTTTAAAGGAGCCATACAGAAATAATACAACTATAAAAAGCAAAAGAGAGAGAAACACAAAATTCTGAACACTGGTTACCTTAGGAATGGGAGAAGGGGCTTGACGAGGGACACGTAGGGCTCTTCAGAGTTCTTGGTAACATTCTATTTCCTAAGGTGGGTGGTCACACACATGTGTTCATTATTATTCTTTATTCTGAGAATATGTTACGTATAGATGTGTGTTTCAAACATGCACACGTGTATGGTAATGTCACTTAATTTAAAAAAGGAGGAAAGGAGAGAGACAAGAGGAACTTCCACATGTAAACATAAAAAGGATGCGTGAATAAAAACCAGGAAAGAAGCGGTCAGCCTGTCATGTTTGGAGGGAAAAAGGAAAATAAAGACCTTCTTAAGAGAAATATGCCCCAGCTACTCAGCAGGAAAGTTCACATATTATACATACTTACTTGTTTCTTGGTTGCAGGATACTTAATATCAAGAATTAATTCCTTTATTTGTGTTTCAACCAAATCTACAAAGAGAAAATTAACCAAGGTAAATTTTCCACTTTTGTTACAAGGTAAACTTTATTCTGAAAGAAGAATGCACATATTTGTAGCTATCAGCCAGTCTCAGAGACTTCTGGTTTCTCTCCCATTATTGTTCTATTGTTACAAATTTTAGTATCTCCCAGAGGGCATGCCTCATATTTACAGAGCAATTCCAATTAAAAATATACATGATTACTTTCACCTCACCTTATTTCAAGGAGTTACAACAGCTCAAAAATGAACTGAAATATTCTGATTGCTGCATTTAGAATATGCTATTAATTCAGAAAATGACAAAAGTATGCGTTACTATTTTTTGCTAAAGGATGCGCACCGAGGTTAGGAGGTCTTGTTTTCAGCAGGACAGCCAGCTTCTTCACTAGGTGCATGTCCTTGGCTCGTTCACACTTCTTGTCACTAGAACAATAAATACAACAAATTCTTACAGAATGTGAAATTGCTTTCCTTCTAAGTCTGACACACTCCAACTCTTTTCCTTTATATTCTTCCTATTTAACTTTAAAGATATCTGTCTAATGAGAAAAACAACAACAACAACAAAATGGTAACTACAAAACAAAGAGCAAAATAAGGGATGGAAAAGTTAGCAGAGGGACACTGGATGAATCTTACCTCAGTGCTAAATGGAAAGGAACATTTACTGTTTTCACACTTCCAGACACTGGATCAACAAGACAGATCTGGTAAGTCTGTGGCTGCCAACTCTGACTGGTAACATTATTTAAGCCCATTATTTTATAGCCAGGATACAGAAGCCTGAGGAAGTCACAAACCAATATGGTAAGATTATTAGAGAAAAAGGAGAAATGCCAAAAGTGCTTTTATTATAGCTAGGGACCCCTACATTACTATCAATTCAGAAGCACTAATAAGGCAAATAAACACTAACTGAAACAAAAGCATAAGTAAAATAGATCCTGACTGGTACAGTTCTGCCTTGTTAAAATGTGCTAGAACACGGAAGGAGTCAGGCCTATGTAGCAATGACAAACAAAGCTTTCACCTCACTTAACATCATCACCACAGGAATCTGAAGCAATCTCTCCTTTTGAGCCTCCACAGCGTAAGTAAGGGATGGGGATAAATGGCAGCACCACAGGTAACTTTATTAAATTCGGTAGCATATCATGGTAAGATTTTTTGTTATTAAATACTTAATCCTTAATTATATAGCAGGCACTCACAGGGAAAACCAGAATAAAGAACACCACAATTCTCAAACAACTTGCAACCTACTAAGCAGCTTTAATAAAGACTTGAATAAAAGCATTCCTTTTTGTAACCAGGAAAATGCCAGGGTTTGCAGCTTACCTGCAGTGCTTTCCCACGTTGAAAGCTCCTACTCGAGGTCCCTGCTGTGTGCTCCACACTTCTAAGATTCCCCTTCTTGGTGCATAGATCACAAGGAACTGCGCTACTCGGCTTGGACCCTGAGTATTTCCAAAGGGGGAAAAATCCGCCTTTTCTGGTACTCTTTCATGGAGGTCCTCTACAATTTGGATCCAACCAATCTGTGCATCGCGATACCCTTGGAGACCAAGGAAAAGGGAAGCTAATTAGTTAATCTAGGTTTGATCATAGCTTTCTGAAGCATTGTGGGATATTTTAGAAAGGGGTTTAAGAAAAGCTATATAAGTACATTATCTTTTTAGTATGAAATATCTTAAACAGAAAAGACAGTAATTATAATACTGAATCCATCACCGTCTTATTAAATCTTAGTATTTTGTTATATTTGCTCCTGATCACTTCTTTTTCTTAAAAAAAAAAAACAAAAACAACAGCTATCATTACGGCTTCATGAGTACCCTTCCTCAATCTCATTCTCTCCCCTCCTTCCCTTTAAGAAAATTATCTACCTTTAAAAAATCCGAGGGAGGTTATCAGGTTTGGATTTTAAATAAAAGTCCATATAAAATGTAAGAGAAAAATCAACTTGACTTTCTGCTTTTCAAGACCCTTGGGGTTATGCAGACAGGGAGAATGCAGTGCAAGGTGGTGGCAGGAAATCCTGGCCTATGAGAGAGAGCTATAGCTCATACTGTCTTCTATCTCAGGGGGACCCCTCCCTTCTGAGTATGGGGGAAAACTGCACCAGCTGCAGAAGGAAAAACAACAGTACCAGCAACAAGATCGCTACAGTGGATCTGGACCAGCTGACGTACTTATGTCTTCTATATTCTGGAAAAGTCTTGCTGAGAACCACCCTTCATGTTATTTCAGAAGACAAACCCCAAGAAGAAATGATATATCTGCAGCACTAAAACCTATTTCTTTTTTTTTTTTTAAAGATTTTATTTATTTATTTGAGAGAGAGAATGAGAGAGAGAGCATGAGAGGGGGGGGAGGGTCAGAGGGAGAAGCAGACTCCCTGCCGAGCAGGGAGCCCGATGCAGGACTCGATCCCGGGACTCCAGGATCATGACCTGAGCTGAAGGCAGTCGATCAACCACTGAGCCACCCAGGTGCCCTGTAAAACCTATTTCTACAGACACTTAAACATGTAACAGGTGAACACTGCAGGAATTCTCTGGCAAGAAGGTGACAGTGGTCTCAATCTGTCCAGAGTAACTTAATGTCCTCAAATCCATTATTCCTCACATTGCTCACAGTACAGACCAGATTGCATCATAACTGTGGTTTCTAACAAGGAGCCTGTCTGTGCTGACATGTTACTATTCCAGATGATTCCAAAATATGCATTCTCCCTTCTTCCTTGGTCAAAGAGATTTTATCTTTTTCAGGTTGACAGTGTGCCTACATATTTTCAAGTCTCCCTTATAGTTAGGTATGACTATGTGACTAAGTCCTGTCTAATGCACTGTAGTAAAAGCTTGGCAGGAAATCATCTTCAAAGTGGACTGACTCCGTTGGTAGTTCTTCCTCTTCCTTTCCTCCTTCCTGGATTGCAGATAGGAAGGCTGGAGCTCCAGCAGCCATCTGAACCATGAAATAACCTTGAGTGGGGAAGCTCAGGAAGTTAAACTGGGTTCCTGAGGATGTCATGGGCATATTATATCAATCCTGAACTTGGCTCTTTTATTAGCAGCTAACTACAGCTCCCAACTGACATACTACTAAGAAACTTAAGTAAATTGATCCAAGCATACAGATGTGGAAGTCAAGTCAGCAAAGATGGGTTTTTGCCATCTTTAGTTTGAAAGATTTAGCATTCTAGATTTGAAGAGAACATCTGATTTAAACATGACCTTGTGAAGTGGAATGAATGTAACAGAGGCAAGAAACTGACTTCAGGAATTTGACAATGACAGTGAGAAATGAAAAATATACAAGGAAGAGAATTAAAAGTGCCGATAAATTAATCAAACTTCAAGGATAGAGCAATTGGACTACTAGATCAAGTGTTACTGACAAGAGTTTGTGTTAAAAAAAAAAAAAAAGATAGCATAAACATAATGAATTAAGCAGTGTTGTCCACCAGAAGCTGAAGGATGATAATACTGCTCAACTATTGGGGTAAAAAGCAAATTAACATTTTTTTCTGGATTTTAATAAGGAAGTACCTTTCCACATGCGTATTGCAATTCCTCTAGCTACATCCAATAAAATTACTCTGCCAAAATCATCTGTTACTGCTGCCAGTGTGTTACATGGAGACAGACATATACTTTCACCATGGCGTCTAGAATCTGGAAGTCCAAATCTGTTATATAAAAGAAAATAAAAAGCTCAAATCAAATTCCAGTCTAGAAAAAGATGACAGAATCATAAACTGCATAAACAAAGTCGGTCAAATCTGCTTTTATATAAAGAAATAGAAATCCTGCATGGGTTAATAGTTAATTTAATAATTAATTACACCAGACATTTTGCAAAACAAAATGCCAAAGAAGTTTCTTCCATTATAAAATAAAACCACTTAAGTTTTATTTCATAAATTTTCTCTATAGATATCCAATCTTACATTTTTAGAGAATATCAAGTATAACTATCTTTTCTTGATTAACTGTTATATCATAGGAAACAGTACCCTCACAACCAATTAAATTTTGGAATTCTTTGCTCCTACACAGGCATCTTTGTCTAAGTTCATATTTCTAATCTCTTCTTTCTGCTAGATATCATATCCTGACATCCCTGTATCTGCCTGAAGAATTTCCCCTCTTCTAAATAATTCTCTCTCAAATGTTCTTGGTCTAGAACCAATCTTACTGGAACTGTAAGATCAAAGGAAAGAGGTCCTGTGGAAGGAGAAGTGCACTCGTTTGGAGGGAAATTCCGGAGACAAGGTGCCCCAATGCTGTTAATCTACTTGGAAGCACAGAGCCACCTGGCTTACTTCTTGATTCTTCAGTGAATTTAGAAAATGTGAGATGTTATCATATTTTTTAAAAAGATGAGAAAACCTTAGAGGCTCATCTTCAATAAATTTTAATAACAGATAATTAGTTATATCTCTTAAGTGAAGAACATCTACAAGGGGGGGGAGGATTCTGTTTCCCTTCATGGTAGTATTTTATATTAGGTAATAAAAATGATTTTAAAACAAAATCAAGCAAAAAATCACACTCTCTCATCCCAAAACCTGACACATACACTATCCTCTAGCACAACTGAAGTAATAAAAAAGCACAACCCTGCATTCTGAAGAGTGATTGAATGCATGGGACTCCTTGTTTTTATGTTTTTTAAAGAAATCATTAAGCACTTTTTAAGTCTATAGAGCTTACTGATAAACTATCTAAGCTCTTTAAAAAATTTCAACAGCTCTCACAAATTTTCTTGCAACTTAAGATTATAGGTATCTGTATAAAATCACACTTGGCAAATACACACTGAGCACTACTACAGGACAGGGAGGCAGCTGTGAACAAAACAGGCAAGAACCACTCTCCTCATGGACTTTATATTGTGACAGAAGCTCCAAAAACTCAATGAGATCGACGAATCAACTAAGCGCACTGCAAGACCATAAATTTAACAGCACACTTTTTAAAAATACGAAAACCTGAGAGGAGCGTGACAGACTTGCCTGACAGCTAACGGGGTGGCTGGCTCCACCTTTGGCTTTTGCTTCTGCACTGCTTCTTCTTCGTGCTTGCTTTTCCAACCAAGCCAACCACTGAACAGAAAGGAAATGGAGAATAAAACCAGCGCTCCCAGCATTTTCATGTGCAGAAGACGAAAACAGATGGTAAAAGCAAGCGGATAATTTTACAGATAAACAGATAATACAAATGACTTTACACGGAATTGTGATGAAATTACCTGGCAGCATTAAATAAAGCAGAAGTGAGTTTACTTGCGACCGCCAGCGCCACATGAGACAGTAATGGTTGGGTGCTTCCCTGGAAGACAGGACACAGGAAAGAGAAAACTGAACAGCTGACAAAGAAACAAAACAAGCTTTCTACACAAGGCTTACTTTTAAAATTTGTGAAAAGCTGTAAAGCCTGGACTAGCAAAAATATTCAGCATCTTTCAGACCATACAGTAAAAGCTCTGTTTTAGGAGGCAGCAATATAATCAAAAGTTTTAACTCTACAGTTTTACAGTAAAATTGCTTGTTGTCTATTCTGTCTTCAGGATTTCCCTCCTTAAATTGTAATTAACTTAAAAAGTTTAAACTAGGACAGTAAGATGGCATTATTCTAGCAGTGCTATGGATTTCCTATCTACACACAACTGGCTTCTGTCCCTCTTTTTTTAATGTATATTTTTATTAAAGTAAAGAGATAGTCTGGACAATTCTGAGAAGGCTGGTTTTTTTAAGCGAGAAATAGCACCTAACGGTCCCCTACCTTAGGAACCAATTTTCACCACTTACATCTACTACAGTTGGCAGCTTTACAATTCCTGATGTACTCAAATCCCTGGGGGGGCCGACATTCACACCCCTGAGCTGCTGCTGACTGCATCAATATTTAAAGACAAATCAACTAAGAATCTGGGGCATCAGAAACAGAGAAGTTTGTTTTACGCTGACTTTAGTACCTTCTCAGTTCACCTAAAGAATTTAGAAGAAAGGCAGTGGAGACTAATTTTAGCTGCCAATGAAACTTAGAAATGTAAACTGATGAATCTTTCTAAGGCTAACTCTCAATATCCAATTTGTACACAAGCTGAAAAACCAAGAGAGGCCTCACTCATGATCAGTGAGGAAACTCTTACCTCTAAAGCATAGAAGAAGCCGGTAAATGGATTGGACCCGACAGTGATATACTGAGACATGGCGGGTGGACTGTTTTTAATTGCTGCGTTAAATCCACCTATATTGGAGGCAGTCTTCATTTGGTCAAAAGGGGACAAAGTCATAATACCTATTTTAAAACAACAACAGCAACAACACGTGAGCAGAATGCACTAAAACGACGCTGTCATTTTAGGTCATTAGATTTTTACGTCAATTCCATTCGAAGACGCAAACTGCTTAGTTTTATTTAACGGATAAAAGTCATTTTTAAAAGCTACAAATCAATGTCATAAAATATTCGTAAGATATTAAAAGTGCCATCTATTCCTCTAAGCCACAAAATACTACAAAAACAAAATTTAAATATTAATTTTTTTAACAGCTACAAAACTCAAACAGTACAAAAAGTACAGTCTGCCTTACTTAGAGGTATCAGTCAGTTCTGAGAGGCCTCAACTGAAACAGTCTCTTATGCTGCTGTTCAGAGATACTGTACATAAATGACAGCACACCAAGTCAATTTTTTCATTTAATAAAATGTCAAAGAGACATGTCTCATTCTTCTCGATCACCCAGAACATTCCCCTGTACGGCCGTACCGTAACTGATCTGACCTACCCATGGACATTTATGTTGCTTCCCATCTTTTGCCACTACAAATAATGCTACAATATATATATCTTTGATATGTCTTCGTGCACCTACAGAACTCTATCTGTATGGAAAATTCTTATATAGAAGTGTGGGCTCAGAGGGGATCACGTTTTTAAAAATTTTATTAAATACTGTTCTACTGCATTCCATAGAGGTGGTGCTAATTTACACTCCCACCAAAAAGGTGAGAGAGCATCTGTGCTCCCATACCCCTCCCAACACAGCAAAAACGAACACTTTCAAACCTTTGCTTTGTAGTCCAGAAATCCCCCACCTTTTCTAAGGAAGAGTTAACTTTTCATTTCCCCAAGGCTCTAAGAGCAAAAGCAGACAGACTGAATGCTGGCATCCACATGCCTATATGCAGCAGAGGAAAAACCAAGGTCATGTAACTTCACCCGGGTGGCAAGGGGGGAATAAGCCGAGAGAGAGTAAAGATGTACTGCTAAGATTCCAACCTATGTGGCCTCAGGCACACATATGGTACCTGGGTACTCATATGGTACATGAAGACAACCAGTTGGGAAGTTCTGAACTCAAATACACTGTAGAATGGAATTTTCATATATAGGTGTTGCCTCTATTTTACCTGCAAATGGTCAAAAACACATTGTTCCTGAAGAAGAGTCCTGGGAAAGGAAATACTTTTAGGGAGTTCAAGAGCAAACCATTTGCTGGACTTAGGGATTAAAGTGATGAAATAACTGTTGCAGAAGCTGGACTATTCTGAAAGATCAGAATGCCTGGCTCACATTCATGAATGAATTCATGATTCAATACACAAAATGTTTTTACTATATGATAAAAATTTGCGTAAGTTTGGCCCGACTTTACCAGAATGAAAGCACACAATTCACCCATTGTGTGGCATATAAATTGAAATTTCAGTTTTAAAGTTAACTTCTCTCCGTACTCCCACATAAGATAGGTGGGAGTATAAATTGCTACAAGCTACCCAGGGGACAACTTCCCAGTATGTATCCAAAATTTTAAGTGGGTTTATTCTAATTTATTCTGAAGAGATGGCCGATCAGTTCTTTCCGTCCTTGCCGCTCTGACCCTCCCCTCCCCACAATTTTGGTTATCCACTTTCAGTGCCACACACACCTTAGACTCTGTTGTCAACTCTACAGCCTTTGCAACCTTGATTTCAAGCATACCACCTTTTGACTATCCCACTCTAGTAACCCCAGTAATAATTCCACAATTTCATCAAGAGTTTCATCAATCCTACTATTTTTTCACTATCAAGCAACTTCCGCATTCACTTCTCTTCTTGTCTGGCTTAGATTTGTGTTCCATCATAATCATTCTCTTGCAGATACCTACCTACAACTGCCCTGTGTCTCTCTCACATACTAACCTCGCCAAATCCTAACCTGGATGACCTAAACTTTCTGCAGTCTCTGCTGTTTACAGCAGACCAGCTGAGTATTGCCAGGGGGGAAAAATACACCTGGATTTCAGAGTAAGGCTCACAAACAAATGGGCATCCAAAACCAGCCCCAAATCCTACCGTCCTCCTCGACCCCCAACTCCCATGCCTCCATGACCCTCCTGTCCTACAGTCTACAGCGTGCTGACTAAACCCCTGTGCTGTACTTAACATGCTGTCCTGCTCTCTATACTGCAGCCAAGTGGTGGCATCCAGAGGACCGCTGTCTTCTGAGTCACCAATCTTAGCATTACTTTTCACTGATTTAAGGTAAATGAAGATATAGCATAATAATGACAGGTCCTCTTCCTCCCACCATATCCTTCCAATATGCACATATTTCAATTTTTTATTAAATTCACATTCACTGTTTTCATTATTAAGAATGATGTAAATATTACTCACTGCTGAGACAAGCTGCCTACTGTAATTACATTTCCTTAGATGTGAGTTTTTTTGTATTTCCTGAACATCTGAGGCCTGCCCACATTTTGCAACACCTTAGTATAAATATTAACATAATTTATATTATAAATTATAATTTAGTTTAAAAATGCATATTAAAATATATTTATATAAATAGAACACTAATTTGAAATACACTTTAATATTAAACTACTAAGTATTAAATATCATTAAAATATTTATATTAATTTAAATCTTAATGTAAATTTCCATAAAGTCAAACTCATTGGATAATTTTCTAGGTCTATTACAGTAGACTACAGTAGATTATAGTAGACAAAGAAGACTTCTTTGACAAAATAATATTTGAGCAGAGACCTGAATGAAGTGAGAGAGCGCCATGTGGCTAGCTGGGTAAAATGTTCCAGGCAGAAGGAGCAACAATCACAAGTGCTCTCAAGCAGGAGGATGCTTGGTGCATCTCAGGAAAAACAAGGAGACAAGCATGGTGGAACACACGGAGGGGGGAACTAAAGAAGATAATGTAAAAGATGTACCATAAACCAGGCAATGTCAGGCCTGGTATGACTCTGTAAAGCCTTCGGATTTTATTAAGATGAGAAGCTGCTATAAATAACATTTTGTGCAGAAGAGTGACAAAAACATGACTTACATTTCAAAAGGCTATTAGCTACTAACTGGTGAACAGAGTTTAGAGACGGAAGAAAGGAATCAGAAAGACCAGCTAGAATGTTTTTTCCCTCAATAGTTCAGGCAAGACATCATGGTGGCTCAGACCACAGCATTAACAGTGATGGAGATGAGCGGTGGTCAGATAGGGTCTACCGTGCAGGAAGAGACAAATGGGAGGCTGGATGAAACACATGAGAAAAAGAGGGGTCAAGGATGACTCAGAATCTTTTGGTGTGAGCAACAGAAGAGAGGATATAGAAGAAAAAAGGAGGAAAGGGTTCAGGGGAGGAAATCGAGAATTCTGTTATGGATATGTTAAGTTTGGATACTCAGGTGGGCAAGTCTAGCAGGCACTGGAAAAAGTATAAATTTTAAGGAAGACGTCAAGACTGGACATAAAAATGGAGAGGCTGTGATAGAGTTTCTCGTTCTTGTGTTTCTAATTTTTGAAAGCAGGGGTGGAAATATTTCTTCTCCGACCTACTCTAATCTGGCTTTCATCCTCACTGGTCCACCACTCAAAGTGCTCATATCAGACTTAATGAAGAGCTCTACGTTGTCCAATCCCGTGGACCTTCTCCCTTCCTTGGATTCTATGAAGCATTCCACAGTCAACCTTTTCCTCCCAAATTTTTATCAACAATCTGGACTTCTTCCCTAAACTTTAGACATGCACGTTTAACCGCCCACTCGACACCTCCATCTGAATGTGGAATTGTGTCAGAAGTTAACCTGTAAAAAACAGAACTCCAATCTGTCCACCTCAAAGCTCTTCCTTCTCCTTATTCTCATTTTAGTAAGATGTGATCATCCACTCTTCTGCTCAAATTTAAAAACTAAGAAATCCTTAAAATAAATAAGATAAAAACTAAGAAATCCTTGAATCTTTCCTTTCTCTTATTTCTCAAATCCATCCCTCTCCAAGTGCAAAATATATGTTAATTCTGTCTACCCCTCTCCAACGCCACTGCTCCAACTGTAGGCAAAGCCGTCCTTCCTTCTCCCCTCCTGCAACAAACTCCTTCCTGGTGTCCCTGCCTTTACTTTTTATTTTACAAGCCTCTCTCTAAGCAGCAGGTCAGAAGGATAATTTTAAATAGCCCGTACCTAGACTCCATCAATGACATCCACTGTATTTAGAATAGAATCCAAACTCCTTACCCTGTGTGATCTGACCCTAGTCTCCATCTCCAACCTGACCTTGTCCCATTGACCCTTACTCTTAACAATCAAGTCATTATGGACCTTCCTGTTTCTCAGGACTCTGAGGCTCTTTGCTGCTTCCTCTGCCCAGAATGCTCTTCCTACACCTCTTTACATAGCTAGCTCCTTCTCACACCCTTTATAGCTCAGTCTGAATGTCACTTCCCTGGAGAGACCTTTCCTCACCAGTCTACCTGGTGTGCCCTCTCTCTTTACTCTCCATCATAACCCTCTGCTTATTTTCTTCATGATACATACCAACATTTTGATATTACCAAATTATTCATTTGGTTCAACTGTTCACCGTGTGTCTCCCTATCACCAGAATGTAAGCTTCATTAGGGCAGGGTCCTGTCTGCCTTGTATTTCTAGCTCCATTATTAACACCTAGGACATAATAGGTATTCACTTATTTGTTGAATGAATTCATCAAAACTTTACATAAAGATGTACATGTAAAATAAAGTCCATTGTACCTTTTTTTCTTTTTTAAAGATTTTATTTATTTGACAGAGACAGAGCACAAGCAGGGGGAGCGACAGGCAGAGGGAGAAGCAGGCTCCCCACTCAGCAGGGAGCCCAATGTGGGGCTGGATCCCAGGACCCTGGGATCATGACCTGAGCCAAAGGCAGACGCCCAACCGTCTGAGCCACCCAAGCGCCTCCCCATTGTACCTTTTTTTTAAATAATTTTGTAGGCTGGGAGATAAATGAATAGAATAGTATTTTCTATCCAATCATTTTTCCTAGCCTGTTTCAATGTTCCAAAGTTCAATTAACAGAACAGGGAAGCTACCCTGAACTGAACTCAACACTTTGGAATTTTGCAGCAAAAGTAAAGACAAACTGTCTACCAGTAAAGTGCTGATTGTAGAGTATTCCATAGGAGAACTATGCAACAATAAACAAAGAGATCTGTGTGTCAGGTATTTTCTGTCTGACTCTGTGGATTCACATTCCTTCCTTTTCTCCCCACCCACTCTCAGGGGCCAGTGTGTGTACATTAATGGTGACCTCCAACTTGGGTTCAGACAATGGGAAGTCTCATAAGGAGAGCAAAGACAGAAAGGAAACTGGAAGTCAGGATGCCTATTTCCCTGTGACATTTGTGCAAAAGTCAACCTGCTCTTAAGATGCTGATTCTACTCGTCATCTCCAAGTTCTGGAACTGCTCCAGGTCCTCACCCTGTTTGTCCTAGGAGTGGTCAACAGCTGGGCTGCTAAGAAGCCCTGAGATGCTCTATCATCCCTTGTGGTTCTCCAACACCACATCTTTCTAGACAACTTCTCTATAAATAAAACGTGTTTCAACTGTCCTATTTCAAGGGTGCCATCTGTCTTCTATTAGGACCCTGATAAAAATGTGTATTAGCAAAATTGATTGAAAGGCTCTTTAAATACACTGATTAGAAAAGAGCTGTCATACAGTTGATATGATATAATCCTATTTATGAAAACCTATTTCTCTATATAACCATATATATATTACACATGCATTTCACACACAAGTCTGTAAGGATGCTTACCAAAATGCCAATGGTGAGTATCTCTGGATGGTAGGGCTAAGGGGATATTTTTTCTTTTTCTTTTTATATATTTATGTACTATTTGAATTTTTTAACAGGCGTATATTGGTACGCAGAAAAAAACAATTTTTAAGTAGTATTTTCTTCTCCACCCCCATTTCTACTACCTTAATTCAGAAACTGATTACTTCTTACCAAGATAATTACAGCTTCCTTACTGTGCCTAGTTTCTAGTCTTGACCCCTATATTACAGCCTCTAAAAAGTTCCACCAAAGTGATTTTTCTAACAGACCAAGTGGTAACACCATTCTCTTGCTCTGAATTCTTCAATGGCTCTCAATGCTGCTAGGAGAAAGATCTAAATTCTCTGCATAGCATACGAGGCCCGTCAAAATCTGAGTCCTGTTTACATGCTTGTTGCCAGTGGTCCTTAGTGCCCATTAGTTTTACAGCAGACAGTGCACTGCCACCCCCAGGCTGTGTACAGGTCGACCAGATGCCTCTTCTGGGCTTGTTCTCCGGTCAAGTCCTACTCATTCTTCCAATGTCAGACCGGAGTCAGCCTCCTGCTCCCTACTCCCCTCAGGGTCTGGGGCTTCTCCGCTCCCATTCCCGCTGGTCCCTTCGTCTACTACTGTTGTAGTCCTGCAACTGTTTTCACATGTGTCTTCCACTCAACTCACGCTTCCTGGATGAGACCATGTCTTTTCATTTCTGTGTTCCTAATGCCCAACAGAGTGAGTCTTAAAATATGCTTGTAAGGAGAAATCTGTTTTTAATCTATATTCTGCTGGTCTAAAGGTTGTATTTTTAGAAGACTGATCTATATGGTAATTACATGGATTAAACTTATCCGCAAAAAAAATTCAAACAGTGAAAGACTTAAAACTGCTCGATACTGCTGTAGACATTAATTATTAAAACTGCTACCACTTCTTAAACACATACACCTATCATAATCCGTAAGTCTGGGGTAAATTCCAAATGTCTCACTAAAGGCGATGTACATTTCTAATAAATGAGACACATCAATTAAAAAGTAAAAAAAATAAATTGCATAAAAATTTGAACTAGTAATGCTTACCAATACTAGCATGATCAATAATAGTGTCAATATCTTGGAGACCCCATTTCTTGTAAGCTAACGGTGGAGGCTGTATGTTCTCATTGCCCGATGCCGCAGCTGTTAAAGACAAAAAGCAAACAATCCAAACTATAATAGATGGAGTTTTACAAAAACCCATTAAAAATGGAATAACTTGATTTATTACTCTAAAACTTAAATGATGAGGCAAGGCAATGTAAACAAGGTTAAAGTGAACTTTATTCTGCCAAGACAATACATGTAAAATGCAAACATTAAGGGTAAGCTGACTGTCACAAGAGATTTTTGGAAAATTCAATGTAATTGGAGAAGGTAATTAAAAACCCTAGAATATTACTAAAATTTAAGGTGAATTCAAACTGCAACTGATGACAAATAAGCAATTTCTTCCCCCTGAGAAAGACAGTGGATAAAATCCTGGGAACAGCTAATAGTGCCTTAACTTGGTGAAAAACTAAAAACCTGATGATATGCTGGGCAGGAGCACCCAGACAGCAAGGTCCGTAAGGCAAGTAACCAAGGCCAGCCTTGATAGAAAGATACATTAGCAATAGCATTGCCAGAAAGAATGAATAAAATGCCTGTCACTACTCAGTATTTCTGCCTAGTGAGTAATGAAAGAAAAAGCAATTATTACACTTCTTGCCACAGGATCAGGCACAAGGTCTATTTATCAGTAAATTCTCATGCTACATTATTTGAATATAGCTGGGGGGGCGCCTGGGCGGCTCAGTCGGTTAAGTGTCTGCCTTCCACTCAGGTCATGATCCCAGGGTCCTGGGATACAGCCCCAAGTCAGGCTCCCTGCTCAGCGGGGAGCCTGCTTCTCCCTCTGCTGCTCCCCCTGCTTGTGCTCACTCTCTCTCGAGTAAGTAAATAAAATCTTAAAAAACAAACAACAACAAAAAACACCTAGCATACAAAAAAACAAAAACAAAAAGAATACAGCTGGATTCTGGCTGTTTATTCCAGAAAGTACTATTATAAGTAAAAAATATATTCCTCTAAGCACTTCAGATTTGACAATAAGGCCAAGAAAAGAGAATTTCCCTACATGTGGAAATAAAAAGCAAAACAATTTCTTGGCTATGCAATCAGAATTCTTTTTAGAGCAACTTACAATAAGAGGGCCCTAAATGGCTTATTGCCTTCCTAGGAGACAAAATGGTCTTATGGTCTTAAACATAAAAATAAACAGGAATTCAAAAATAATAAAAATTAAATGGCTTACAATACCAATCATAATCTTCTATTTCTAGTTTATTTCATTGACTGAATTCTTACCTGCAGAAAACTGCCAGGCTCTGTAGGTATACATATTAATGGTGACTACTTTAAGTGACCTCAAGATAATGATGCTTATTGTGCCTAAATTTAAATAATTTAAAAGATTACGAAAATAGGTATAAAAATTCAAACAAGTTCTCGCCTAATAGAAAAGTATGTAATATTAAAGACCCATATAACCAAAACTTCAGGATTTTACCAATCACATCAATCTGTAAACAAAACAAACTCTGTTTTAGGGCCATTAAGGCCCCTCTACCCAAACCCAGAAGAAAAGGAGGAAGTCTACACTAGTCCTGGTATTTTCACTGGGTTTAATTAAGGCTTTTCTAAAATTGGGATCTTAAAATCGATGATGTGTTTTTCTCTGGCAGCATTTTTGCTGCTTTGTGTACATAAAATACTAGTGCATCTACAAACAATGGCATCTTGAATTTGATGAAATACAACTTTGCTCTGTATTCTCTTCCAAAGAATGTAAACTCTGAGCAGTAAGAGTAAGAACTCTTATTTGGGCCCTTTTCACCCCCAAGTCTGGAAATAATGTAGTTGTCCATATACACATTGTTCAGGCCTCTAACTAGTCCATTCAGAAGTGTTCTAGGTTAGCAAAAAGAAGCCGGCATTGACTCCCTGTTGGGTCCTGCCTGCCAAGGGGAAAACTCCCCCTGAGCACAGTGGTATCTTTACCCTCAGTGAGGATGGAAGCAATGCAGAATCAGAGGATTCTAGTAACACCAGCCCGAGAGCTGCTGATCTAGTGAGAAATTTGGTTCCCTTACCCCAATATGTAGAGAGTAGATTTTCAGTCCTTGCTTTTATCTTACTAAGCAATCTACCCAACAATGCACTCCCATCTCTACAGTAGCAGGGTTTTTTTCTGTAAATCTAGTACAGAGGCCTTTTTAATGTCGAGCCCATGTTTAATTCTCTAGGTTAAATTAAGTAAGACGTTAGAAGTTAGATTCGTCTCGCCAAAAAATTACCTTTTGCTACCTGATTTCGACAAGCACGAAGAGACTGAAAAAGGCTAAATCCATCAATAGTCACAATGGCACCTGGATATAAGATACTCAACTCTTCATTCTATTAAAGAAATAAGAAAGAAGAAAATAATACATTTTCATTGTTGCCAAATAAACTTATCTACTTTTTTTTTTTTAAAGATTTTATTTATTTATTTGACAGAGACAGAGACAGCAAGAGCAGGAACACAAGCAGCAGGAGTGGGAGAGGGAGAGTAGGCTTCCTGCCGAGGAGGGAGCCCAATGTGGGACTCGATCCCAGGGCCTTGGGATCATGACCTGAGCCGAAGGCAGACGGTTAACGACTGAGCCACCCAGGCGCACCCTTATCTACTTTTGTCTTAGAGCTGAGTGTCAGGATTAATGAAAAATAGAAAATACTATGAAAATATTAATGAAAAACGGAAATAACTGTCAACCACCCATCGCACAAGACATTATCAGGCAGAGGAAAAGTAAAAATAAAGGCAAAATTAATTTCAGAATGCCTTTTGCCCAAGTACTTAAAATTCTTTTCAAATATGCTTTTTAAACATGATATATAATGCTTTCAGGATAGGTGGTGAGATTAACAAAAAAGTACAAATTTCATAAAAATGAAATATAGTCATTGTGCAAATATGAACAATATATAAAGTATATAGTATAACGTGCTTTTTATTACTCAACAGGTCAACGATCTTTTTCCTTTTCAGTTAGTGAGCAAATCATTTTTTGCTGTGGCTACGCAGTGCTGCATCATATGTTACAAAATATAGTGAACGAGTTCTTAGTGATGGACATTTAGTTTGGGAGACAAAGCACATCAAACCAATCTGCTGACTGAGGCTCTCCAACAGCTTCTTACTGCACTTAGAATAAAGCCTGCCCTCGGGGCGCCTGGGTGGCTCAGATGGTTAAGCGTCTGCCTTTGGCTCAGGTCATCATCTCCAGGTCCTAGGATCAAGTCCCATGTTGGGCTCCTTGCTCAGCGGGGAGCCTGCTTCCCCCTCTCCCCCTGGCTCTCCCCTTGCTTGTGCTCTCTCTCTCAAATGAATAAATAAAAAATTAAAAAAAAAAAAAAAAAAAGCCTGGCCTCTTTACCTAGGCCTGCAAGATGGGGTACCCATCTCTAAGGTCCTCTCACCTCTCCCTCCCCCACTTTGCTCCTTGAACAATGGCCATCATCACCTCAGTGCTCTCAATGTTGCCTAGACCTTACCTCCCAGATCATCACCTGCCTACTTCTTCTGATCATTCAGTTCTCAGCTCAAATGTAGTCCCACAGAGAGGCTGCTCCCGAGCCTCTAAATCACACAGCACCTCTGTTCTCCTGCCTCATTACCATCTCATCAGCATGATTGTTTCCTTCCTAGCACCTATCAGACACTGGAACTATCTTACCATCTCTGGCTGTCTACTGCTGGTTTCTCTCCACCATCCCCAAAATAAAAGCTCCATGAAAGGAGGGTCCCTGGGGTGTCTGCTTCCCCAAGGAATTCTCAGTGGTTAGAAATGGGCTAGGCACACAATAGGCAGTAACTAAATATTTATGAATGAACATTTTCATTATTATAACCATCACTGCAATAAGCATTCTTCTGTGTATATCTTCTCACGCTGCTATATATTTCTTCAACTGGATCTCTGGGTCATAGAGTAGTCTGAATTTTCATTCATATTATTCAACTGCCCTCAAGAAAGTACCTGTCACTTTACACTTCCACCAACAATACATGAGAGTGCCTTTTTCTCCATACTGTCGCTAACAGTTCTGTAAATCTTGATCTTTGTCAACATGAAAGGCGAAAAATTATCCAAATGCAGTGGTTTATAGTTCTTAGGTTATTATTTACATTCAAAATTTTATCATATGCTTTTTGACCAATTATATTTCTTCTTGTGAGAATGGTCTTGTCCTTTTTTCTACTGAACCAGTAGGCTGTTTCCATTTTTAAAAGAGATTTCTGGGCCACGAGGGAGAGGAGTTGGCATGGGTGCTCACCTGACAGGTTTGCAAGGCTAAGCTTGGATGGCCCACTGACCATGACAGCAGGGCAAGAGCCTCCTCACTGACTTGGAGGAGCTAATCACTAGCAAGTCAGTTATCTCCAAAACCAGAGAGCTCTCCTGAAGAAGGTACTAATACGAACACCAATGGTCCAAAAGCTGCAGAAATTATGGTAGATGACAGAGATCTTTGTGCAGAAGACACAGAAGGGACTTCTTTGACATTCCAGAAAGAGGTCTTCTCTCTTTGGAATCGTTTACAATGACCTGCGGTCACTTCTACTACACTCATTGCGCCCAGAACTCAATCAGGAAATCTGCTCTGTGATCTTTCGTAGATGTGGGAGTACAATGAAGAAGAAGCAAATATGTACATTTGATATATAAGTTGACATATCATATCCAAAGATGCATATGTAAAATACAGAGTAACAACAAAGACTTCTGTTTCCGTTCGGTAAGAATTATTTTTCAACTAATAGATTTTGACTCACAAATAGTAAGTATTTAAAAGTGATTTTTTTCCACCAGCTCTAAAAACAAGAGAGTAGTACAGACATAAGCAAGCTTAAAGGGTTTAAAGAACCTTCACTATCCAGAGAATAGAAAAATAAAAAAAACAGCTCTTGAGAAGTATCTTTCATGAACACATTATCTCCTTAGATTTCCAAGAGCTCCTTCTTCATTTCATTCAATGGTTTTATTTCTCCTATCTTCTGATGGTGAATATTATTAAGTTTTCAGTCTTCAGTTTTATTTTCCTGTATCCTTTACTTGGAAGAATTCACTTATTATTTAGGACTTCAACCACATTCTTCAATCTAGTCTCTGTACCTGTGTAGGAATTCTGTATCAATAAAGCCATACTGGTATTTTCATTTTATTTCCTACCATCGCCTCAAACTCAACATGTCCAAAACCAAACTTAATAACCTTAATTCACTGCCAAAGCTGTCTTCTCTTCCAACTTTGTCAGTGGCACTTCTCGGCATGGGTATCTTAGAGCCAACTCACTTTCCTCTTCACTATTCTATATCTTTATACAATAACCAGTCATGTCCATTGTTCCTGTAAAATGATTTTTGGACTGGTCCTTTCTCTCTTCACACAGCGATTACAGAGTCTTGTCCCAACATTGCACGTGTGATACAGATAACTTCAAAAAGTCAGATAACTAGCCTCCTTGATTCCAGAGTCTCAGACTCCAGTTCCTCCTGAAGAAAGAGTCCTTCAATATCCCTTTGATATATCACTTCCTTCTCATAAATCTTCAGTTGCTCTGCTCATCGCTGGAATCAATTCTGATTTTTACTCAGCTTTCAAATTTATGAAAAATGTGGCCACTCTGCCTATTCAACAGTTTCTCACTATTTACTGACCTAGGTTTCTTTGTTGTCTCATACACAGTCCTACATTTCAATCTCCCTTCACGGTTCTCCTGATTACCTAAAATACTTTCCCCTCTTTTCCTATTAACTAATTATATTCTATAACCATTATTCACAGCTGAATTCAAATCTCGCCTGCTCAATGAAAGTTTCTTTTACTGTCCTCATTCTAATTGAGCTCCCCTTCCCCCAAACTTGTACAGAATCTATTCTGGCCATGTAAAATAGTGGTTGACTAGGTACCGCTCTGCATTATTGATTAACTCACTCAAAGGTATTAATAGGAATTAGTCTAGTCTCTCTTACTAGATTAAGTTTCTTCTACAGCTCCAGTCCCTATAGCTTCAGGCCATCTCTCATACAATTTAAGTCCACATAGGTACACAATACATGCATCATCTGTTTACTTGAAACCTTTTGGAAGCAGGATAGTAAAAAGAAGGCAGGCATATTTACATAGATTTGACAATGTATACTGTGAGCCAAAGAAGAGCATATTAGTTTATGTGGCTCTACAATTATCTTTTTTTACTGTGAGACTATCAAATTCTCACAGTGAATTTGAAAAGTGAAAACTACATTTGGAGAGCCTTAGATACGAAACAGAATCATTTTCTGTCCAAATCTTCAGTTCAGTTAATCTATTTTCCACTATAAACAAAAACTTCACCCCCTTTCTGAGAAACAGGTAAGTACAATGTGGTAGTAGTATTAAAAATAAAGCCAGAGGGGCGCCTGGGTGGCTCAGTCGTTAAGCGTCTGCCTTCGGCTCGGGCCACAGTCCCAGGGTCCTGGGATCGAGCCCCACATCGGGCTCCCTGCTCAGCGGGAAGCCTGCTTCTCCCTCTCCCACTCCCCCTGCTTGTGTTCCCTCTCTCGCTGTGTCTCTTTCTGTCAAATAAATAAATAAAATCTTTAAAAATAAATAAATACAGCCAGAACTTTCTTTTATTGTGTATAATTCTGACACCTAAATCCAAATAAAAAACATATATACCACATCTGTGTCTTAAGTCGCTCTCAAATTCCAAAAATAAGGAACTCTTTTGGGCTTCTGACTAAAGTGTTTTATTGTATTATGGAACAAAATGTAGAGTATTTCATTAAATAAGTAAAAGCAAGACTGGAGTTCTTGACTCAGTTACAAATAGGTTATATTTCTAGACTACAAGAGTATAGCTAACTATGCCACAAGACAAAGATACCTATAAGTTTCCTAAAAAAAGAGAAAACACGACTTCAAAGTAAAGCCATGGTTCCTCTGAACACAGTTGTTTATAAAGCTACCTGTTCGGTCACGCCAGGATGTCGTGGGATTTCATAGGTCCTGCACTTCAGCTGTAGTACTGGGTCTTCATTCAGAAGCTGTGCAAGCAAGAGCACACCATTCTAGGAGGAAGCACAGAGAAGAGCCCTGCTTATTTTCTTATCAATAGACCTGAACAGGTATGACCAGGCAAAGAGTGTCATTTCCCCAACTGTTTTCCATGGATATCAGATACTCTCTTTGAGAAGAATACAGCTTCTTTTCTCTATAGTTCTACCAGAACTTTCCACCACAACTCCCCCACCCCCCCCATCCCTGCTTCCACCCTCGTGAAGTAGCAACTCCGCATTCCCAAGCGGCAGGTAATTAGTCACAAAGAAGGATAATGGGGATGCATAACTAGATATTCCGGCCAAGTGCTGTTTTCTAACTGCTCAACACTCCACTCACCTCCGTGTAGAAGCGGACATAACCTGAAGTAAAGCCCACCACAATGCAGGTCCAGTCAGGACGCCCTGTGGAACTCCTGTCACAAACAAAATTTATGATCTTAATAGCTCATAAATCAAAGCAGAGAAAACGAATAACTTATTTATCCTTACCTCTTTTGGCTTGCTAGTGGGATACACAGAGCACTGGTTACATGTTCTCTAAAAATGAAAACAAAATCATATGCTTACCTAATGAATTTATCAATTACTTTTATTTCCCTATAATTTAATGTTAAAGGGCAACCAGTGGAAGATAAGCTCTGTGGACCAGTTTTATTCAAGGCATAAGGAAAAATACAGTAAAACTCCACAATAAGTTGAATCATAAAAATCATTCACATAAGGGGCGCCTGGGTAGCTCAGTTGGTTCGGCATCTGACTCTTGATTTTGGCTCAGCTCATGTTCTCAGGGTGATGAGATCGAGCCCCACGTGGGGCTCCGTGCTGAGTGTGGAGCCTGCTTAAGATTCTCTCTCTCTCTTCCCCACTCTGTCCTGCCCCTCTCCCTACCTCGCACGTGTGCATGCTTGCTCTCTCCCTTAAAAATAAAAAATACAATTATTCACATAAAAGGTAATGTCACATTCACTTCAAGTTAATAAAGAACAGTATTTTTCTTTCTGTGTTATAAAAAGCACAAGAGAAAGCAAAAACTTTACCGTACGCAACTGATTATACACAGAACTGAGAACTAGCAAATCATCACCAGTCATTTCCTGCAGTACCCTCTCTTCTGCATCAGCTAAGCACTGACTGGGCAGAGCGTGGGAGGAATGTTAGTCACATTACAGGCAAACCATAATCCTGCAAGTACATTATTCTAGGGATGAACTGCATTTCAACTAGTTGGCTTCTTCCTTGATACTTTGCAGAAATTGCCCCAGATAACCCACTTCCAAGCACATGCTTGGCTGGATGTTCCCTAAAAGATTCTTTTTGTGACACATGGACTTGAAAAATCTGTCAGGAGCTCAGAGACTAAGCCTCAAAATTAAAATAACTCCTACTGACTTTAATTTAACCTGTCAACCCTCAGGACCCATCAATCACCAGCTTATTCAAGAAACTATAAACACTCCTGCCTCATACATTGTATTAGGCAACCACTGTACAAAATTAATCTTTTTGTTTGTTGTCTTTCAAGTAATGGAGCCATTATGTTTGCTTTGCATTTTTGAAAGAAATTAAATGTCTTCAAAATGGTTAGACTAAATGACTTAAGGAGAAATATTATCATTTATTTTGGTAAGAGAGAAAACATTCCAGTGAGTATCTACGATGTGCAAAGCATGTACTATGTATGGGCTTCCACTTGGTTGTCTTTTATCTGAATCCAAAGTCTGAAGGATCTTACTCATTCTCCTCAGATAGTTTTCAGTCATAAAAATTTAAGTAAAAACAGGTTCCAGGTTAGCAGCTCCTTCATATAATCACACTAGAGAACCCCCTTACTGGGTCATTTAGAAATCTGAATTTACCAACTTGCCTTTCTGAAGTATTTATGAGTTTTAAGAATTAATGTAGCACTGTCCCCTTTGAGTACAAGGCCAATGCTACCCAAGCAGAGAAGACAATGACTGCCTTTGACTTTTTGGATAAATAAAATTAGTAATGAAGAACACAGGAAACAACAAAAGGAGAAAGAATGGGATTCTGAGTTCTTCTTTAAATCTCCTCTGCAAACAGGAGTTAAAAAAAAAAAAATCACATGAGTAAAATTTAAATTTGCTGGCCAAATCATGCTCTATAACCTCTAAGTTGGGATGAACAGTCACTAAATATCCCAGTGATGAAACTTCTCACTTATAAGCAAAACAATTTCACATACACATTTAATGCACAGAGAAACAAACAAAAAAATTAACTGGTACCTACCCTTCTTCGACGTTTAAAGAACCACTCCAGCCAACGGCAAATTGCATTTCTTCCTTTCCTTTATCGCTGTATTTCCATTTTGCTGAAAAAAATAAGTTATCACATAAAATCACTTTAACTATAGTATACTAAACAGTGATTTATGAATATCATGGTTTCCCTTCAGAATGGGTACAGAATGTAATTATTCTATATTAATGGGTTTGGGTAAACATAGAAAAAATTTTGTAAGATTTTGATAAAACTCAACCCAGGCTACTTACTTGCCTTTTAGTCTCTCCTTCCTCCAATTAAATTCATCTAATGTCCTAGTTATTGCAGAATAAAGTTACTGATTCTTATATACCACCTCATCTCCCCATCTGTTGTATTTATAAAATGACTTTCATCTTCAGATGACAGAGAACACTTTTCTATTAGATTTATGCTACAGGAGGATAAACCTGCTGTTAAGACCATTCCACAGCCATTTAATATACGATCTGATTTTGATCAGTGAGGTTTTTCATCTTATGTAAACTTTAATTTTAATCTTCAACAAAAATTATGAACCAAAAATGTATGCCCCAAATAAGAAACTAGAGTTCAATGAGTTTTCAAATTATAGTTGAAAATCACCTCATTCACACTATTACTACAAAGGTGTCAGCAGCCTTTTTAGCTCTGACTGCCCCTTGCAAGAATTGGGCAATGATCAGTTTGGCCTCTGACGTGCAACAGAGCCACAGTTAAAGTATCCGCAGTCAAGAAAGAAAAATAGGAAACAAACAATAGAAGGAAGGAAAGAAAATCACACACACGCACAAATAAAAATTGTTATACAATATGTGAAATACACTATAGAATGCCACCAGACAACACATCCAACATCAATAACATTTTTTCTATCGAATCCATTTCTGTCCTACTCTATGCATTAAAATAAAGTACACCGAAAAAAATAAGAGTACTTACGCACAAGAAAAACCGCTTTTTGCCCTCGAGCTATAACCATAAGATCATTGGTTGGAGACAGGGATAAAACACAATCTTGCAGCCAGGAAGTTTTTTGTGTTTTGCACGTATTTCCTTCTTCTTCCTGTGGGTAACAACTTCAATTACAGCGTATGCAAAAATACTGAAAGTACTGCATCTCAGCCTATCTGCCTTGAGGGATGAGGGGAAACAGAAAGGAAAAAGAAATCTTCCCATTTCTTTTTAAAAGTCTCAATAATATTCCTTATCAAAACATGTCAAAGATGACCCGTAAAGAAAACAACCACCAAAACTAATCTGTTTTGAATATTAATGCAAAAAGTTTTAACAAAAGCACATATAAACCAGTAAGACATTAAAAGACTGTCACACAGGGATCATTCCAGGAATGATTCACTATTAGGAAATTTAGTGAATAATCCAATTCCAGAGACACTGCTAGGGTATCTGCAGCAACACAGCAAAGAAAAAATTATCTGATGCTTATGGCTGTCGAATCTGTAAAAGTATTTGACAAACTTGATACTTTTTCCTTCATTTGAACTGAAAGGTGTTTTCATTTTTAATTGAAAAACTATTTATAAAATAATTACAAAGAGGAAAATCCCCATGGTTAAGAACTCAAGAGATCTAAGAAGGTCTTCTTTGCAAAGTCTCTCTCTGACTCTAGTACTCTAGCCTCCTAGTTGTTTCCTCTAGAGACAACCAGTATGATAAGTGATATTTTGTGAACATACAAGACTCCCCCTCCCCCCCTTTTCTTATACAAATGATAGCACATTATACACATACTTCTCTATACTTTTTTTTCTCTTAACATATATCTTAGACTTCATTCCCCATGAAGTTTATTTTTTTTTAAATGTTTATTTATTTATTCATGAGAGTCAGAGAGAGAGAGGCAGAGGCAGAGGGAGAAGCAGGCTCCCCACCTAGCAGGGAGCCTGATGTGGGGCTCAATCCCAGGACCCCGGATCATGACCTGAGCCGAAGGCAGATGCTTAACCATCTGAGCTACCCAGGCGCCCCTGAAGTTTATTTTTTAAAGGTTGCATAGTATTCCACTGTACAGACACACCATGAATTATTTAACCAGTCCCCTAATGATGGACATCTGTGATGTCTACACTCTTCTGGCCGCCACAAATGATGATACAGTGAATGACCTTATACTCTTGTCAGTTTGTGCTCCAAAGAGGTGGCGTTATTTTATAATCTGATTAGTAAGTTTTAAAAGTGCTTGCTTCCCCCACAGACTTTTCAAAAGATGCTTTAACTCTGGATCTTTGTCAATGTAACAGGTGAAAAACGGTATTTCAGTATACTCTCTTCTTATTAATGAGAACAGGACAATCAGTCTATTCCTTTCCTTTGCAGATTTCCTATGGGTTGCTACTCTTTTTCTTCTTTATTTGTATATATTCCTTACATACAAAGAAAACTGGCCTTTTGAACATAAGAGTTGTAACATTTTCCCAGTCCATGCGGTAGCTTAATTTGCTCCATGTAGAAATTTTTTTAATGTTATGCAGGTAAATTATCGATCTATTCTCTTATAGCTTTTAAGCTTTATGTCATGCGGACTCCTACCTCAGCCCTACGCAGTGGCTCTTACACTGAATTAATCAGGGGGAAATGGGGAGAGAGGGGAGGAGATGCAGGCTGTCTTCCTCCTGTCTTTTTCTTTTCCTTCCTTCCTTCCTTTCACTTTCTTTCAGACATTTATGCTTTTTTAAAACTTAGCTAATAGGAATCAAATTGAGCTGGAACCTTCTTCTTACGCAAGGTGAGCAAGCTAAGGAGGCTGCATGCACCCTCTCTTGAAAGAAGAGGAATACTGGAAAAAGTCCTCGTCTTATTAAAGCTCTATTTTTCTAAGGAATTTTGCTATCCAGCTTGCTGTTCTTAATGTGCACTTTTCTACATACAAATAAGGAAGAAAATTAATCCCCTAAAGATAACACGAATAAGGTACAGGTTAGCTGTAGTTCATTTCTCCCCGAACCTATAATTTCTGTAGAATACAGTCTCTGTTCAGCCTGCACGCACCCAAGACTTCTCATAGTGGCTCATTTGTGAGCTGAAGGCAACACTGCCCTGAGTTCCCTGTCCAATAACAGAGATTCCAGTTGTACCAACTTTGAGGTTCAGGACTTTTCAAGTTATTAGAGTAGCTCATCTTCAGGTAGGCGGCTAGAAGCAGGGCAAGTCACACAGGGATATTTAAGTACTGTGAGAAGAAATCAGTGGTGCCTAAAACTCTTTGATTAGTCTCTGCCCTTAAAATTTCCATCTCAGGGCAATAAAAAAGAATCAACACACTGCTCCAGAAAAAGGATACAGCTCAAATTTTAGCAAGTTCCATAAATCAGGTTTTTTTTTCCTTTTATCACACTTCCAAAATGATATTCAAACAATAGATCCCAAAAATTATCTAAAAGTTACTTTCCATTAAAGCACATTATTTCTGTTTCTGTCCTATGCTTTCAAGATAATGCCATTAACAAGGATTAGATCTACATGTTTATATTTGCTGAAAAGACAAAGAGTAAAAGAAATACAAAGATGCAAGGCATTTAAAGGCTACCTGGTTCAAAACTGCATTTTATAATAAAGAAAACAGGGTCTCGGGGATGTTAAAGATTTGCTCCCTGCCACAGAATCAGTGCCAGAACCCAACTAGAACCCAAGCTTCCTGATATTTAATTCAGGTGATCTTTCTGCTTGTTCATCTTGGTAGACAGCTGTAACAGCTCTTGGAGAAGACTGTCTTTGCCTGGGATTTGACTCTAGTCTCTCAATCAATGGAAGTCTTCTCTCAAAGGATTACTATTACTTATGACTGGATCCCGGGCTAACCTTCCCACAGGACACTACCTGAACATGTGAGCCAGTGTATCCTTGAGACATTTCTCCAGGCACTCCTTCAAGAATACTTTCCCTCTCTTTTCTTTCTGTCCCAAGTTCCAGTTCCTAGCCCTCCATCCTACTCTGACTCTTATCTTCTTTCAAACTTATCGCAATCAAAAACCTTACTATTCTCTGCTACCTATTGATTCTGTGATTGCATTTCTACCACACTAGACTCCAAGCCTTCTAACTGGCCAAGCCTATGCTTGATATTACTCCTCAAGTCCACACGTTGTGCAGCCCACTGACACACAGGTGAGTGGAAACAGCATTCCCATATCTCCTTTCCGGTATTTGCAAAGATACTGGAATAACCTATAATCCCTCTTGCACATGAACCTGTATGCCAATGGGCAACCGATCCAAAGCTAGTATCCTTAAGTAATACATCCTTAGGTAATAGTATCCTCTGGAGCGTTTTCCCTTAAGTAATACTAAGATTTAGCAGTTCAAGATTCTGGCTGACATACCCATGGAAAATACAAGTTAGAGAGATGTAAAAAGGAACAAAATACTACCCTCTTAGCTGGGCCTAGAACTCAGCTCTGTCTGCCACCATCCCAGCAAATGGACTACACGTGTTCCCAGAAGCAAGCATGAATTTTGCCCTGTAAGAACTAACCAAGATGAAAGCACGGGAAACAGCACTTACTTGGACGCAAATTCAGAGAAACTACTCCACAATCACTGGTTACATGCCTAACCCTGCTTAGCAACCTCATAAATGCACCTTTCTAGTAATATGAAGCCAGAAAAAGAAACTTCATGTGAATTAGCAGCCTACTTTCTGGCATTTCAACCATTTTCAGGTTTTGCTGAAAAAGGGAGAAAACCAAACTCTCACTCTTCACTGCACTTTCTTTTCTATGTCCTCTCTACCTCTCCATCTTTCCTCGGGACAGAAGGACTAAAAGCAGATCTGCCCTGTTTGCCACGGTAAAGTGGGGCATGTCCAAGCAGGAGGTCCACGTTCTAAAAATAGGTTAGAAAATACTACCATATGATGATATTACATTATCATCATTAGGGTTTGATAGGCCATGCAATTCTAGATCTAAAGTCCTGCTATTTGGGCATGATGGCAGCTTATCACGAAATACAATGGTGGTGAGCTCTTAACACAAGCTCCATAGCTTCTTGATGCCCAGTCACTTGGGGCGGGGGGGGGGGCAGGGAGAAAGCTATACACATACACAGCCACAAGCTCCTGGTCACATGCGATTCCAAAGACAATATTCTTTGTGCCTAAGACACAGCACTCAATGTATTAGACTGAATAAGATTAAAAGCCCCAATGACCGTAACCAAAAATAAGTAATATCCTTAAAATCGTAAACAGAGGTAAAAATGTGTTGTTTCACCATAGCTGGTTGTTTCTCCATAAGCTTTATTAGCTATTTTGCCAAACAATACAAATTGTGCCAGAATATTAGGAAGTAAATCTGAAACCTGAAAACCACTGGCAGGGTGGGAGAAGAAACCTTATACAGATCGAATTTCTTTCAATAAATCCTCAACCTCAAAAAGAAAAAAAAAATCCCTGGGTGCATCAGGGTGGGACATCAACAATGAACATGCTCTACACGAAGGCACATAAAGAACAAAGGATGGAAAAGGACGTGTCCTGAACTGTTCTACAGCATCTGTCACTTTGTACCCAAGCAATGCGGTACACAGAAATCAGGCCACAGTAAGCTGGAACATCTCTTCTCACAACAGAGAAAATCTTTCCACACCCTCTTGAGTAGAGGACCGCAGGCCTATCAAGAGGTGTTTGGCACTGACGTGACTTTGGGTTTGGTCACCTAACTCAAGGGCAATGAGCAGGCAGGGTACTGGTGATTCGGAAGATGTTCGCTGCAACATTGGCAAACACTTACTACGTGCCAGTGTCTGTGCTAAGTGCTTGACACATAAATCTTAGTTCTCACAGTGACTCCAGAAAGGTTATGTTAGTCCCCCAGGTTTGGGATGGAGAAACAGAAACTTATCACGATAACCTCCCCCCAGTGACACAGCTGGGGCAGGGCTGTGAACTCAAGCTTCAGAGCTCACGGAAACTGCCACCTCTGAGCTGCTTCCCACTCCACACTGCCGCATCTGGTCCCTTGAAGGGAGGGACCTGCCACAGCCCCTCTGGATCTTCCCTGCTCTGCTGCTCTCCTCGCTGTTGTCACTGGGAGTGACCAGGGA